TATTTTTGTGATTTGTGTGCCCTTTTTTGAGTCGGTTGAATTCCCTGTTCTGCTACCCGCTTTCTCTTGTTGACCAGCTGCAAGGACCCGGCCGCGGACGGACGGTGCCCCTCGAATTCCCCTCTTCCTCTTCCTCTTCCTCCTTCGACATACTACGAACGACGATTGACGGCGTTGGGGCAGTTCCACCCCCGCTGTACGACCGACTGACCGACACACTCGATACTCGCCGCTTGCGGTCCTCTCCTCTCCCCTCTTCTTTCCTCTTTCCCTATCCCGCTTCGTCTCTCGGTTCGCCCCGACGAGAAGAACCGACGACCTCGGACGCCTGTGCACCGCACGACCGCACGACGCTCCGACCGCATACCTCCTAGGCACTCCGCACTACCCACCCGAGCCTATCCGCCGTCCACCCACCACCACACCACCATCCCCCCCACCACCATACCACTACGACACCACAACCGCAGCTACACCAACAAGTGAAGGATGCCCCCGGCGTTCCCGACCCCCGTACTCGCCGTCTCCCCCGCCGCCGTGCGCGACCTTGACGGGAGCGATGCCCTCTCCGGCCTCTGGACCCGTGCGTATCCTATCTCCCCTTCTGTTCCCTCTTTTTCTTCCCGTCCTTCCTGTCTGCACGCTTTTTCACGTCCTCCGCGCCTTGACCCGACCCGGGCTTCTTCCCGGCTTATCGTCGGTTCCTGTGCTCTGCTCTGCTTTCCACCCTCCCTTATCCCTCCCTTCGCCCCCTTCTTCCCTATCCTTTCCCTCCCCTACCCCTTCCTTTTCTCCCTTCACCGCTCCCCACCCTTTCCTCTTCCCCTCCCTTCCTCCCCTCCATCCATACGCACTCTAACCACCCCTCCTCCCCTCTCTAGTATTCACCAAATGCAAAGAATCACTCCAAGACGGCCGCCGGCTCGAGAACATCGCATGGCGGCTCTGGCACCGCGAGATGGTGCTCTCGAGTCTTGTCCTCCACGAACACGAGCATGGACGCGGACGGGAGGGTGGGGTGAAAGAGGGATATTGGGGAAATGGAGGGTTGGAGGAGGAGTTTGATGAGAAGGAGAGGGAGCTGGTTTGGTATTCCCACCCGCACCTGCATAACGATGAACGGGGTGTGGATGGTGTGTATGCACCGCTCGCGCCCGAGTCGCATCCGCACCCGACGCACCCACCGCATTCGTACTCGTGCTCGCATCGCCACGCGCCCTCACATTCGAGTCCGAGCCTTCATCCTGAAGACCGTCGACTGCATCCCCATCCCCATTCCCATTCACAACCACAACCGGACTCGCGCTCGCATTCACGACCGGACTCGCAACACCCCTCGCGTTTGCCCTCGCTACATTCACATTCACATTCACAACCGCAACTGCATTCACAGCCGCATTCACATTTACAACCGCATTCACAACCACCCTCGCCCTCACTACATTCACATCCACGTTCACATTCTCGGCACGCACAGGGGGACACTGGAGTGAAAGTGCAAATGGACGGCGAAGTAGGTGTGCGAGTGGAAGTGGAAGGTGAGTTCCTGTTTGTCTATTTTCCTCTCTATCTTTCGGTTTGTTACTTCGTTTGCGTTGCCTATTTCATCGTCTTCCCCGTTTCCTTCCTTTCTCTTTCCTTGCTTGCACCTCGCTTTACGTTGGTCGATTGACTCTTACTGCGTCACTTTATTTTCGGCGTGACTTTCATGTCATCTCCCATCTCCTCACGTTGTGTCGATTGACGTCGTGACTTTCACTTCACGTTGCCTATTCACGTTCACGTTATCCGCTGGCACGGTCCCTACCCTCTCTCTCTTCACTTCGTCCCACTTCTCCCACTTCTTTTTCGTTCCCATCTCTTCCGTGTCGTCTCTTCTGTCAGTTCCTGTTGTGTCCGTTCCCGTGTTCCCGTGGTGGGATCCTCTTTCCGTCTCTTCCCTTCTCGTGTCGTCTGCCACGTCCATCCATGTCAACCAGAGTTGCATGGAACGAACGTGCCCATCCCCTCGGATACGCGGATACGTGGGTGGGTAGAAAGACACGTATTTACCCCCCTCCGCGCGTGCGTGCGGTACCTATCTCACTGCGGTGTGGAGCGTGCGCATCCACCTGTGCGTGCATGGCCTGTACCAGTCAGTGTGCGTGCCTGGCGCGGGGTAACATGCTCCGCCAGGCGGGGTAGGCGTAGCGGGGCAGGGCGGGGTAGGATTGGTGCGATCCATGCATGTCGTTGGCGCAGCGGGGTTGGCGCAGGGGGTTGGCGCAGCGGAGTGCGGATGGGGATGGGTGCGATCCGTTAGTGTATCCATCCATCCGTCCGTCCATCCGTTGGTCCGTTCCGCTCGTCCACCGGTGGTCTGTTCGTTTGTTGTTCGTTGGCTTGTTGGTCCATGGGCCCTGACTCGACCCGACTCGAATGGGACTCCACCATGTCATGCACATACCGCGTATCGCATATCGGATTCCGATATGGGCACAGATGACTCGCATGTTTGCATATGGGCCCTGGGGCACGAATCCGATGCGCTCTATGTACTGCCATGCTCGTGCTCGTGCTCGTGCTTGTGTAAAGCGTTTATCGTTTATCGTTTATCGTTCATCTCCGTTGGCCGTTGGTTGGACCGTTGGCTTTCAATTTTGGCGTACATGTACCCCGGACTCATGATCATGACTTTCATGTATGATCGCTGGGATCGAGAGCTCGCGATCGAGAGGGTATGGGTAGGGTTGGTGTAGGGTTGGTGTAGGGTTTAGCGTTATCGCGGGCCCTTTCATCCGTCTAGTAGGTCCATATGATCATTCATATGTCGCTTGCATGTGTGGTTGCTTTTGGGTTGGTGGTTGGATTTGGATTTGGACCCTCGTTTTTATTTTATGCTCTCATGTTCATGTCCTATTCCTGCTTCATTCCATTCCGTTCCGATTCTTATCCCTGTTCCCTTTTTCCGTTTCCGTTTCCCTTTCACGCTTGCATTTGGATTTGTGTCTACCTTCACTTCCACATTCATCGGAGCTTGGAGGTTGTGCTAACTAGTCCTCCCCATTTTCTTTCCTCGGGTTCCTTTTCCCCGCTCAGACCCCGCGCGTACGTATACGCATACGCATACGCCCGGACTTTCTGACGCAACCCGCGCACATACATCGTCATCGACATCACCGCGGACGTCAAGATCTCCGTACACCTCATTTTCGCATTCGTCTCATTCACCATCTCATCTGCACGCCCACTCGCCACATACACATCCACATCCACATTCGCCCTCACACACACGCTTACACCCCCACTCGTCCTCGCCCTCGCACAAATCATCCCTGTCCATACCCGTGCACCCAGCACACCGCCATCCTCATACGGCAAGGAGGCCCTCACTTACCAAGAGCAGACGGAGCAGCTTCATGGGCGGGGCGAGCGTGGGGCGGATTATCTGCGACATGCTGCCTATTGACAAGGTGGAGGGCGGTGCGGGTCCGAAGTTGACGCCAACATCGGAGAAGGAGAAGGAGACGTCATTGTGTTCGGTGGTCCCAGCGTGTGGTCCGAGTTTGAGTTCGCGAGAGAAGGAGGAGAAGAAGGAGAAGAAGGAAGACGTAGGGGCCAAGACGTCATTGGGATCGTCGCCTACTCCGTTATCATCCACCCAGTCGACGTCAGTGGTGGGTGCGGTATCGGCGTCTGCATCAGCCACAGCGTCATCGACATCGACTTGCGGATCGTCGACCTCGCTTGACGCTTCGACCGACGTCGGTATTTCAAATGCTGCTCCTTCAAACGTGAACGCCACTTCTTTGGATGCACGTACGAATGCCGCTTCAAGGGCGATATCAAGTGCAAGTGCAAGTACAAGTGCGCCTACAAATCCGACGGCAAGGCCGACGAAGTGTACTATCCCAGAACCTTCGACGCCTTCTCTCCTCACCACGACCACAACCACGAATATGTCCACAACCACAACGACAAAGACGGGAGGTACGGTACTCGACCCGGTATCGTGTCTGCCCACCCCCGAGATGGAAGTTGGAGAGGAAGGTGGTGGCGTCCTTCCTGGAAATGTGTCTGGGCCTGCGACAGGTATGGGTTTTTGTGTGTGTGTTCTTTTCAGGGAAAGTGGGGGGCTTATGGATGGGTATAATAGGTTCGATATCGACGCTGACGAACACACGGCCGGCTGTGGTGTCTCCTCCTACGATATCGTCGTCGTCGTCGTCATCGTCATCGCGTACAGACGTACACTCAACGTCTACCCCTCCAGTATCATCATCTCTACCCCCGACATCGACCTCCGCAACAACATTAACAATCTCAACATCAGCACTACCAACCTCAACACTCCAACCACCCCTCCTAGTCCTCGTAAACCCAACACCGAACCCAACGCCGCACCCTACACCGCCTACCACTCCATCGCTCGGTGGGCTCGTGGGCCTGGCAGGTCGCGGTGGCGGAGGGACGTGGTTGACGCCGCGCGGGCACGTATCCCAAAGGAACGGGTTTAGCGGACACGCGCAGGACGGGCAAGATAGAGAGAGAGAGAGAGCGGTAGGCCTCCTCCCGCCGTCGAGCGTGGTGGTGTTTGGTGCTGTCGTTGGGTTTAGCCTGTCGAGTCAGGAAGATGCGAGGACGAGGACGAGGGGTGCGCAGCAGCAGCGGGTGGAGGCGGATGATCGAAGAACAGATCGATCGGAGGCGGGATCGACGGGTGCGGGAGTTGCCCCGCGGTCATCGTCTGGATCGTCCGTGTCGGCGGAAGCGGGTTGTCCTTCGGACCAGCCTTCGGAGCAGCAGCAGCAGCCAGGGTATGAGCACCGCGAACAGGAGTCCGCCCTCATCCCTCAGGAGGTGCAGCGAGACGTGCGACGCGTCGGCCCCGAGGCGGCGTGGGAGACGCAGACGCACATGAGCACGCAGACGCAGCAGCATCGGGCGGAGGCGGAAGAGATGACGTTGTCTTCGGAATCGCGATTGAATGGCGTTGGGAGCGGGCACGAGGAGCGAGAGGCTGCGGGACGTGGGCAGCACGAGGAGCGAGAAGGGAGAGAGGCACTACCGGGATCCGGTCCGGCGCTCGGAGGACAAATACAAGGGCGACGATCTTCGAGTCAAGCCCAAGCCCAAGGTCAAGGTCAAGGTCAAGGTCGGAGTCGACCCGCTTCGCCTAGCCGATTATCTCAATCCAACATTTCGCCTTTGCGTACGGGAACGAACATGGAGGTTGGATTACTCAACGCGCACGCCATTTCTACGCCCTCTGCCGATAACATTACCTCTACCTCTACGCACAACGAACCGTCTATGCCTATGCTCGACGCTACATCAACATCGACCAGCAACACCCTTGCGTCTACCTCCACCGCCAACACGAACCGGCACTCTATCTCGAGTGCGACGAGCGACCGGTCGTCTGCTACGAACGTGTCGAACATGTCGGAGCTCACGAATGGGACGAGCTCGACGCATCTGTCTTCTTCGACGCACCTCTCGTCCTCCACCCACTTATCTACCTCTACACATCGTTCGAGTTCCACAAACCTCTCATCAGCAACGCACAGCACCTCGCGCACGAGCTTGGAGGGCGAGGCACCCGGGGCAGGAGAGGGCGTAGAGGGTATGGCGATCCTGGTGGCGCAGAAGCGCCTGGGCTCGATGTCGTCGACGACCGTGCAGAGTCTCGCGACGCTTGTTGATAGGCGGGATGGGCACGAGGGGGGTATCTCAAAGGAGAGGCAGAAGCAGAAGGAGGTGGATAGGGAGGTACAGGAGGAGGAAGATGGCTTCGAGGACGTCGATGAGGATGAGGAGAGCAACGATGATGAGGGGGAGGAGGCAAGGGTGATACAGGAGCACCAGCCGCGAGAGCCGAAGCCGATATCCCCGCGGACCAACCACAATCACCAGCACACGCACAAGCTCAAGCGGAAGAACGAGGACGAGAGGAAGAAGAAGCGGAACAGCGCCCCGGTACCTTCGACGTCATCTGCCCTGCTCCTGGCCTTATCGCCCACTGGCCTTACCACCACCAGCACCACCACCTCGCGTAATACCACTACCTCGCACAACACCACCACCAACCAACCATCGACGAGTACGAACCCTAGTGGCTTCGCGCCGGATAAGAGCCCTGTGTCGCCTACGAAACCTTCGTCGGGCTTTGGCATGCGCAGGACAGGGACAGTGGCGAAGTTGAAGAGGACCGCGAGCGCGAGTGCGGGTGGGACGGCTACGGCTACGGCTACGGCGGGCAGGAGGAGGCCGTTGGTGCTTACTGCTACAACGACGGCAACGATCGGTGCAGCGGCGGGTATGGCGCGTCGGGCGAGTGCGGGAGCTGGCCCTGCTTATGCTGTTGCTCCCATCCCCGGCACCACGGGCGGAGGTGCAGGGCAAGGAGCTAGGAGGAGGAACGCAAGCACGAGCCGTAGCTCTGGGGGGGCTGCTGGCAGCTCCGTCGGTGCGTCCAACGGTACTGGCTCTGGAAGAAGGGTGGCGGGGACGAGCAGGAGCCGGAGTCGGGAGCCTTTGTCTGCTGGCGCTATCACCGCTGGTGGTGGCCTGTCTGCTGGGCTAGCCGCGCTCGCGGCCGGTGCGATCCCCCCACCGCCCGTACAGAAGAAGGCGGCTCTTGGTGTTGTTGGGGGTGGAAGAAGGGCCAAGTTCGTACTGGGCCGGGGGAGGCGGAATGCTGCTGCTGCTGCTGTGGTTATGGCGAGGCGGGGCAGCTCCGGTGCAGGTGCGGGGAAGAAGGAGAAGGAGAAGGTGGTAAGGAGCGTCGTTGAGGATGAAGAAGAGGAGGAGAGTGGGAGTGGGAGTGAAGAGGAGGGGGAGGAGGAAGATGAGATGGGTATGGAGCTTGAGAGGGAACGGGAGCGAGAACGTGAACGGGAGCGAGAAAGGGAGAGGGAGGTGATGGAAAGACAGCAGCGCGAGGCGCGAGAACGGTTGCTGGCACGCGAGCGGGAGGAGCGCGAGAGGCAGGAGGAAAAGCAGAGAGAGAAGATGCGCGCCGAGGCGCTGGAGAAGGAGCGCCAGCGCAATATCGTGCTCGTCCAGCAACAGCAGGAGGCGGAGCGGGTGCGGCTGATGAGGCTGCAGGGCGTCCCTGCGCCGAACGCTGGGCAACAGCAACTCCCATTACCCCTACCACCTTCCCACCTCCAACCCACACCTCTCCACACCCACATACAATCTCAGGATGGTCTTGGTCTTGGAGCGGGCGTCCCGAGCTCGTCGAAACGACCGGTCCGGTTCAATATCGGGTCCAACTCGGATGAGGGGAGCGGGATGGGGTCGAAGAGCGCGGGTAGTGGGTCGGAGAGCGTGTCGGCGTCGGGTGTGGGTGCAGGTGCAGGTGCAGGTCCGATTGTGGGTGGAGGAGGTGGTGCGGGGTTGATGAGGCCGATGATGGCTGCGAAGGCTCCTGGTGGTGTTGGAGGAACAGGGACGGCACTGAACACCTCCAAGCCGCCGAGCAGGCAACAGTCGACGTACCAGCCCGCGGGTGGGGGAGAGGCGGAGCGGATGGCAGAGGTACAGAGGCAGTTGCAGTTGCTCCACTTCCAGCAGGAGCAGCAGCAGGCGAAGGGCAAGGAGCGCGAGCGCGACGTGGCGCCTCCTTCCGCTCCTCCTTCTCCTGCTCCTGCTCCTGTTGCTGGGCCGTCCAAGGGGGTTGCTACCAAGTCCAGTCCTACCAAGTCGCCCAAGTCGCCGAACACCAAATCGAACTCCAAGTCCAATGCCAACGCCAAGGCAAACGGGAAGACTAGCAACGGAGGCGGCGGCGCTGGAGGTGGAGGTGGAGGTACGGGTAGAGGTACAGGCGCAGCAAAGTCCCTCGACAAAGAGCTCGCAGCCAAGATCGAGAAATCGCTCGCCGACCCGCTCTTACCACAGAAGAAGCTGCGCGTGGTCCTGCAGACCGAGTCCGAGTTCGAGACGGACACGGACGACGACGATGGGAGCGCTTGGTCGAGCGAGGATATGAGTGGGGAGGAGCGTCTTGCAGTGCGTTTTCGCTCTCTTAATTTTTTTATCATAAGAAAGGAAAGAAACTGACGCATACATTTTTATTCAAATAAACAGGAGCAACGCCAGCTAGAAGAGGAGAAACGAAGGCAGGAAGCTGAGGTGCGGCAGAGAAGGGAGCAGGAGCAGATTCAACAGCAGTTGTATCAGCAGCACCAGCAGCAGTTGCTTGCTCGTCAGCGGCAACAACAGCAGGCCCAACTCCAAGCCCAGGGCCAAGGCCAACAACCCACTCGAGCCCCGAACGTCCAACGCACGCAGTCAAGCCACTACCCCGGCGTCGCTCCCACCGCCACCACCGCCCTTGCCCCAACCAATGCTCCGACCAACGCCCCGACCACCACCACCAAAAATCAACACACCTCGCGCAACCGCCACGCCCAAGCGCACGCCCAACACCTCACCTCCCACCACCAACAGCTCCTCCTCGCCGAAGCCGCGCGGAAACTCCAACAACACCAACACTCACACTCCAACACCGAGCTGATCACCAAGCTCCCCACGTCGTCGTTCCAGGACCTCGCGAAAGCGCGCACGAGGAGTGTGGGTTTGTTGAGCCAGTTGATGAACCCGCCGTTGGAGGTCCTCCCGGTGGGGGTGTTGCCGATTGGACATCCGTATAGAAGGGGGGCGAGTTCGGGGGCCATTCAAGGACAAGGACAAGGACATGGGTTTGGGATGGGCAGGGGGTTTGGCGGGTTGGCACCGATGGCGCCGATGCAGCCGTTGACGCAGGCACCACCAGCGCAAGGGCAGCAGCAGAGGCAGACGAACGGAGCTGGTGTTCCTCCCCAAGCTCAACGAGAAGCTCAGCCACAGGCTGCAGCTCCTGGGCCTGCCGCCCAAGCTCAACGTCGACCTCCGCTAGAGCACCCGCAACCGACGAAAGCTCCTGCTCCTGCTCCAGTTCAACCTCCAGCTGCGCCCAATGCCAACGCCAACGCCAACGCCAAAGCCTCCCGACCCCAAGAATACCGACGCGCGAGCACCGACAGCACCAAGTCCAAAAAGTCCACTGCAACTTCGCGTACGACTGCGACTGGGACAAACGCGCTCTCACCACCGATGAGAGCTCCGGGGTTGCAGCTGACGAAGAGCGCGGCTGCGCTGCCGATGTCGTCGAATGTACTTGTGGGGAGCGTCGCTACGGCTGGGGTGCAGGGGTATGACCTCAACACGCCTCCTAACGCTAACGTCAATGCGAATGCGAACCTCAAGCCCAACTCGAACCTCAACCTCAAGCCCAAGGCCCCCACGCCCAACACAGCTCTAACGAACGCCGCCCCAACCCAAACAACTGTCGTCCAGCTCCAACACCAACACCAACATCAACACCACCAAACCACTGACTCAACCGGCGGTGGTTACAGACCACGCGGCCGGCCAACGGACCAAGAGCTGGAGGATACAGAGAGCGACGACGAGGAGCCGGGCGGGTCGAGAGGGATCCAGGTGTCGGAGAGCGTCGCGGCGGAGAAGCTGAAGGCGCTGGCGGAGAGGAGGGGGATTGTGCCGAGGAGGGGGGTGGAGGGAGGGCAGGGACAGGGAGGGATGGGGCAGGGAGGAGGGATGGGGCAAGGCCAAGGCCAAGGACAGCAAGGAGACGAAGATGAGGTACCGCAGTGGGCGAGGGTCGAGCTGCCGAACGTGCCGAGAGGGCAGCAGCAGGATGGGAGGACGCAATCGCAGGGGCAGGGACAGCAGCAGCAGCAATTACCGCCAGCGCAAGCTCAAGCTCAAGCCCAGGCGCAGCTACAAGCCCAATTGCTCCAAGCCCAAGCCCAAGCGCCCAGAAACCCACCCGCTAACAACAGACGCTCGCTCAACGGCCTCCACTTCACCCCTACCCACCCCTCCCACCCCCTCCCTCCTCACCAGCCCCTCATCCCGGCGCCCATCCCCGTCGGACACCCGTACAACCTCCCGCCCCCCGCTCCTCCTTCCACACCACGCACGACCCGGCGCCAGATGCTCGCGACCGAGCTCTCCGAGTCTTTACGCAGAAACTTGTTATGGGAACGGCAGGTGTCGAAGGCTAATTTGGCGGCGGTGAAGAGGACGCAGAGCGGTGGTGGTGGGGGGAGGGGTGGGCTGTTGGGCGGGCTGCAGCCTCTGAGTGCTATGGGTGGTGCGGGCGCCGGACAGGGTATGGGCGGGGGAGGGGCAGGACAAGGACAAGGGTTAGCGCCGGCCCCAAGCGTGGTACAGCTGCATGTGAAGGGGACGCTCCCGCCTGAGGCGGATGAGGACGCGAGAACGAGGCGGAGGAGAGACGAGGAGGAGAGGGAGGCGCTGAAGAAGAGGGCGATGGCGCGGAATCGGAGTTGGGCGGACGATTATCATCGGACGGGGTGGTGATTTTCTTTTCTTTTTTCTTTCTTCTCTGTTTTCATTGTTTTGGTTTTGACTTCTGGACTTTTTTTTTCGACGCTTTGATGTGTTTTATTGGCTTTTATCCTCTCTCTTCCTCTGTCTAATTCAGAGGCTGCGCCGCTCGGGCGTGCTCGTCACTCGTCATCATTACATCACCTCCCTCCTCCCTCTGCCAGCAAGCATCGACAAGCCAATACCTGTACCACCAGCTTAATCTGCATGTGCTCTTCCACGCATTATTTCTTTTCCTTTCCTCCTTTCCTCGATTATTCTTGGGTTATTCATGTTCATAACGGAAGGTCGACATTGACATCTTTCCATCGACTATTCCTTTTCTTGGTTGCTTCAAAGTTTTTTACCCGCTTTCATGATCACCCAGGGTCTCTTTCTTTGGGCAGGGCTTGCGGTCCAGGGCGTCTTCCTTCCACGGTCCACCACGGAATCGGATAACCCTCCCCCGTGACCGAGGACTAAAACACGAAAGCGAAAGCGCACCATGATATCCTCATGCACATATGCAACGCAAGCACTTCCTTCATCCATCACGAATCGAATCGAATCGATGCATCCACACAACGTTTATCATCATCAGCATTTCTCCTTCACATCTCACGCAACACGCAACACGCACTTTCTGTCGTCGCTATCCTGCTATCCATATTCGATTCCCCTTTAACGTTACCGTTGTACCACCACTATCATCGCACATGTCATAACCTCGCCCGCCTACGACACCGCTCACAACCCATCCCATTCGCCGACTTGACTTTCTGAAGCTTCGCATGTTTTATGGTTTATGGTTTTCTTCTTTCCCCATGTCAAATAACCTCCTTTTTTCTTTTCTCGGTTTTTTTTTGGTTACGATGCATGATCAATACGTACTTACCTACCACTTTTTCTGAGCTCTCTCCGTCCGTCATTTTTTTTTTATCAATCATACCTTAATGCAGAATCTCATGCAATTTCAAGGCTTTTCTCTCTTTCTGCCAGATCGGTTTCGTCTTTGTTTTCGTGTGTCCAGCGTTGACAGGTGTGCGTGGAGCTGGAGAGAGCTTTCAGGCTGAACGCCCACGGGCCACGGGTGCTCCTTAGCGCAGCTTTGTCAGCTTCCGGGCCGACGGCGCCTCCACCTGCGCCTTTGCCCATAAAAAGTAAGAGGCGCTGGCCGCTACCACCCACACCGTGCTCGAAGACAGAAAGCGCCCTGAACAGTGAACTCGCACCCACTTCATCACCGATAGTAGCACCTCGGTCATTGTGCTGTCACAAGCTAGCGCAAGTGGTCAATTTCCTGCTTGTGGGCCGTCGGAGTACTCAATCACATACGTATACAGGGCGCGTTGATAACTTGAAGTGCGGGTGCCACTGGGGCAGCTGCCGTTCCAAGCGGAGCCTCTTTGAACAGGAGAGTCAAAGCAGGTGTTTAATATTAATTCTTACTTACCATTAGACTTTTCTCAAGGCTCCGTCCGACCTACTCATCTACCTTAAGTGACACCATTCGTGCTCAATGGAGGGGAAATGGCAACACCGTCCAACTCCGCAGAAATGGCCATTTGCCAGCGCGAAGGACGTCCCCGTCCAGCCGTGCTCTTCCAGGTGCAGTCAATAATTTAGGAGAGATGGTGATGGAACAACTTGCGGGATAGCTTTGTTTTTTGCCCGTTATACATATCGCCCACACATCCAAACTAAAGGCGCCCAGGGGAATTGTCTCGCAAGGAGATAATCGGAAGCAAGGTGGTCAACGCGTGTTGCAAGATGGATGCTGATGACAGGAACCTTTTCAACAGATCTCTCCGTCTCGAATCAACAGGACCCGTTGGGCAACTGTACTTCCTCGTAACTTGAAAAACTGACTCCTGAGCTACGTCTCTACACCAACGTATGATATCCATCTTCTTCACTGGCTGTTTATCCTCCTTAGCACCGTCCCAACAGATTTTTTTGAAGCGAATGTCCTACGAACACGGAGGTGATCGTGCAGCACGATGGACGTTGTGCCTACCGTCGCCAATCACCTTCACACATCTCATGAGCACATCTGACAGTCGGCACGGCCGCTTCACGCCGTTCCAGGCGTCCTCCAAGATGTTCCGTCAATAACAGGTACCGTACACGTCGCTGAGGACAAGGAGAAGGCCGGAGCGCTTGCAGCCCCGCGCCGAGGCGTCTCATACATAAAGAAGCCTCCACTTAGCCTCAAGAACCTTCTCGAGGAGGACGTTAGAAGCATTTCTTTACGTGAAGAAATTCGAAATCAAGTGTGGGGTGATGTCGAGTTGTCGGTTTACGACGACGCCAAGGAGCACCCGTACCGAAACGCCCAGACCATATTTCCCCGCGTGCGTTTCGGCTTCGGCAGCAGACGGCGGATCCGGGATCGCAACGTGCTCTGATCATATTCCTTTCTACAAAATCTAGCGCGGGTGGTGTCGACGTTCCCTCCTTTCCCCCCTCTCCCTCTCCCCCTCATACATAGGTCTGTCTCAGGTTCCGGCCCACACTCCTTCTCCCCCGACGTTCCTTTCCCATTTTACAAGCCACAAAAAAATGTTCAAGTCGCTCTTCACCCTCCTGACGCTCGCCGTCGCTCTCGCCTCTGCGTTCCCGTTCCAGGGAAATTTGACACGGCGCGCCCCCGCGCAGGTCATCACGAAATGCACCGTCCCGAACACTGCTGCCTTGACCTTTGTACGTCCTCGTTTTCCTAACATTCGAGAGAGGGGGATGGAGCTAATTGATGAGGGGTAAATATAGGATGACGGTCCCTATGTTTACCTGTTCGTTGGCTATTTTTTTCTTCTGGGAGAGTTATTTTTGAACGAGCACCGTTGGGTATCATAGGTATGATGTGAGCAAGGCCCTCATCGCTGCTGGCGCCAAAGGCACTTTCTTCTTCAGTGAGTCGTACCACTTTCCCCTTGTGCACCTCCTATCTCACCTCACTCGCGCAGATGGCAACAACTGTAAGACACATCGATAGCTCTCTTCTAATAATATCGGCACTGATGCCTACGACTTATAGTCGGTGGTTGCATCTACAACGAGGACCAGGCGAAACGGGTCAAATACGCCTTCGACAAGGGCCACCAAGTCGCCTCGCACACCTGGAGTCATGCCCACCTGAACGCTCTCAACTGGGACCAAGGTATGATCTCAGTCCGTCTTGAATGTATTATGTGATCTGTCCTCATATTCTTTGGCTAAAGCGCATCACGATTTCTGGCTTATTGAGGGTGCGTCTTTTCAGTAGGCTCTAGAGAATGGATATTGACGTTCGAATCCAGAGGCCCTTATGAAGATCACCGGTGCCTACCCCGCTTTTGTCCGACCGCGTATGTCCCCCTTATCTCTCGTATCCCATCTATCGACTCAACACTTTCGTTCTCAGCTTTTGGCGAATTCAACGACAACATCCGTGAGGTCGCCGGCGCCCGTGGCCAAACCATCGTTAACTGGGACTTCGAGTACGCTTTCATTTCATCCGTCCATCCAGTCTCATTACACCCGCTCACCACCCACCGTAGCTCTGGCGACACCTGGGGCATCTCTACCGCCGAGAGCAACCAGCGGTACACCGACCTCGCCAACTCGCGTCCCTCCACCGTGCTGACTCTCAACCACGACGTGCACCAACAGACTGCGTAAGTCCGCTGCTCCATTTTCGCTTCAACCCTTTCTTCCGGGGTTCGTATCTGGAGTTACACAAGTGCTGACTTCTAACGACCTTGTATCCCCATTCGCCGTTCGCCGTTCGTTGCTCGCCGCTCAATAGCCAGGTCATCGTTCCTCACGCCATCAAGACCCTCCAAGCTGCCGGGTACCGCCTTGTCACCGTCGCTGAATGCCTCGGTATGCAGCCGTACCAGTGGACCGCTGCTCCACAGCCCCGCGATGTACGTTTACCTTTCATTTCTCTTCCCTCGTTTCCTCTCTTCCTCCGCCTTCGCGAACAATCGACTGATATGGCATTGGATCGACAGGCGACTTGGACGTGTCAGGACAAGCCCGTCATCCGTAACTAAAGCCGTTCGTGGTCGGATTTGTTTACCTAGCAGTGTTCACGATCGTGACGAGAAACGGATACTCAGCGTACGACATTATTTCTTCCCATTGGTCCTATTCCTCGCTATCCAAGATGGGACGTTCCTAACCCTACCTAGTACTTACTAACCCACCTCACATGTCGATACTTTCGACTTGGACTTATCGACTATCGCAACCATTTTCGTACCTGCTGCAGATATGTAGAACCAGGGACTTTATTACTATATATTCGCCTTATTAGTTCAATTAGAACTGTTTTACCTGATACACTCTTGCGAGTGAAGATCGGAGCAGGGCAGGAGGAGTCGCAGAAAGTGCATCGTCGGAGTCGAGTGGAGCGCAGGAGTATGTACTCCAAAGATGCGTTGCATAGCAGGGATGTAGACGAAGCTTTGGCAAGGGTCCCCTCCGAAAGAAACCTGAATTTGAAGCAGCACTATGTAGACGTGCTAATTTTCCCAGAGACAGAACTTGAAGCTCGAAGCTTGAACCCTTTATGGAAGTTCACGGAGTCGTGCTTCAAAGATTTACATGGTTGCAGGCTTCCTGTAGCTAAGACTTATGCCATCGGCACAAATATCGCAACTCGTACGAAAGTTGAAAACGTTGAAATTTGACGAGGAAATAGTGACTGTCTTTGGGAGACTACTTCGTATCCATGTAGATTTCATCTAATCTAATCTAATCATCATCATCGCCTTCGCTTCACTGTCACCGGCGCCTAGTTCCTTCCTTTAACCACCACCACCTCGCTCTCGTCATCGGGTCAAACTTAGTAGAGAGTCTCGTCACGAAGCCGCTTCCTTGCCCATGGCATCGAATGATAAACACGAGCCTGTGAAATGTGAGTTCAGACATTGTGCATCTGTTTCATTATCCTGATCAGCTTTTTCACGCAATGGCAGGGAAGATAACCTTGCCAGGGCTTTCCCAACTCTCCTCATTTGTCGGTACGGACCACATCGTTACGGATGATGAAGTTTCCGAAATCAACGCCTTGCTTGTACCGCCTATGAAAACGCTTCGGTCCCTTGAAGATGAAATAGACAAAATCAATCAGATCTTGAAGAATCTCTGCCAACAGCATGCATCCTTGTCAGAGGAAATTAACACCGTCCGCACAATAATCGCACCTATAAGACGCATACCTACCGACATTCTCATAGAGATATTCCATCGGTGCCTTCCTACGGAACACAACGTGTGGATGAACAAGCGTCAATGCCCCCTCCTCCTCACTCACGTCTGTCGGAATTGGAGGAAGGTCACAATAGCCACTCCGAGTCTTTGGGCATCCGTGCACATCCTGATACCCGAACTACCAGTCGACTATCGCTACGGACCATACGTGATTACGGAACACAAAGGGCAGGTGGCGGAAGCTGTGGAACGTCGGGCCATCAGAGTGCAGGAATGGCTCACAAAAAGCGGGGCTTGTCCTCTTAGTATTTCTCTTTCAGAAGATGATGTCGGCGACTTCCCGCGTCCCGATTCCATCATCCCCGTTTTTATCAGCTCTTCGAGCCGCTGGAAGAATCTCGTCGTCGTCGCCCCTCCTGATCGCCTCTCAAGACTTGCAGCTGTCAGCGATGTACCACTCTTGGAATCCCTCACGCTTGTTCAAGAATCGGCTCCACGATTAGGCAACTACGCAGAGGCGAACTCAAATATTGAATGGGAGAGAAGCGCCCTCCTGAAGGCGCCGAAGCTGAAGAAAGTGTCGTTTGAGCGGCTATGGGGAACGCCCCCTCCACTTCCATTGAGGTGGTCCCAACTTACCTCTTTCACCTTCAAGGAGAATTCAAGTGGGTTTTCCTCAGACGAGAGGTCCCCCGTTCTCGACGTCGCTCGCATGCTGCAACCGTGTGTCCACCTCGCAAATTTGCATCTTGAACTTTCTTTGCGATTCATTGAGATGCAGCCACTTTCCAATGAAACAGAAGAGTTACGCGATCCTTTTGTGCTTTCCCTCCCACTTCTTGAGTGTCTATTCATTCTTGATGGAGGAGGGGATGCAAGGCGCACAACAATATTCTTCGATATTTTGCAGGCACCATCACTTATATCTCTTGAAATCAACACCAGCCCCCCGTTATCCTTCTTCTCTCATCACGCCAATATCAGAGACCTCCATCTTCATCTCGACCAATTTGCACAGGAGAATTTCATCCAATTACTGCGTCATTGTCCACAGGTGACTTCGCTTGTCACATCCCGGAGCCCCAAGCCTTGGAGCCTCGATGAATTCCTTCAAGCTCATATATTTATATTCGATGACAACACTCTCAAGTTATTCATGTCCCCTAGTGGCAGTGATGGATCCTACTTATGTCCGAAGCTCGAGGATCTTGAATGCAGGTCATGCGCCGGGTTCTCAGACGATGGATTAGTCGAATTTATCACTCTAAAACGGAACGATTCGCTGCCAGATGTGGCCAAAATCAAGAGACTGCATGTGGAATTTGATAGGCCGCAGACGTCATGGACTGAAAAACAGAGTCAGGGGTTTGTGGAGGGTGGGTTGCGACTTTTTGTTTCTCATGTTGACTGTGATGTGTATCCAAGACCTGCTGAAGGTTGCTCATTTGAATTCGGGCATTAGAGACAATAGTTATGGATAGTGAGCGCTTGAATACCTGTTTAATGTAGCTGGAATGTATGGTTGGTTGTTAGCACCCAGATGAAGATGGAGAATATTTCTGCCCTCGGTTGGAACAACTGCACTGTCAGAGCCTGACAAACTTCACAGACACAAGATTGCTCTAGTAGGATGGAAGTGCACCAAATGTTGCAAAGCTCAAGCGAGCCGAGATCACATTCAATCGAATGCTGATGGTCGATGTCGTGAAGACGAAGGACTTTCGAGAAGGTGGTCTCGACCTTCAGTTGTCCTATGCCGAAGGTTTTCAATAATGTGTTTGCCAGTCCTCCCAGTTTGAAAAGGGTTGGCTCAAAATTTCTCTCGACTACGACTACGGGCAACGCTGATGAAAGCTAGCACAGAAATCAAGAATTGAGTTTGGTTTAAGAACTGGATCGGGGGCAATGCGCAATTAGAAATTATGTGGAATAAACACCAAGATGGTCATAACACTGTCATAAACATTCGTAAAGGAGAGGTGCGAGCCTTTCTCGCGGCCTTACGAGAGGATGTCATCCAAAAAATCGAATACAGTGGTCCAGTATTCTGGTTGAAGGCATGTATCATCTGCAAGAAGGAGATTTATTGCTAGTGAAAAATGCGATTGCCAAGGGAACTCACTATGCGATCCACGGGAGAACTTCTTGAACTTGTCCTTCACTGCAGGGACACCACACTCCTTTCCAGACACTTCCTCATCCTCCGCTACAAGCATGCTTCCCCTACGACTCATCGTCCCACAGGTCACCGCGTTCAGTAGATTACCCTTCGGCTGACCACGTTTCGAAGCCACGTCCCATAGAGTGTGCATGTGGTGCTGCGGAATGACGGCATCCAGCGTGCCGCTGAGCATGAGGATGGGCAAGGACGCAGGTATCGACTCTAGCCGGGAGGCGGACGGCCATCGCTGTGTTGCGAGAAATGAGAAGTATCCGATAACATGCCAGCCTTTGATGACGTTGGGTATCGATGTAAAGGTGTTTTCGATGATGAGGGCTTTGATCTGGGAAGCGGTCAAGTCGACTGTCGCGATGGCGAGTCTTAGGAAAGGATGTAACGGACCTTTCCGGAATTGCGACTCGTGGCGTCTATCGCGACGCCACCCCCGAGAGATTGGCCATAGATCACCTGGCGTTCAAATATTTCAAAGATGCCTCGGAATAAGAGTATGCCACATACTATTGGAAGCTGTGATAATGTTGGATGGCCTGACACGAAATCAAGGGCGGCTTGAGCATCCAGTCGAATGCCTAACGTTTAACGCTCGTCAGACTGTAGAACGGACCTTGAAAAAAAAAAAAGAATTACCGCTCTCTGAGGGTGCCCCATCCGAAAGCCCATACCTGGAACTCCGGTCAGCATAAACCAGGGTGATAAACACGTACATGCCCTCTATACTCCAGGGTGAAGACGTGAAAATTTGCGCGATGGAATCGATGTGCAAGGTCAAGGACCTCTCCTTGGTTCGTAGCGTTCCCGTGGAACATTATGACAGTTGCTCTTGCGGCCTGTGTCCGTGAAGAAAAGTCTCACCCTATGCGATTAGTTTATTCAACATGCGCCCACCTTGCTTGTCTGAAGCATGAGGTAGCATCTAAGCGTGACTTTGTCCTTGGTTCTCAGTTCCACATCTTCATAAGGCATGAAGAATTCCAGTGGAGTCATAATTTCTAAGAAAGCCAAGCAAAAATGAGCACCACCAATCGACTAAGCGCCTAAAACTGACCGCGTCTTTCGTTGTCGAAGTGGAACCCGTCTGGATAAACTAGAAGCCGTTGATTATACTTCAAAAACTAGAGAGAACGGATTAGGTGGTTCAGAAAGGATCTGAATGGGCCATCGTACCATCCAGAACAGACCCATGGCTCGAACAGATGGGGGTTGAGAGAAAGAAGGCAGACGGCTTGCCGCGCCTCAAGCGTAAAATTAGTTCTTGCAACCACGTGTTAGATCATTTGAGCGGCCCGCGGAACCATTTCATGACAGGGGCCTCTAGCCTCATAAATTGTTTACAATCGAAACGGTCTACTTACGTGTGTGATTGAAGCTCAGTATTTTGGAGAGGGGTACAACCACCCTCAGTAAAATTGTCAGCTGATCCATGGCTAGTCGAAGGAAACTGAGTATTAGGTACAAAGATGTCGGGCCTCGTTTCCTGGTATCGAGCCCATGTTCAGCAGAAGGTCTGAGCTACATGAGTATCATGAATTTCTTTGCTGAAAGTCTCTCTACAGCTCCGTCTTCGAGCAGTAGTACCCGACTCCTGTTTGACTGCAGTGGGAGTCCGCGCGTTCTCTAGGGTCTCTTGGCCTCTGGAGGTTCTCGAGAGCCCAGCAGAGGTGATCAAACGGCTTTTAAAACCTCCCCCTCCGCTTTGTCGACAGATTCATATGACCTCCATCCTTTCCTTTGATGTACGTGCCTCTTCACATAGAGAGGCCCCGGCGTTTAATCCGGCGATGAGGTTGTTGTGCTTCTTCAAGTTTCGGGAAGAGTTGGGCTTCCCGATTATTCTGTTTGACCTCAGGCTGTGCAGGTCCCATATCCGTTCTCTGAAGTGTTTGGAGGAGGCACAGGGCCTGAAGTCTATTAATGCGGTCCTGGAGGAACGTATTCATTGGAGCAACGTGTGTGGAAGCGGTATCTCGAGCGACTGGGCGTCCATACAACCAGAACAAGGGATTCTTGGAAGAACACATACTATCATTTAGGAAAAATTACACATGAGTTTACTGTCCGGCCGCTGTGAAGAGAGTAAATCATTCACACCAATGGTTCCTGCTGGGGCCTTATATGCGCGCACCCAAGTTAGCAAATCTCATGAAGTTTCTGCGCTGTGTTCAGGCTTCGACGCCCCAGCGACCGTCTATTGCAGAAGTACGCCCGACATTTCCTTGGTCGATTGCAAGGCATGACGGTCTTTATTCTGGAAAAGGAAGCTTGCTTTCCGGAAAGAAATGTAGCATCGCGATATCGATGATGTCATCAGCGGTTTCTCAGAATATAAATACGAGAGCTACTGAGCGTCTCCCTTAATCCCCTCCTTCCTTCCTTCCAAAATCCTATTTCCACAATCCTATTTCCCTCACTGTTGTCGCGCGACGCCCCCCGTTTCGCGGCGTTCTCACCTGGTCAACGTCCAGTTAAGATTTCAGTGAGTATGTGATGTCATCCTTCCAACTCCTGGGGGTCTGCTGACTATTGTGTTCACGCTACCCTCTCATTCTCCCCATATAGAGAGTATATTCGCCATCCAACGCCGATAGCTGCAAACTACGACGCAGTTTAGAGTCCGAGTCGCTTACCCGGACACGGCCGAACCGCAAAGCCGAAGTTTCCATAACGGGAGGCTTTGTCATGCCTGGTCGCTGCGTCATCACGGAACAGACGCCAAAACTTTTCCCAATCGTCCACCAACTCATAGGTACGACCAGCAGCTGGCCTCTTTACTGTGCTCTGCTCTTCGTGCCAGTAGAGACACTCTGAGCAGGTTCGGGGAGGATGAACCGCATCGCTGCGTTCATCCGGACTGCTCCGGCTTTTCGAAACGCGTTCACTGCCTCACGACCGAATACGACCCTCCTTCTCCAGCTACGCCATATCTCTGCTTCGTCATCACTCTCAGTACGAAACAATGTATTGCTGAAGGCGCCGCGGTGGGTCAACCCCAAGTCCAACCAGGACACGCCGCCAGAGGAGGAGGATGCTGAAAAAAGCGAGACGGAGGAGAGTGAATCCGAGAGCCCTGATTCCCCGTCAGAGTCATCCTCGGAATCTTCGTCCTCAACTTCGTCGTCGTCGTCTCCGCAAGGCGATTCCTCTTCACCAGTCTCGACTCCCCCTCATTCACCCCCACCTCCTTCCAACCCCGGTTCTATAGCTAAACAGTCAGTTCCCGAGCTTTACCCACAAGTGCTGGCTCTTCCCATTGCCCGAAGACCTCTCTTTCCCGGATTCTACAAAGCTGTCGTCGTCCGGAACCCTGCAGTCGTTGCCGCTATCAAGGAGATGATGAAGCGTGGGCAGCCTTACCTTGGCGCTTTCTTGCTCAAGGACGAAAATACGGACAGCGACGTCATCACGGATATCAACTCGGTTCACGAAGTTGGAGTTTTCGCACAGATCACCAGCGTGTTTGCGGCCGCTGGGCGAGGGGAGGATGACAAAGAGGAAGGGCTTACCGCGGTGCTGTACCCACACCGAAGGATCAAGATTACGGAACTGGTCAAGGCTGGTGGGGCGAAGATTGAGGAAATTGAGCAGCAGCAGCAACCGCAGACCGTTGAACCGCCGACGCCGCCACCGACCCCACCACCAGAAGGACAAATTGCTGAACCTGCACCACCTGGCCCGGTACAAACCGCGTTCCTACACAAGCACGACATCTCCATCGTCAATGTCGAGAATCTCATCACTCTCCCATACAACAAGGACGACCAGTACATCCGTGCATTCATGTCTGAGATCGTCTCTGTCTTCAAGGACATTGCTCAACTGAACCCCCTCTTCCGCGACCAGATCACCAACTTCTCCATCAACCAGGTGGCTGCGAACGTGTTCGATGAACCAGACAAACTTGCTGATTTCGCAGCAGCTGTTTCTACCGGCGAGGTTCAGGAACTGCAAGACGTCCTCGAGTCACTGGTTGTCGATGACCGACTGCGCAAAGCCCTGCTTGTGCTCAAGAAGGAGCTGATCAATGCCCAGCTGCAGTCGAAGCTTTCTCGAGATGTGGACAACAAGATCGCAAAGCGTCAGCGGGAGTACTACCTTATGGAACAGCTGAAGGGCATCAAGAAGGAGCTCGGGATGGAGAGCGACGGGAAGGACAAGCTGATCGAGAAGTTCCGTGAGCGAGCTGCAAACCTGAAGATGCCTGACGGCGTCAAGAAGGTCTTTGAGGAGGAGCTAGCGAAGCTGCAAGGTCTTGAGCCTGCTGCGAGCGAAGCTAACGTGACGAGGAACTACTTGGATTGGTTGACCCAGGTGCGTATCTCTTGCCCAAACGTATACAACCTTCTAACGTTCTTATTTCTTATTAGATTCCATGGGGTCGGCATACACCTGAAAACTACTCCCTCACACACGCGACGACCGTCCTCAATGAAGACCACTACGGCCTCGACGACGTCAAGTCCCGAATTCTCGAGTTCCTCGCCGTCGGGAAGCTGCGTGGGACCGTGCAAGGCAAGATCATCTGTCTCGTGGGGCCACCTGGGGTGGGCAAGACGAGTATTGGAAAGAGCATCGCCAGGGCGCTGGGAAGGCAGTTCTTCAGATTCAGCGTGGGTGGACTGACGGATGTTGCGGAGATCAAAGGTCATCGGAGGACTTATGTCGGGTATGGAAGTCTTTTCCTCGAGATTATGGTGCGTTAGGCTAAACGATGGTCGTGTAGGGCTCTACCGGGCAAGATCATCCAAGCCCTCAAGCGCGTTGAGACCGAGAACCCACTGGTACTGATTGATGAAGTCGACAAGATTGGTCGAGGACATAATGGCGATCCTGCGAGTGCTTTGCTTGAGATGCTGGATCCAGAGCAGAACAACAGCTTCTTGGACCACTAGTGCGTATCTCCTCTCCTCTCCTTCCGTGGTCTATGAACTCATCCTTGTTCGCAGCATGGACGTCCCAGTCGACCTTTCGCGTGTTCTGTTCGTGTGCACTGCCAACAACCTCGACACTATCCCTGCGCCCCTCCTTGACCGTATGGAGGTTCTCGAAGTTTCAGGCTACGTCTCTGAGGAGAAGGCTATGATCGCCTCGCGATACCTTGGCCCGCAAGCGAAGGAGGCCTCAGGGCTAGCAGCGGCTGATGTTGAGCTGGACAGGGAGGCTGTTGACGTGCTCATCAAGTACTACTGCCGCGAGAGTGGTGTTCGTAATTTGAAGAAGCACATCGAGAAGGTATGTGATCCCATTCAGTCTCGAAGCCTTCTTCTTGATAGACTTGTGGCTGGCTAGATCTACAGGAAAGCTGCGTTGAAGGTCGTACAGGACCTAGGAGAAGACGCTTTGCCTGAACCCAAGGAGACAGCAGCCAAAGTTGCCCCAACCGACGTGTCCTCGACGGCCTCCAGCACAGACGAGCTTGCCACCTCATCTGAGAAACCAGTAGACCATGTCGAGTCTCAAGAACCACTCCCGAACGAGCCTAACGCTTCACATCCTGCACCACCCAGTGACTCTGAGCTTCATCACGAGGTCCCAGTGACAACGACCGAGCGCGAGCCCATGCCCATACCACCGACAGTACACGTTCGAATCACAACTGAGAACTTGAAGGATTACGTCGGGCCGCCGGTGTACCAGAAGGATAGGATGTACGTTACAACGCCGCCTCCTGGTGTGAGTACGGGCCTTGGGTACTTGGGTAATGGAAGCGGGGCAGTTATGCCTGTTGAAGCTATGGTACGTTTTGCTCGTTCTCTCGTTTGAACACTTTCTGACATGTTGCTTGCAGAGCATGCCGGGCAAGGGTAACCTCCAGCTTACTGGTAAACTCGGAGAGGTCATCCGCGAGAGTGCCCAAATCGGCCTGTCATGGGTACGGGCGCACGCATTCGACCTGGGCATCACGAAGGCGCCCGAGGAGCAGTTCCTTACCGACCGCGACGTTCATGTGCATATGCCTGAGGGTAGCATAGGCAAGGAAGGTCCCAGTGCTGGCACGGCGATCCTCTCTGCATTCGTATCCCTGTTTACAGGTATGAGAGTCAACCCGGACATTGGTAAGTTTGCTCCATCCTCTTCATCGCTCTTCCAGGACTCTAACATGCTGTTCTTCGTGCAGCGATGACTGGAGAGATTTCGCTCGTGGGCCAAGTCCTCCCTGTCGGCGGTCTGAAGGAGAAGATCCTCGCCGCGCATAGGGCGGGTATCAAGACGATCCTGGCGCCCGCTGCCAACCGGGCAGATATCGAGGAGAACGTGCCTGACAGTGTAAAGGAGGGCATCAGGTTCGTGTACGTGGAGAGCGTGAACGAGGTGCTGCATGAGGTGTTCAGCGATGGCAAGAAGGACGTTGTCGAGAGGTGGAAGGAGAGCCTGCCTCTTCCTGAGCAGGAATCGAGGCCGTAGGTGGTTTTGGCTGGTTGCTCTTTGCCTCACACCACCGTTCCCTGCCCGACTCGCCCTCGTCGTGGCATGTTGTCCCTCCGAACGATCCCACCTACCACTTAACGGGCCTCGCAAGACGAGGTAGGGTTTTGGATTAAGTATATCTTTTGTTCGGAGTGCGACTCTTCGCAAAAGTTCTGCATCTGCATCTAGTTATAGAGGTACATCCTGGCATTATTCATTACCGCACATTACTTGCACGCACATCCATACACTCGTTCATGCTTAGCGTATCGTATCGTCATCTTTTTCATATTTCGTCGTTGTTCTATCGCTACAGAACTACATATGTATTTTATAGACTTAATTCATGGCCATCCCAACTCCAAGTATTACCTCTGCCGGAGCCCGAGACAGGAATATTACGTCACCAGTCACACGGTTCCACACAACGACGTGCTCACGTGGTGGCCTGGACACTTCATCGTTGATTCAGACGACGACGAACCCCATTGTTTCCATCGTGCGACTCAAAAATGGTAAAAGTGTATACTTCATCTCCAGACAGAAACGGAACCTTACCTTCACGATTAGCTTAGGTTTGGCGTCGACAACTTCTTAAATTCTGACAGATTGGAGCGGTTAGCATGGTGGAAATCCATTCGCCCTTGGCTTCAGGACAAGGGATACACCATGTTCGAATACGATGACTGGGAGTACGGAACACCTTCGTGCTCATTCCAGGATGAAGCGCGCTTTCCCTACGCTGACGGTGTGGCCGGCCCACCTGAAAGCCACACGTTTCAAAAGCCGTTTAGTTCAACCTTCCATGTAAGTTTCATATTAGATTTGGGGAGCCAGAAATAACTGAGGTGATTGTGTTAAAAAAGGCTAGCACCGTATTTGCACAAGATTCTCTGGGACGACATGTTGTCCTCAAGATTGTTGAAGGAAATTCGGAGGAGTACAAGATTCTCAACTTCCTGCTTACGCAAGTCGACTGGTCCGATGTCGACAACTTCCCTTGTGTAATTCCTGTGCTCCGTCTTCTCCCGTATGAGGAGAACTGGCTAGCAGTCATGCCCAGGTTGGTGATATGCAAGCAGCAGCTCAAAGCAATGTGTTTACTGTTCGCAGATGGGGCTCCAATCCCAGCGCTCCTTGGTTCGCGACATGCTCAGAAGTCCTCGACGCTATTCATGGCTACTTGCAGGTGATCTACCTCACCTCATCTAGATTTAGAAAATTCCTGATGTTGATTGTAGGGTCTTGCGTTTCTCCACGAGCACCGGATATTTCACCGAGTACGCCAATCGAGAATGCTTACTCGCTGGACTAAATCAATTACAGGATCTCGACTTCCCAAACCTCTTTGTCAACCACTTCTGCTGTCCAGAATGCTCACACGACAACACTTTTAGGCATGCCTTGAGAAAGCAGGGCCGTGCAAAATACGCCATCGCTGACTTCAACCTGTCTATGATGTTGGAACCAGGCACCTCTCTGCGAGACTATCGACTTCCGGTCTCAGATGCCTATGGAGTACATGAGAAGCCGCACGAAGTGCATTACGCGCAGCCTGACTTCAATCCTTTCGCGTACGATGTCGGTGCGCTTGGGATACAGTTCCGTTACGAGTACGGTGTAAGCCATCCCCTCTCTGGTAGCATGCCCCGCTTAATTTTGCATTGTAGCACCTTTCTTCTGAGATTCCTATCCTTGCGCCATTGTTGGGAGGTATGACCACCTACGACATTGAAAAACGGTTCACCGCTGCGGCTGCGCTGGCATTTCTGGACGACAACCGCAAGCACCTTAGTGAAGAGCAACTCTCTGCGGTTCCATCGCAGGATACCGACCACGATATTGCAACTCTCCCGTGGGACCTGCGTGACATGTGGTCTGGACTTTCGGCTGAACACCTTGCAAGATGGGGTCTATACCGAGAAACAAGGCCTAATATTTTTGAACGAGCAGTGCTTGGATGGCTGTGTCGTCGAGAGTGGGGTTGGACGCTTGTGTTCCATGTGCGTCTATTCTGCAGACATTTATTGTCCTTTGCCTCCGCCTCGTTCTCCCTGAGCTCGTCACTGCGGATATGGTTTAACCAACAGAAATTATTTCATTACGACGGCAAATGTCGCTAGAACTAGGCTTTCTCCAGGGTAGTCTTTTCATTAGGATCAGGTTTCCATCACGTCTACTTCCCGTGTGGCAACATTCTGTACGGCCGGGTCATGGAAAAGAGCCCACAGTTCAATACATTCAACATCTGACCTACAGTGACCCGCCTTTACGCATTTGATGCTGTCGGTCACGCAAGAACGTGCTGCACTAGGCCTGGTGGAACACAACATTTATGAAAGTCGGTGTTGGGCGCTCATGTTTGCCTGGCAGTGATTTTCCAATGAGACACCTGACTTCAGTTCGTAAGGAGTAACCTATCCCTAATCTCATCCCTCCGAGTAACCCTGCCTACCACCTTGTAATTTGCGTTTTTTGGATTTTTCGTTCGGAGTGCGATTGTTGCAAATTCCGCATCCTGCAACCAGTTGGAGCTGCACATCACATACTTACTTACTTCATGCTTAACTCGTCGTCTTTTCCTTGTTTTGTCGTTGTTCTATTGCTCCAGAACTACATATATGTGTATTTTATAGACTTAATTCATGGTCATCCCCAACTCCAGCCTCTGCTTAATTATTTAAGAGAGGGTGAGTGCAATACTCTACTACTACTATACGAGACTCTGCTCATGTTGGCCAACATATTTTCATTGCAAGACTACCCAGATATCTACTTCAATGATCACCAACTCGTGTAAGTGGCTAGCATTTATTTCAGAACTACTTTGTTTCGCTGTCGTATTAGAGCTTCACACCTGGTGACGAACACAGTAAAGACAGGGGAGAAGGATCGCAGGCGTCTGCATAATAGACGCATATTGTGCACAATTGTCCAGCCCCACATGCGACAACACAACCATTCAACAACTGTGCGCTCGAAAAAGTTGGGCATCACTTCCCGGTATCGACCCCATCTCGCAAGGTCTTCAGCCGAAAGTCCCGACCACCTGTCTCGCTTGTCCCAAGTTTGACTTAGAATTTCAGGGTTGTCCATATCCGTTGACGGAACAGCGGAGAGTTGTTGCTCGGTCAACAACTTTCGATTCTCGTCTAGAAAGGCCAGAGCTTCTGCAGCAGTAAACCGCTTTGAGACATTGTACGTGACCATGCCTCCCAACAGGGGAGCAAGAATAGGAATTTGTGGCGAAAGGTGCTGCAATATGCCAGCTGAGTAGGCATAACGACTAAAGAAAATGGCGTGCTCACCCCATATATGTAGCAGAACTGTATTCCAAGCGCGCCAACATCGTACGCGAATGGGTTGAAATCAGGATGTGCGTAGTCCACTTCGTGCGTAGCTTGATCGACTCCATAGGCCTCCGACGTTGGCAACCGACAGTCACGTAAAGAGGTGTCAGGTGGAAACATAATCGACAGGTTGAAGTCTGCTATGGCATACTTGGCCTGGCCTCCCTTTCTCAGTTCATGTCTGAAGGGGTTGTCGTTTGAGCACTTGGTACAACAGAAGTGATTTACGTAGAGGTTGCGGAGATCCAGGTCCTGTGGTCGTGTTAGCATTGTTAGTATGCTCCACGGAAAGACATACTCGGTGAAAAATGCGTTTCTCGTGGAGAAAAGTGAGACCCTACGGCCAAACATGAGGAATTGTGACAATCTGATCAAGAAAATCACATTACCTTCAAGTAGCAACGGATGGCATCCAATACTTCTGAGCATGTCGCAAACCAAGGGCGATCGTGATTGACACCCCACCTGCGAGCAGTAGCGTAAGAGCGTGAAACTGGTGCATGCATATCACAGACCTAGGCATGACTGCTAACCAATTTCCCTCATATGGGAGAAGGTCAAGCACCGGAATTACACAAGGAAAACTATCGACGTCGGACCAATCGACATGCTGGCGTAGAAAAGCAAGGATTTTGTACTCCTCTGAATCCCTTTGAACGATCTTGAGAACAACGTGCCGCCCTCGAGAGTCTTGTGCAAATATGGTGTTGCACTGTTCCATCACGATTCCAATCAGATCCTGACCAACCCCGCGGGATAATGAAAACACCTACGTGGAAATGTGTCCCAAATGGCTTTCGATCACTGTGACTCTCAGGAGGCCCCGATACAGTGTGAGCGTAGGGAAGTCCTGCTTCACCGTGGAATGAACGAATTGGTGTCCCGTACTTCCAGCTATCGTATTCGAACATGGTGTATCCCTTGCCTTGAAGCCAAGGGTGCACGGACTGCCACCACTCTAACCGCTCCTGCCTGTCCGAATCGTCCAGGTCATCAATGCCAAACCTGAGCTGATTACATGGGTAAGTGTGTCTTTCCTGAACAGAAAATAAGATGGATCCTACCATCTTTGAGCTATGCGCCGTGCTCAAGGAATAATACCACCGTTGTCGAGTGGACAAACGAATTCAAATTGGGAGGTGTTCAAGTTGTGCACGTGAGCGTGTTTGTACTGACCAGATTACGTAGTGAGCATCCGGCCCGTTGCAGCCGAGGAAGGTGCTTCCTCGTTCTTTTTTTTACATTTTATTTAAATAAAGCAATTTTGAAGTTCTACATATGTAGATTTTCCTGAGGTCAGAGCCGACATTTTTTTACGCTCATCCAGGATTCTTTCCCGATTAAATTCCGCTCAGAAATCGGATTCCTCAGGATTTCTCGTATGGAAAACGGGACCTATACTACTATTACTAGTACTAAGTCGGTTCTCGAGTACGTCCCTGAGGCCCAAGGACTGACCTACACGTGCAGTAGGACCCCATCTCAGAGCACTGAAATCCTGCCAGACTCCGCAAGGGTGCCCATAAGTTTGGAACCATCATTACCCAATTAAGGGGGTAATGTCAGCGAGCAGCGAGCATGTGCCGCTCTTCTTATCGAAGAAATAATCCAAGATTCCTCGTTCCATGAAAGGAAAGTAAGGACACGATCCCCCTCATGTTTGACACGTTTTCCTCTGCTCATCAAACCCTTTACGTCCTTTCCCCTCAATCTATGGTCGCACCGCTCTCGATGAGGCAAATTAGGAGCCTTTGTTCTACGCTAATCGATCGCAAGCGTCACCCCGACAAGAATAAAATGGATCTCCATCAACCCGTGTGAGAGATGGGACTCTACATCTGACATTACTCGAGTCATATTTCATTAATTGTGGGAGCGCAGGAGGATAAGGCGCCTATGAAGGGCTTTATAAAAGCATCACCATTCATGTCATCCCCTGCCGCGTCGAGTCCTCGTTTACTACTTACTATGTCTCGCAACGTTGTCACCCCACCTGGTACCCAGCCTGAGTTTTCCCCCAATGATCCAATTCTTCTTTCCGTCACCAACGGCGTGGACGCACTTATAGACCGCGAACAGGAGTTGTACGAGAAGTACAAGGATCAATTGCCGGACAAAGTTCACATCTCAAAAGACACGCCTGGCGTCATTCGAAAGTACAAGGTCGTGGGCCACACCAGCCTGAATACTGTACGCAATTCATAACCTGTAGCTGGCACAAGCAATTGTGGCTAATTTCCTCACAATTCGCCTAATTCTACAGAACGACCACTCTGGGGAACAGCCAGAGAAGATCTTTGGATACTGCCTTAATTTTATAGTTCCTCTCACAACCACTGAAACGCTCGAGATTCGGGTGCAACACAGCAACCTAGCGAAATTATCCACTAGTGATCGTCTCATGCCATCCGCCAACGCGTACCGTGTCAGTGACTCAGTGATACCTTTACTCTATACCATGGCAGACTTACCGATGCTTCATCATAGGTTGGCGACACTGTCTACCTTACTCGCGAAAATATACAGCATCTGGGGCTCGCAATCAAGACCCCTGTCGAGATCCTCACGAGATTGCAGTCACCTACAGCATCAAAGATCAGAATGGTATTATGATTCTGTGCTGCATAGTCACTGGTCATGTTACTAATTGTCTATTAGCCAGCTGTGAGGAACTCAGAACTTGGAGTTATGAATGACTATATGGTCAAATGCAAGCGTACCATCACACTGAATGTTATATATGGGTCGAGGTTCTATCACCAACCCCCCGACTTCAGGAGGGCTGGCTGAACAGGGTCGCCATTAATTTGTGTATCATCCGAGTCGTGTGTCATAACGTTTGTACAAGATTTCTCTTCGTCAATGAATCCTTGTTTCCTAATTAAACGCTGTCTCGTTCGCTGCACCGCTCCTGCATACATAGACCTTCTGGCCACCATCGCGGTCGCGCCAGATGACACTTAAACCTGTCATCTCTTCCAAACACTCCAAAGGGCACAGACTAGATCTGCACAGCGTGAGGTCGAGCAGCGGAATGGGGAAGCCCAATTGTTCTCGAAACTTGAATAAGTACAACAAGCGCATGGCCAAATTAGGCGCTGGCGCCTCGCTGTTCGGAGTGCCATACACATCGAAGGAGAGGATGGAGACCATACGAAGATTGGGGCAAAGCGGAGGCGGCTGTCTTCCACTTATTTTTGCTCCCTCCACTAGCTTCGAGAAGAAGGGACACAAGTACCGATTGATAACCTCTGCTGTGGTCTCGAGAACCTCGAGCGAGCCAAGAGAACCCAAGAAGAGCGCGAGACCCTCGATTGACACGACTCTGCCTTTGCCACTGCTGTAAAGCAGTAGTCGAGTAATGCTGCTTGAAGACAGAGCCGGAGAGAGACTTTCGGCGAAGAATTTTAGGAGAGGCGATGCTTCTTGGGGCGCATTGGAGAGGGCGCACTCGATGCGGAAGCGGTAGCCTCCTTCAAAAGAAGCGGGTCGTGAATCTAGGGCTGATATAATCAATCCACTGTCGTTGAGGTTAAGACGTATTCTGGAGATGGCGTTGGCCGAGAAGAAATTCTGGGCAAATAACGCAATGACAGCTCGGGCGCCTGCAATGAATCGGGGGTCGGTACTGTAGGTAGTGTCGTTGGTTGTGAGAACGAAATGGCATCCCCTCGGCGCCCTGACTTTCGCCAGGAAGGCGATGCATGTCGCGAAGTTGTCTTCTATTCCGAGTTTCTTGAGGTTGTGAAGGAGCTTCGGCTGGACATTGGCCATGTCGTCTTTGGTTGGGCGTTTGATAGCCCAGCGGATGTTCAGTCGCTCCAGATGCGGCATCTGTTCGAGCGTGCTGAGTATGTCGTGGAGCGTGAAGGGGTGAGAGCGGTTTGTTTCCTTCCTATATGACAGCCCGAAATTGCAGAGACTTGAGAACCAGTGGGCCTGAAGGTTGATGGCCACATCCGTACACTCCAGCTGGACAAGGCGCGGTGCCTTCTTCGTGAAAGCGATCATATTCGGTCGGTCAAGTGGGGTTCTAAAGGCAGGCGGATCCTCAAGAGTAGTGAGCCGGAATATCTTCAGATGGCGGTGTGGCCTCTGGATATATTCTAATGTCTTCCGCGAGAACCAGGCTATATTGTCCACTGCGAGATCGAGGACCTCCGTGCGTTCCCAATTGGTGAAGTTGAAGAGTTTCATGAAGAATTTGCGGACATCCCTGTCGAATTCCTGCCTTTTTTTATCGCTGTATGGAGAGAAGACAGTTCCTCGGATGAACAACGGCGCCGTCCGCGTCCTCTGCAGCACCTCGTTTCTCCAGTGCTCGGTCTTGAGGTCCAGGAGCAGGTTCACGTCGATGACCCGTCCCCATATTCCGCCATTCTCTAGAAGAAGCTTGCGCCACCGACTGCACACTTGTGCGGCTCTTCTGACGATGGTTAGGGCACGAAACCTGGTGTCTTCCATTGGTAGGATGAACTGGTCGTCGTACATGTTCGCGATCGTCATGAAGATGGTCAATAGAAGCTCATGAGTGAGCCTAGAGATATACGAGAGGGCGAATACTGGTAGTGGGCTGTTGGTTGGTATCACGGCTCCCCGGAAGAGATGTGCGTCAAGTCCTCGGTAGGCCATTTGGAGAATGTGTCGTCGAGGAGAGATGGGAAGGAAAGAAATTGGTGGCAAAGGTAGGCCGTAGAATTGTTTTACCACAGCTCACCAAGCGCGTGCGGCTCAGAACAGCGGTTTAAAGGAATTTACGGTGCGTGATTGAGTGCGCTTTGCCCAACGCCGAGCTGGGCACTGTGGCTGCTGCCTAAAAGCGGTAAGTAGCGCCGTGGGACATTTCTTTGCGTGAGAAGATCATGCGGAGCATCAAATTCAAGGTCCGATGACTTGAGCATTGTCCGCCTTTTCCGTCTCGTCTCGTCTCGTCTCTGTCCACCAAGTCCATATCCTCTTCGATTGCCAACGCTGCGTCTCTCGAAAAACATTCAATTTATATGTGTCAACGCTCAAAACCCTGTTGCCTGACCACTCGATAAGTAAAGAGCCGACTCAACACCGACACCAATTAATCTCAATCGTATCGGGCTATATCATGGCCCGGTAACCTGCCCTTTCTCCAATTCCAAGGATCTGCGTTCCTGGACAGGCTATTATCTTGGTTGTATTCTTACTTGAATGGCCAAAATTCTCGGCTTCTCTCTCAACGGCCTCGTGGCAGCCATGAGCGCCTCCCGCAACTCACTGTCTCCAGCGGAATGCACACAAGTGGCGGTCCTCCGTATCCAAGTTTCCTCGCAATTTTCATCGGCGTTAGTCGAAAGTATGTTCCAAACAAGGCCAGCCCAATATGGCCATACTTGACACACCTCTCAGCCTGTGCCGGCGTCTACTGTGAAACGCTATCTACTCGACCTACCGGTGCCGATGTCGTGAAGTCATTTGGACCTGTGGCACTTATAAGAGTGCGGACATTTGTAGGGTGTCCTGTTGTTATGACTCTCGGCGTCTCTTTATCTTCTACGACATCCTCAAACTTCTCTGGCCCACACTCTTTTGCAAGTTACCTTCATCATGCCCTCTTCCCCTCCTGCGCGACCCATTATGCCAAAGCATCGATTCGTCTCGGAAATCCAACCTCCGGCACCCCTCAGAATACGGCACCGACCACCCAATTGGGAGTTTCATCCATCTAGAGCGACAGCGACACTTCGCCATCGCCCACCAGTCAAACGCGTGCCGTCCCCTCTTCCTAGAAGCTCTTTCTCGTTTGAAGATCTGTTCGAGCTACCTAAAGTTCCCCACGTCCCCGTTCCGTACCCGCTTGCTCAAGACAGTCCTCATCCAACACCCCGAGCTTCTAGATACGGGCAATTGGAGGGTTTCGACTCATCGACCACTCTTTACTCACCGCGATCGCCGGTCATGAGTCCTCGGAAACGCTACAACCATGTGCCCCGCGAGAACATCGGTAGAGGCGACTCAGTGTTCTCATGTTTCGGTCAATGCTTTAGTGAGACCTTCCCCTCAGGACAATCGGACAATGGTGCTAAAGGGATCTATGCTCTAACAGGTTTCGAGAACCCTTTTTCTCCCCGCCTGCAACGGACCCCCAACAGACTTGTGATCGAGAATCGTTACAGCGCGCATTATCTTCCTGATTTCCTGCCTTCATCAATTGGAACGGAGCACCGTCGTTCCTTTTCTCCGTAATGTATAGATTCTCCGCACATCGACTCGGAGCTGTCGTTGGAGCCTCTTTCATTGACATTATATGATACACTAACACTTCCGAATGCGTTTTGACATTATTACAGTCTTACTTTAAACTTTCTGTATTTCTAGCCCTCGTGTGTACTTGTGTTCGTCCATAGCTGTACAACTTCTATCCGATCAGTGCATATCCTCCTCCGCGTCCGCGAGGACAAGTTGATGCGGCTGTGAGTACAGGATTGATATACGGAGATATGACGTTGGGGCATAGCCACCCCCAGCCAAGTATAAGAACGACTCTTTCCATTCCTCCCGTGATAAATTCTTCTCCCTCGCCTCTCTCCATGGTCAGTAGCAGCCCGCAGCATGGTCATTTCAACGGCCAGCTATCAGAGCAGTACATCCAGGACGCTTTTCACAGCTATCTCAAGTCGTCGTTGACCCAGGCAAAGGCTGAACGATTAATTGACGTCGATGTTTTGGCCAGTGCAGAAGGAGACCTTATGATTACAGGTGCGTAGAGATCTCGAGGACAGCATGATTAGCTTTTGACGAATTTTAGGGCCCGCTCTATGCTTGTACTTTGCAGCACTGCGGTGCACAACCAACCCTCCTTCAGTCCCTTTACCCCGTACGACGAAAACTGCGCAGCCCATGGAGCTCTCCTTCGAGAATTGCCCTCCAGCCTTCGTGCCATTCCTCCGCGTGTGGGCCAACACCGTCCCCTCAATACAGAACTTGGCACCAGAACACCAGCATGACCTCGCCCGTGTTATATGTGGTTTGGAACCCTTGCATCGGGATGTAGTCCCCATCGTGAACGGGATTTCTGCGGATCTACGCGCAGTAGCCATCGAGATCAGCCAGCGAAGGTCGTTCCAGGACCGCTACGCCTCTGATCTTCAAGCGGCACTGGACGCTGGTGGTGCTCCTGGGAGTGCCAGTCCCCGGAAGGCGTCGTTTGTGCCGCCACCCAACTATGACGCCTCACCGAGCACATCTTCCCACTCTTCTCCGCGCCAATCCCTTGAATCTTTACCACCCAGGTTGCCTCCTCGAATAAACTCCAATCTACCGCAGCAATCTCCCGGCTTACTATCACCTCAGTGGCCATCGGCCCAAAGCTCGGCATCTGGATCTGTGTCGTCCTTTGCATCCAGCACATCCTCAAGCCCCTCCATACTTACCCAAGACTCGCCCGCCATCGAGTTCATCCGCGAAACACTCTACGCCTCACTCGCAGATGCCCTCGAGCGCCAACCTTCCCTACGGCGGATGCTCAAGACCGACCCGCCTCGCGCGTACTTCGGGTCTGTAGCCTTTGCGATTCTCGACGTCGCCTCAAACGCCATCACCCCCGATGGTTCCGTCATTGGCGTCCTCGGCAAGCCACTGACTCTTGCGGAGTGTCCGCGCGAGCTACGGCCGTTCATGACGGAGCTCGCCAACATCGGACGCCTGGCGAAGGAGATGGAGGAGGAGGACACGATGGATGCGATCAAGCTAGCAGAGCGAGGGAAATCGATTCCTCTTTCGCGGCTAGATCGCGTGAAGATGATGTTGGAAGGCGGCGTTGGGTACGAACGGGGGTTGCAAGAGGCGGATGAGGGACGGAGGAGTGTGGAGGGTCGTGCAGTGGCATTTGCGAATAAGATCAATGCGCTGAGTCTTGGGATGACGAGGTTGAAGGCCTTCAGGGAGAGGCAGGGCGATGTGTTCAAAGTATTGGCTGGCATTGGGTCGTGACATCCTTTGATTTCGTATCTGAACCTTTGTTGTATTTTTGTTATCCTAGTGTTGCTTGTTATGTATCTTCGGGATGTATAATACCTTACCCACTACTTCTAGTATACCAATAGGCTTGATTCGAATATCCTAATGACTAAGAGAAGGGAGAACCACGTTCTGCTTCAATTTCGGGTTCCATTGCGGTGTCCTTATTTCAAGACCTAGCCATTCAGGCCTCGCTTGACTTGAATCGAAGACGTTCTATCTGACAATGCTGCGGTGGTAGCCCTCTAGACTCTAGTATGTATTCAACTACGCGGACGACCAAGTACATGACGATTTGCATGAAGGATCGAATACTAACATTGCCAGCTATCCTACAGTCGCCATTAGCCTTCGGAACAGGAAAAAAAGAAAACGATCGCATACATCTTTGTCCTTCGCTGTACCTTCGGACAGGTAAGGTTCTTCTCCGATGCATTCGGCGAGCGTGACGAGCTGGTATCCGGCGGCTTGAAGCTTCTGGATGGCATACGGGAGCACGTCATGGCTAGAACCCATCAAATCGAAAACGAGGATACAGGACGCACGAAATACTTACACGCTCGAGTCTAGATAAACAATGACGGATATTATTTTGGCTAATCGTGCAAGAAGAACTAGACCTACCGTACACTTCATGCTGCAATGAGAGTATATTGTCGGGGTGCCTGTTTATGACAGCGTCGTACGACTGCTTCTGCACGTCAGCAGGGCTCTGAGCTGAATCTTCAGAACTAAAAGGGCTAGTCAGTGTTACTCTGGATATCCTAGATGAGCAGAACTTACTCGAAGTCCCATGTTACGATTTCCTGCGAGCGAGAACTAGCCACCTGAAGGACTTGGTCGTTGTAGTTACCATATGCTAAAGCAACTCAGCGCACTGGTCAAAGGAGACAGAAGGGACGGTCGACGATGGCTTACGAGGTCTCGTGAACGCGGGTCTGGCTCCAATGATTCGTTCGATAGCATCTGGAAGAACAAGGCAGTGAGTCATCAATAAGTATACGCAAAGAAACGATGAGGTGTATACCCTCCGTCATCGACATCTCCGAAGCGACTGGAACATGTCAGCTTGCTAAAGATAAATGGAAGGGAAACTGGCCCACTTTCGTCCCAAGAGAGGGTAGAGAGGTCCTTGTGTGACCAAGTGTGCGACGCGATCTGAAATCCATTGTCGTACGCATACTTGATTTGCTCGACATTCCCGTCATCGTATATGCAACCCCCTATTTGATAAATCGTCATCTTCGATCATGGGGAGAGACATCGGGGATTGCTCACAGTTCTTTCCGTCTATGGCGCAGAGGAGTTCAGAAAGGAGTAACAAGGCAAAAGAGGATTGTACGTACTGACGAAGAACGTCCCTTTGCCGCCAGCGGCCTTTAGGGTGTCGACTACTTCCTTCCTAGATTCAGAAAGCCCACGTGAGGAAGGTTTTTGAAATCGGAACCACGAATTTTGTACATGTAGATATAGGGCCCGTCATCCTGTTTCAACCTGTGCATTAGGGCAACAGCAAAGTAGGAAAAGGAAAAAGTAGTTTGGACGTACGAAGGTAAGCGCCGCAGTGTTCGACGTCGAGCACTTGGTGACGACCGGCGCACCGTCTCTCTTGCTCAGCTCGGCTGGCGAGGCGAGGCCGGAAAGAACCAGGGAAAGCAGGACGAAGGAGAAAGCGAGCATAGTTAGACACAACCAGGAGCCTGAAGAGAAAATAACTCGGAGTGTGGGTTAAATAAGAGATTCAAAAGTGAACTGGTCTTCGTCGTATTCGGCCGCTGGCCGAAACTGGAGTAGGATGAATCAGGGTGGTGGAGTTGGAGCTGATGGTGAGGTCATTCTCGAAGAGGGGGATTCTCAGGTCTCGATGAGCAGAATCGCCTCATGTCGCGGTAGGCTCATATGATGCCAACAACGTCCGAAATTGAAATTCAAGGAGCTTGAGTAAGTCCATTAAAGCAATTTAGGCACATTTTGCCCCAAGCCCGACTCCTCATCCACCTAAAAGGCCCATAGAGATTTCTTTAGCTCATTTTCGTCTCCAAACGTTTGGAATGGGCGCGTAAAAGACCTAGATATCGGGATGGGTACGAGACTGACCAACGCTCCCTGGATACAGAAAATCGCAAAGAACGCGCCAACTACCACTCCAGAGATCCCGCCATGCTGAGGGCTGAACAAGGGGGAGATTCGCGAGGCGAAGCCAAGCCAGCGTGCGCCCTTGGTATCTTCTGTGCCCATGACCACCACGGGATTGCGCAGGACCCGCATCAACATATGGCCCCACAGGTCTATCCAATATAGACATGCGATGACTCCACCGCTGGAAAGGAAGGTATATGTAACTTATGGAGACTTGAAATGGATGGTGATGAGTACGACCTATGAAGATACGAACCCCAGCGCACCGGCTTCTCCAGGACTTCCGAATAGTCGATGAAAAAAAGACGTCGAAATAGGTTTATTGAGACTCCTTCATAAAGTCCAACGACATATAACCTATTGGGAATTGTTGTCAATTCGAGTGCAAAGGCAAGAGACAGTGAATTACACGAAAGTGATCGTCACGGCCAGCGTCCAGTCGACAGCAGCCACTGCTGTCGTTTGCCCAGTATAGGACAATGCGGCCTTTACCGTCCCAAACAGCGTGATGGACGCCGTGACTAGTACCCTATACCCAGTGATTGGAGGGCTGCGTCGCCACGCATAGATGTCGACAGTCCGTTCCGTCGATGAATAATTAGGTCGGAAGCGCAGCAGATACCAGACCAGGTCCATGCAATCGCGTTCAAATAACCATAACAGAAAAGGTGGGCATGATTTCGACCCCTCGAAGCAGCCCACGACAAAGAACCTGAATGCAAATGGTCAAGACTGGTAGATTGAGAGCTAGCTGAATTTTGACGCACAACAGAGTCGCGAAAACCCCTGCAATCCACTCCAATGTAATTGACGCTATCTCCACATCCTGATATGTGGCTATTGCTTTCGCTATCACCAGAGATACGGTGGTGGTCACGACAAGTAGCCTATACGGACAGATCTTGGGGTGTCATCGAGTCGGTCGATTCGAGAGGTCGATAGCGTGCAGTGAAAGAGCTTCTGAGGGCTTCGTTGTCCCCTGATACATGGGGGAAAGACCAAGCTCATAGAACTTCAGGGGAAACCCTCAGCACCATAGGGAAGGCACTGCAATAGCAGAGACGGAACCAGCAGGAGGCTAATTCCTATCAGATACAATCGACTATCATTTGTATCTATTTGGTCTGTCTAGGGAGACTAGCTAATTCCCATCGAAGAGGTATAGTTACGTAACGGATAAGTATCATCAGGGGCTGTGCACCCGGGCCGGGGAGACCAAGCCCACGTCAAAACTTCGTCTTCCAGTAAGTTACTGAGTAAGCGATTCTTGAATAGCTATCTCGTCAACATCTGCATGTAAAATTCTTGCTTGAGGTCGTTCTGAATAAACTTACTTCCTGGGTTTCCTTCAGGCGTTGTCTGAAGTCTTGCCAAAGGTATCTTTGTCTTCGAGAGATCCCCCTTCCTGTCATGTTCAGGATGTATAGATATAAAGGCTCAAATGGCTATCGATACCTTAACTATCGAGAAAACTGTTATCGAGTTGAAATGAGCAATTTGCACTTCCTGTCCCAGCCGGACGGTACGACGAAGACAGCATTGCAATCGATTATCATTCACCTCAAATCCACCTTTACCAATTACGGTCACTGAAGGTGTGCCGCCTTCTGCTATCGATCCCCGTCAATCAATGGCTCTAACGGCACCATGCTTTCCAAACCGCAAAATGCCACAGGACACTCTCGTCGAATGGGATCACGGCCACGATTTCCGAAGGTGGCAGGTCCATTTCCTTTTCGGTCGTCATCTCCTATCCATCAGGAACGGGTTGATCATTTCCTTGCCGTAATTGCCACTGGCACTTCCACCATCCCACCTCACCTGGCGTCACCGTCGTCAACCTCTCGAAAAATGACATCGCGACGCAGGACTCGGCCATTTGCTCAGGACAGGGCAAGCCTTACACTCTCGTTCAGCTGGCGCCTTCATGGCGTGGGCGTGGGGGGTCAGACGTCTCGTAGACGCACTCGAAATCACGCCAGAGTTAAATATAGATGCCACTAGGATCGCCGTGACGGGCTGCTGGAGAAGCGGATTGCGCGGACAATTCGGTAGGCGTCTGGGATGTGTGGTACGGACTGCTGACGCATCTCCTACAAGATGAAAGACCCCTTCCAAAATCCTTCGATTAGACTATTGCATACTCGTGGACATAATCGCGCCGCGTGGCCTGCTTATCATTGAAGGCATGCCTTGTGGCTGGTCGGTCCCAAGTCAGGCAGATCGAAAATAATTGTAAGACAGTCTCTGTTCTCCGTTTTTGTTGTTTGCTGAGGGGATAAAAGATGGCTCTGTCATCAAAATAAAAGGATTGCTAGGGGTGCGCTTGACGTGCATTTAGGCTGAGAAATGATGACGAAACATTTATTGCAACAGCAAACTTGTCTTTACGTCTACGATCCCCTGGCCCTACACCATATTTTCGTCAAGGTAATCAGATTGCTTTGATGGTATTCTTGTAATGACTAAACTATAAGCTGATAGGACCAACAATTCTACGAGGAGACAGAAGACTTCGTCCAGTAAGCCAATATTATTTTCATGGTCTTTGGGCCCCGACGACTTTTCTTCATTGCAGGACGGCACGCATGTTCTTCGGACATGGACTCGGCACGGTCACTGGTAAGTGGTATTAGTACCACAGCTCCTTCAGCCTTGTTTATCCTTTTACAGGAGAAAGGCACCGTATTCAGCGGAAAATGATTACCCCCTCATTTTCAATTGCCCACCTCCGAGAGATGGGTACATGTAAGTAAAGGGTTTTATCCGCTTGCTGATATCACCCCTTGCAGCAAACACGTTCTACGAAGTTAGTCACCGCCTCCATGCCACCTTCCAAGATCTCGCCAAGAACGACAGTCAACAGGTGTGCATCCCCAATTTATTTCATCCTACCAACAACTATTTAGTCAAGCAGGTCGACGTCGTCGTGTGGATGTCCTGCCTCGCTCTGGAGCTCATTGCACAAAGTGGTCTCGGATGTTCCTTCGATACTCTTACCGCAGAAACCCAGGCTCATCCCTTCGGAGTCGCCGCTAAGATGCTTATGTATGTGCCTCCCGTCTATTATTTTGTATTTCAATCGTTCTATTCTGACATGCATTCTAGGCCACTCTCGTCAGACATGTCACCCCTGCGACGGCTATTCATGCCATTGGTTGGCAAATTCGAGCGTTGGCCCCGCCTCGGACGTTTCCTGATCAGCATGGTGCCTACGAAGTCCATCACCGATCTCACCTTCGTGGTCGATACTATGAACAAGACAGCAGTTGAGGTGATTGAGAGCAAGAAGGCGGCTATTGCGGCCGGCGACGAGGCCATGAAGGACCAAGTTGGCCACGGCAAGGACTTGATTAGCGCTCTTTGTACGTTTTAATCCTTCTTCTTTTATTCGTCAGCTGAACACTCCCCACTAATAGTGAGAGCCAACATGTTCGCGTCAGAGCACGAACGACTGAAGGAGCACGAGGTGCTCGCTCAAGTTACGTGAGTGTCGTGCCTCATACATTCCTTAGTCCGGTTTTTGATAATATTTCCCAAAGCGGACTCACGTTTGCTGCCGTCGACACAACATCGTCCGCGCTTAGTCGTATCCTTTATCTGCTCGCTACACACAAGGACGTGCAGGAGAAGCTTCGTCAGGAAGTCAGGGAGGCTCGCAAAGAGTCCGATGGTCAAGACCTTGATCACGACAAGCCCGCTGGCCTTCCTTACCTTGATGCGGTCTGCCGTGAGACGCTTCGACTGTGAGTACATCCTCTCAAGCTATCTGGGAGACACTGAATTCTCTTTTCCCCGGCAGTTATGCTCCGGTTACCAAACTTGACAGGGTGTACGTCGCAGAGCTTTGATATCCTTCTTCTGCAATCGAAGTTAATGCGACCTCTAGAACGACCGCGGACACCATCTTGCCGCTGAGCACCCCCGTCAAAGGCATCAGTGGCGAAGATATAGACTCGCTCTCCGTACCCAAGGGCACGCACATTATCGTCTCCATCCTAGGCTCCAACAGGAACCCGGCACTGTGGGGTCCAGATGCATTGGAGTGGAAGCCTGAGAGGTGGCTGAAACCCCTCCCGGAAACCTTGCTCAAGGCTCGCGTTCCTGGTATCTATTCACACTTGTGGGTTATGCTCTTCTGAACTTCAAGAGGCGGCGTTTTCTCATGCTCCCACAGGATGACCTTTATCTCCGGTAGCCGGTCTTGCGTGTAAGTGCCTAACTTTGCATCTCGCGTGCCATCGCTCATAATGCCTTTCGCGGGTTTAAATTCTCTCAGCTTGAAATGAGTGGGTCTCCTTTTGTTTTATGATTAAAGTGGCCATGAAGCGATTGCTTTCCTCAGAGTCAGTTCTCGCGACACTCCTCGAGGACATCGAATTCTCTGTCGGGGACAAGCCGATTCACTGGCACATGGGGAATGTCACCACCCCTACGACGGTCATAAACAGCGTCGCTCCTACCATGCCCATGAAGATTCGATACATCGGCAAAGAGTCCGACTGAACGTGATGGCTATGGACGCTTGGAGCAAGTGCAGCGACGAATTTCGTGCTCGGTCGGGGCGTCGCGGCTCAATGGCGCAGTATGTTTAGAACGTGAATAGCATCAATTTCCACCCCTTCTCATATTGAAAACCTGTGTAAATATACGTCTACGAACTATACAGTTAAGCGGTTTCTTGCGGATGAATAATAAGCTTGCGTCCCGACACCTGGCCATTCTCCAGTCGACTCAGACCGCCAGTTACAGCCGCCAAGCCTCCAGGAAGGACTTCGACACGAGCAGGCTGAAAAATACGAGCTGCATGAGCACATGTGTCGAGAGAAATGGTGACTACTGACCTTAATGACGCCTTCTTCCAACCACTGGGTAAGCCTCGCGTACATCTCGATGCAGAGCTTGCGGTTATGAGGCAAGACGGCCATAGCGAAGACGAACATGACGGACTTCCCGTCTGTCGGGGTGACCTCAGGGTTCATGACCACAACAAGGTCACCCCCCGGGACGAGGAGATCGTGCGCAACCTTCTGTGTATCAGGCAGGGAGACGGCGTCATATATGATCTCGAGTGGCTTCGTCGTGATCTTCTTGACTTCGTCCCCGAGTGAGGTGATAGGGATATTACGATCGATGACATGTGTGGCACCGAGTGACTTGAGGAACTCGGTGTGTTTCAGTGACGACGTGGTAATGATTGGGCCGAAGCCAGCGAGTTTGCCAACTTGGATAGCTACACTCATGGTGAATAAATGACGATAAAAATGGACGAAGTAGGCCTACCGAACTGGCCGACGGTGGTGCCTCCACCGATGACGACTAGAGGCTTTCCAGCATACTTGTTTTGGGTGGAAGAATCGAGGGGTGCAGTCCATGCAGCACCGTGTGGCTTGTCGTTGAAGTATCCGAGGAAGGCTGCAGTCATGCAGACCGGGATCGTAGCAACATCGTCGAAGGAAAGATGCGCAGGAATCTGGAAGGCTTTGATATGAATGAGGCAAACGCATGGATAATAGAGTGAAGTACCTTCGAGACGGTTTCTGCAGTGATGATGTTGTACTGCTGGTACCCGGCTCGTTCGTTGGACCAAGAACCTTGGTAGAACCTGTGCGTTTCGTCAATGAATTGTCGTACAGGGATTGAGACGAAATGGACGAACACTCTATCGCCCTTCTTGAAGCCAGTTACACCTTCGCCAACGGCCTCGACGACACCAGCGATATCCGTGCCAATAATCGCGGGGAAGTTCTCAATGAAGAGCCCGTACTTCTGGATAACCCAGTCGACCGGATTGAGCCCGACAGACTCGATGCGAACGAAGAGGTCTCCATGTCCTGGAGATGGCGTCTTATTCTCGCCGAGGACGAACTTGCCACACTTGGAGTCGAGGTAGAGAGCTTTGTGAGAGGCCATGATATTGTTGGTTTGGGATGGCGCCAACGGCAGGGCGTTTTATATCAACTCCAAAGGCTCTCGAAGAAATAACTCGCTCGAAGTAGCTGATTCATCCATGTCGTCAAGGCCTCGGGGAGATTATGAATCAAAAGCGCTTTTGACGTTCCCGCCGTTCAGAAACGTCGCGACGCACACCATCTGAGGTGACGGGTAGGCTTTCCAGGTGGCTATAGACGATTCGCTTAGTAAACGCTCAGTGAATGAGGCGTACGACATGCTAAATATACACACAATAGAACAGCCTGGCGTGCCTCTGTACTGATTCCTGTCACCTTGGGCGCTCGGGGAGGAAGCTGAAATCCATCGAAGGTTCATAAATCGTCACTCGGGACTGCCAGAGCGGAGTTAGCACGAGAACCTCATTGGAGGGAGTCCGAATGTAAGAGACAATGCGCAAATAACCTGAATTCTCCCGAGAAATATGTGGCTCTAGAGATGGATAGTTGAAACCTACACTTGGCTTGGCGAAGTTCTATAAGCTAGATAAGATCGCACGATGGCATCGCTTATCTTATCTGACCCAAACATGGTCGGCCTAGTTCGATGTTCATTGTTGACCTTGTACAACGACCTCGAAATATCATTTGTGCTCAAGAAACCATCTTCCTAGAATCCTGAATTTTGTGCCCTTCGAACTCCGGAGGTCGTTTGGTTCCAATACCTGCCCAAAAGCGGCGGCTTTTCCGTTGACACCCCCACGAGCACCCGCAACGATCATGGCTTCCTTTGAAGATTCTCCCTTCGCCTCACATATCGGGACTAACTACGTTCCAACAGATACGGAGGTGCTCCAAATACACGAGTTTCTACAGGACCCAAAGAAAGAGAAAGCGAAACTCGACGATGAGATCGCCGAAATCCAATCGAAGCTCGATGCCCTGAAGGCAAAAAGCGATGCTATAGTAGCCACAGTGAAGGCTCATGAGGCCCTCATATCCCCCATTCGCAGGTACCCCGACATTCTCCAAGAAATATTCGTTCACTGCCTCCCGACAGACCACGACGCCGTCATGAGCGCCTCAGAGGCTCCGTTGCTGCTGACGCGTGTCTGCAGCGACTGGAGACGTCTTGCCCTTGCCACACCCTCCCTATGGTCCTCCCTCTTCGTAACACTGCCAAGCCCACCTCTTCGACCTTTCGACGAGGACTCAGGAACCGAGCGGCGTCGGACAGAGCGGTTCTTCAGGCGGTTGAAGACCATTGCGGTAACTGCGGGGGAGTGGTTAGGAAGGTCAGGGAGCTGCCCGCTCAGCATATCGATGGTGGCGGACCAGATGTCGGATGGGAACTTCGAAAATCCATTCGTCGACGTGCTCGTCCCGTTCTCATCTAGATGGAAGAGGCTGATCATGCAAGTGAACGATGGGCCCAGCATCGCGAAGATATTGCAGGTCGCGGCGGCGGACACCCCAATGCTACAAGAGCTTGTGCTCAACACAGGGGTGTTTCCTTCGACACCTGGATTCCAGCCTTGTGTGAAATGGGCGCAGTGTGGGTTGGTACAAGCGCCCAGGTTGCAAAAGCTTGTGTTCTGCAATTTGACCGAGGATCTCTCCTTGTTCCACCTCCCGTGGGCACAGCTCACGCACATTTCTGTCGACGCGTGTAGAAGAAGCTACACAGCCGCTCTCTCGCCGCAAAAGATATTCAACATCATGGAGCATGCAGTCTGCCTTGTGTCTGCGCAATTCGAGGTCGGGAACTTCGACTGGCCGCCCCCCGAGGCGTCAGGGGCGGTCGACCTCACTGTCCACGGGAATACACCACTTGTCCTTCCATCCCTTCGTCACCTCTCCATTCACGCCGGGTCAGATCCATCACACCTCTTTCAAGCTCTACGCACTCCTAACCTGCATGAGTTCGGCTTCTTCTCAACGCGTCTTCCAGGAGAGGGTATCCCCGAAGTCCTCTCGTTCATCTCAAGAGCTGACCACCTAACCTCCTTCTCCACCGACCCACGCTGTTTCACCGCGAACGAGATCCTCGATTGCCTCCGGCTCTGTTCCTCCGTCACCTGCCTCAAGTTCGGCTTGGGGTTTGTTCCTCACATCTTCGACAGACACTCTTCTTTCATGCCACGGGGACCTCCAGCTCTTACTGACGATGACCTGATGCAACACCTCACCCCTTCAGATGACCCCAACAAGACCCACCTGTGCCCGATGCTGAAAGAATTTCGGTGTACGTTGAAGGCGTGCTTTTCGGAGGAGGCGCTGATGAAGTTCGTCACTGCGCGACAAGACCTTGCGATGAAGGAGGGATCATCAAAGCTCGAGCGCGTAATCGTGGCGTTGCACATATTCGTGAGGTGGACGTCTTGAAGGGGCTCGAGTCGTACGTTGAGTCGGGTCTTGACTTGAGAGTGTCGTATCCTTTGCACCTGGAGGCTTCGGTGTCGACACGTGCTGGATTGGAGAGGATCCTACACTTTACTGACGAAGGGCTTTCTGCAATGGAATACACGCTTGATCCACGTCTCTTCTAACCTCCGTCGGTGACCGCGCTGGGGCACTATAATTAGGACAATCCCGAGTTCGACGATTGCCGGGTAGCCAATAGGGCGCAGTCCAATGGACGTGATGGCTGTAACAGTCCAGGCAATCAGGTGGATGGTTTGTAATTTCACCCCGCACTACCTCCTTGAACGGTGTCTCGGCTGGGGAAGAAGATGAGAGGCAAAATCGACTGCATTAGAGTAACAGTAGGCATTTACAAAGTTCTTGCTCGCCGATTCCATCTTGCAATCCTAGAAATAAGAAAAACAGTTCGAGGAGGGAACGATCCTGCCGGAGACAGCGGGATGGCACGACAACTGACTTGGAGCTGACCTGACGGATCTGAGCGGGGCGGAGTCGGTAAGCGACCGTGACCGAAATGCCAGCAGCGTGATTGGCTCCCGGAATAAACCGGATGGTCACATGACGCCATTAACGAGGTGCTCAAAAACTTTCGACGGATTCCTCTCTTCAGCACTCCACATCATCCACCCTCCGGTCCTCCTTCGTCGTCGTCTTTTATTCTTTGTATAATCCTTTTTCTTATTCTCGACTATAGACATGTCTTTCGCTCCCGGTGCGTTCAGCAGTCGCGTTGGCCGCTCGTGACGCGACACGGTGGCTGACCACGAAGCTCTATAGGTGACGCTGCTAAGGGTGCCTCCCTCTTCAAGACACGGTGCGCTCAATGCCATACAGTCGCTGCTGGCGAGCCCCACAAGGTCGGCCCTAACCTTCATGGGTGAGTTGTAGGAGCCATATATGCGTACCCAGCGCTGACCATTGGCCTCCGTAGCATCTTCGGACGCAAGTCTGGCCAAAGCGAAGGCTTCTCATACACTGCCGCCAACGTCAACAAGGGCGTGACATGGTCCGAGCAAACACTCTTCGAGTACCTTGAGAACCCCAAAAAGGTGCGTTAGCCTTTGCCTTGTCATAACGGTCTTCGAGCTGACATGCTGGCTTTCCTAGTACATCCCCGGTACAAAGATGGCCTTCGCTGGCTTGAAGAAGGACAAGGACAGGAATGATCTCATCACATACCTTAAGGACGCTGTACGTTGTCTACCCCGTTCTCCACCTACACCGTCTTAACTCGATTTCTCAGTGCGCATAAGTTCGCCTTCCTCCTGGACTTACAGACGGCAACCCCACATACCTAATCTCATCACGCATATGTCCTTGGATATCTTTCGGTGCTTGTAGATTCCCTCCGTGTCTTTCATGGGATGGTCTTAATTGCATAGACGATCATACCAGTCCGCCGGCTGTTTCTTTACTCTCCTCTCATCATGAATATCATTATTATTCATATCGTATGGTGCGATTCCGGCCTGGCTAAGTTGTTGAAATTTGGGTGCTTCGTATGCTACGTCATCGTATCTGACGTCATGGCTGAATTCACTTTTGCAGCGGTCTTCAATTTGAATTCGAGATTCTCCTACAAGCTCAAGTTAACTCGGATTCTTTCTAGGCGACAATCAATGAAACTTCACCTCCTTGCCTCCAACATTTCGATCACTTTTGTGCTGAAGGTGCAAGTTGTAACACGATCAACTTCGCAGCCAAGAAATACGAATATCTGAGTCTAAACACTGGGTTTCGACGAGGAATTGATCGCAGTTCGGAAAGTCTACTTGGTAGAAGCAAGCAGTGGCGGAAAATATGCCGCGCAGACCCAAGGTACTTCAAATCCAGGTGATGCTGCAAGGCGACCCACGAATCACGTTCGGCACAACGACCCTTTGCAATCGTGTTTGAAGACAAGCCGATGCGGGGCGTAACTATAACGGCAAATTGCGATTCCTACACCTCAAGGCTACAAACCGGTAAATCTCACGTTTTGCAAAGCGGCTATCTACTGAAGACCGTAATGGGAATATTCCATTCTGACATACATCGACGCAGTTTAAAATATCAACACTCTCCCACTGCTATCTTTGTGCGAGAAATTATTGACATAGGCCGGACAGAATCCCTATGTCGTAAGTGCTGCAGTCTTCTTGGCGTCGGGCAGCTGCTGAAAGACCTGTATGTAGCAGGCAAATACCCACCGACGTCATTTATGTCGAATCTGGCCCCGCGGTGAGCATTATTGCATCTCCAAGCTAAACGAACAACTGAGCGGGCCGAATCTATCGATCATGCCGAGTACTAGTCATCCTTAAGGCCGAGCCACATCGTAAGAAAGGCAGCGCAGCCTCGGCCTCTACGACGTCTTCCTCTTCCCTAACCCCGCCGAGACGTTTCGTACCTCCGGCGGGTGGGGAAGGAGAGCAAGGGAATGTTCAGAGTCTTCTTCAGCTATCACTCCTCCGCGGCAAACATCTTTCGTGGAACTACTTAAAGAAGGCGAGCCTACGCTCGAAGCCCCATCACGAAAATGCCTACTAACGTCGTCCTGCAGATTCTCGGAGCTGGGTTGCTAACAACTTGTCTGTGGCTCATCTCTCGCCGACGTCGTTCCACTGCGTTGGACAATCTTCCTGGCCCCCCGGCCGGGTCGTGGCTGTCGGGTACGCCACATCGTTTTTTATTGCTTCCCAAATGTCTTACTATAAGCCGCTAGGCTCCCTTGACCTGATAGCTGATAAGAATGGGTGGGAGTATCATCGCGAAATATCAGAGAAGTGTATGTGCTGCCCAACGTTAAGAGACGCACTTCTCGTTTCTAATCTTCTTGTTAGATGGGAGTATTATCCGTATCAAAGGTTTATTCGGTGTAAGTCAAGCTATTCTACTAGGATGACGGGGAAATCGAATTCTTACCATCTTTCAGCGCAATGGACTCTATGTGTACGAACCAAAGGCAGTGCACCACATACTCGTCGAGGCGAGCTGATTCTCTGGTTCTTCGTTGGCACAGGCCTTGACACATAGCTTACAGGATCAAAATATCTATGAGGAAGCCGAGGGCTTCATCCAGTACGTGTATTTACTGATTCACGTCTGGTGTCGCCTTACTCGTTTGAATACTAGGATCAATAAACTTTTATTTGGTGAAGGGCTCCTCGCGACGCTTGGTGAGTGCGTCCGACATTATGGCGCCAGGTACATTTAGTTCGCGTCCTAGGTGAACAGCATCGTCGCCACAGGAAGATGCTGAACCCAGTCTTTTCAATCGCCCATCTGCGCGAGATGGGTATGTCATTCACCTTGCAGTCCTCCGTACTACTTTTCTGTTTCTGATGACACCGTCCTGAAGTTCCTATTTTTTACGATGTCGTCCGCAAGGTTAGACCTTATACTAAATTTTCTACGAAGTCGAACTAACATCTCTCATCCCTGTAGCTCCAAGATACCCTTGTGAAGATGACAGCGAACGGCCCCAAAGAGGTACATAATTGCACTCATCTTTCATCGAAAGAAAGCTGATTGGCCAATTCTGGCATAGGTTGATATGCTCGACTGGAATACTCGGGTTGCTTTGGAGCTCATCGGGCAAAGTGGGCTAGGGTACACGTTTGACTCGCTAGAGGAAAACTCTATTCCTCACCCGTATGCTGTTGCTGCGAAGAAAATGGTGTAAGCGTTTCTTCGATTAGGTCCACACCCCCTTTCTCTACCTCTGATGGCCTCCGCAGATCAGGGTCAAGCGAAATACCCGCCGTCGTTAGAAAGTGGCTCGTACCCACCATCGTGCAGCTCATACCTCGTCGCCTCGGTCGATTCTTGGTTGATTGGGTTCCGTCGCAGACCCTTCATCTGCTTCGTGATGGCGTGGACTTATTCCATAAGACGTCTGTGGAAATAGTTGAGGCAAAGAAGAAAGCAATCCAGGAAGGAGACGAGGCGCTAACAACACAGGTTGGCAGAGGGAAGGATGTCATTAGCATCTTGAGTGGGTGCTTTGCGGCCTGCTGCGCTTTCAGTTACTAATGCTTGTTCAGTGAAAGCTAATATGGCGACTTCGGCTGAGGACAAACTAAGCGATGAGGAACTTCTGGGCCAGGTGACGTGAGTCATCTTGTTTCTTCTGATATAATGAAATGTCACGTCCTTTCTCCCAGGACATTGACTTTCGCCGCCACGGATACGACATCTGGAGCCTTATCTCGTATCATTCACCTTCTTGCCACCCATAAAGACTACCAAGCCAAAGTTCGAGAAGAAATCAGAGTGGCAAGGAAGGCGAATGGCGGCCAGGACCTTGGGTACGATGCTTTGTCGGCCTTACCGTTCCTGGAAGCGATCTGCCGAGAGACCCTCCGCTTGTGAGTGCTACATGTATGGTCGTCCAATCTTCCTCTAATGTCCGAAAATCGGTAGATATCCACCGGTTTCTACCCTTATGAGAGTGTACGTAGTGATACGCTTATTCGTCTTTTACGACGGTGCTGATAATTGTCTCGCTTTAGCGCCCGTGCAGATATCATGCTACCCCTCGGAAGTCCAGTAAAGGGAATAAACGGCGAAGAAATTCGCGAAATACCAGTCCCCAAGGGCACACCCATCGTTATCTCCATCTTGTCTTCGAACCGAGACCCGAAATTATGGGGTCCGGATGCTTATGAATGGAAACCTGAGCGATGGCTTAAACCGCTCCCAGAGGCCGTTGTCAATGCGCGTATTGCGGGAGTTTATTCCCATCTGTACGGCCTATCGATTTCAATAGAGAGAGACAGAAAAAACTGATCCAGATTAATCCCAGGCTTACGTTTTTTGGAGGGAGTAGAGCTTGCATGTGATGTTCTCAAGACATTGACCCATGTCACCTACCTTCCTACTAATGTTCGCCCTTTTCAGCGGTTTCAAATTTTCGCAACTCGAAATGAGTAAGTGTTATGTTTATTCTGCAGTTTTTATCTCCAACACCCTTCTAGAGGTCACTCTGGCGCTCTTGTTAGAGCGTCTCGAATTCTCTCTCAGTGACAAGGACATCGTTTGGCAAATGACCGGAATCGCCACCCCTCATCCGGACTTCAAGAGCAAGTCACCCCGACTCCCTGTTGTCATCAGTCAAGCGGATTAAATTCATCGCCAACTTGTACGGAAAGTATGAAAGAAAATCGTCAGTGCAGTAGTGATTTTTGTACTTGATGACTTGAGTACGGCCTTCAGAATTAATTTTTATGATTTATGATCAACTACTACTAGATCCGAGTACATGGAAGTCCTGGACAAACGCTTGAATCTGTATACACAACCACAACTTTCGGAATTCCGCCCGAGGCACGGGTTTTATTGGCTTCGGCTATCTACTTTTGGCGATGACTTTGCTTTCCAAGGCGTCGCCCCTAACTGCAAGAAGCCGAGGAAGATTACTGGCCTTGGATTTGAGCTTGACCTCTTACTTATCTTCCTCTTTACCCTACTTCAAGGCCCCTTGATGTCGGACTCATTCCTTCAGTTCAAAGAATTTCGCGCTTGGATCGAGGTCGATGGGCAGGTCACGGAGTGCCTTTTGCCTCACACTGACTTCAACAAAGGTGAAGTGGGTTGTTGGATCGTATCGGAGGTCGGAAAGGTATGTATTCTCCACTTATTTGCTTGAAGAAACGAGATACTGGATCCTTTTCTACAAACAGACCTTCTCCATTGCGGCTTTCAAGGATGCCTCCACGCCGTATGACACTAGAATTACCGCATATATCGACGGATTTCGCGTCGCAGGTTCATTCGGTCGCAAGGACGAGGTTGCGAGACACACCTTCCGCTACTACAAGACGTCCAACAAGACGAAGCGCCCATTTATATTCTCTCGCGTGCCACTCACAGGTGTGCGCCTATATGCTATTGAATATAAACGCGTTATTACAATTCCCCATCTCGGAGACGGAGAGGCGAATTTAGATGACTCGAAGTCCGAAAATAAACCTGGGGAGATAAGGGTCGTCGTGAAGCGTATCACCAAGTTCAAACCCAAGTCTCCTGAGCCACCTGTCCCAAGGACCAGAAATTTCTTCCGGTTGCAAACCGCAAAGAAGGCTGTGCCTGAGGAACAGAAGATGGATGAGACGCTGTATAAAGGGATGACCTTTCACCAAGTCAAGTGGGTGTTCTACCTCTTAGCCTATAACCCGTCCCCTCTTTCTGAAGAAAAATCCTGCATAGATTTGGGAAAGAGATATTTAGGAAGAAATCGTTTGACAGGCCTAAGTACACTTTTCGTGAAGGAGAAGTTTTGGTGACTTTTGTCGTCCAATACCGACCTCTCGGTACGCATAGATAATGAAAGCCACAGAAAATATACGCATATATGCTAATATCTTAACTCAGGGACGCTTCAGGCAGCTGGAATTATTGCTCACCCCTCTCCAAGCCCGATTACAAGACCGTTGGCGTCGATTATAGTGGAAGACGAATCGCAGGCAGGTGCCCCACACATTGGAACTCCCAGCGCTGCGTGGACCTCAGATGAGATGGCTTTGAATGAGTTCAATAACACGGAAAATTTGCACGGTGATTTGAAAGATGATTCAGAGAGCGATGAACTGGAATATATCGACCAGGAGGAATGGGATCGGAGACGAGAAGACGTACGCCAGGTCTCAACTCCTGTGGTTCTCTGTGTTTCACGGTTTTTGATAGGCTAAATTATGGAAGGGCGAAGAAGGGCAAGGAGTGAAGAACGAGCCGGGCGAACCTATTTCGTCTGCGGCTACAGCAGTCAAGTCATTCCCTTGAAGAAACGTTTCTCTATGCTCGAGGAAGTCATCGACTTAACCGACCTATAATGTGCACCGTGAACGATGCCATTATGATTTATTTTATCCCTACCACGCATTCCCGGACAATAACGTTATAAAACTTCCAATGCCCTTCGTACTGAGCGACTAGTGGCTGTGGAGACTTCCCACCCTAAACGCGATGAAGGAAGGCGGCGCCAGCGATCCAGAGGTCCGAGGATTCTGTCCTGTCTCTCCTGATCCTCAAAGTGGAGACTACGGCGACAACGGCATCCTCGATCTCACGACGCCTGACCCCGAGCAAAATTTCTCTGTGCATGAGCCTCAACCCATCGCTGCGGGCCAAGCAAAGGACCAGCCGACAACCTCTGAGCTTTGGGCGGGGTCGTCTGTCGAGCACGCCGATATTCAGCCAATCGCACCTGAACTGCCTGAACTGGTACAACCTCAAGAGCCTCCGACGCAACAGCAGCTGCTTTCTCTGGCAGTTCAACTCCGAATGGAATACCTGAGATGGAGCCAACTGTCTTTCCGAGTGCAGCTGGCAACAGAGCTGACATAATCGGGTCTGGGTCAACTTCAGCGTCCACTGTGGCGTTAGGAAAACGCAAGGAAGTTGGCGTCGACGCGCTAAACGAACCAGGAGGGTTTAGTGGCTTGAAACGTGTGAAACTCGTGCCCGGTATGAAGGAGGAAGAGGGTACCTGTCGTGGCGGAAGAGTTCGTCTTGAACGACAACGATGCCAAGAGGCTTAAATTGCTCGAGGTGAGTCTTCCTATTTCCTCTTCTGTGGAGTCCAGAGCTTTCATGGTGATCTCTACTCTAGGCGGGGCTCGAGCAAATCAAGAATCGGAGCCAGGGGACTATGATTATTACCAAGCGAGAACGGTCGCCTATTACGGTCAGTTGTCCTGGAGAAGTCATAGATCTTACCTGAGTCATAAATTTGCTCCTAATTACTTCCTACTTATTCACGTTCAATATCTCCTTATTGTAGATTTCTCGTGACTCCCGGGTCTCTTTGTATTCTCTCAAACTGGATCAAGCTCCTTCGATAGCACGCAAGAATGGACTTTTCTCCATTCGAGTTGGCAACCTGGATGCACTCGAGGAACCAAAATACCATTGAAACGTTCTTTTGTCTGACGTTAAGGTCTGGTTTTTGAAAGGTGACTACTAATGCTAATCTGGCATTTCAGCGTTTACAGGTTGGTTAACAAAGGTATGATTTTGGCGCTGTTCTCTGTTCGATTCAAATCATCAGATCAGCGTCTCGAGTTCGAGGTTGGCTCATTGGAAAACGTACCATCACTGACACTTAGACGGAGATGGAGAGCGTCGCATAGAGGCTGTTACCTTCGGCTGTGTTGAATACTAGCACGAGCTTATGCCCTTTCTTGTCGACCGCCTCAAAGCTCGGGAGTTGCTTCCAAAGCATTCCGTCCCTCTCCCCGCCATAGTACGTCGGGTGGACGAGCATTGCCGTCTTATTGAGCTCCTGGAAATTCGGGATGATGTCGCACCAGCGTTTGTAGTTGTGCACCCCGACGGCGACGGTGAACTCTTCTCCAGTCGCAAGGACTCTGAAGCGCAACATGCCGGAGGTGCCGCTGTTGTGTAAGTTGAGGACGTATTCGCCGTTGCCGGACTCGGTCCAGTAGGAGTTCTGTTGGCAGGTGCGTTCGACTATAGTGAAGCGGTTTGGACTAGCGACATTTTGGACGACGTTGAGGGTGATAGTGTAAACCATGTCTGCACGAGCATAGAAAGTTAAGGTCGTGCTCTCATCGTAATCTAGCTTCTCAAGACTAACCGATTGAAATTGTCGAGTTTGGGGAAAGTTGTGCTTAGTAGGGTACTAAGTGGCTATGGGGAGTTCAGTGAAGAGAGGAGGGAAGAGAGAAGGCTTCTTATATGCAACCGTAAGAGAATAATGTGCCGAGAATTTGGTGAAAATCTTCATTTTCGTTGCCGATTTACGTCCTTCTGCCTTCAGCATGCCTGCCGTCTACTTCTGTTAACTCTGGCAGGAATCATGGAAGGGCGCGCGTACGGTAGGCGAGCTTAAGATGAACACCAAGGATGCAAGAGGACGTCACGATGCCTCTTTCCCGTAAAATAGATGATTAGCGGGATAGAGCCACCGGAGGATGAACTCTCCGGATGTGTGCGTTTGGTAATACACGCCCGAAGAAATTATTTGACAAGGATGTGCCCTCTCTCAAGTGACGTGAAATATTACCATGTCGAGATTGTTACGGTGATTCACTCTGGATCCGGACGCGTCGATTTAATATCTGGAACAGTCTTGAACTGCCAGGTCATCGATGAAGACTCATCGGCTCTCCAGGGCACGATCCACGAGGGAACACTGTTGTCACACTGGTGCATATGCCCTGTCAATTGGGGTGAGCGCCAGGAACCTCTGGTCTGGACTCATGCCATTGTTTTAATCGTTTCCAGATAATGTACCGATTTCTTTCCTTGCATGACTCCTTGAGGCTACGGTAGTACCATTGGTCCCATCCTCTACCAAATGCAGTAGTACAACTAGTCGTGTGGCGCCAGTTGACGGATTCAACAGAGGTATCCAATTTGCTATCATTTCATGTGGTGGTTTGGGTATGAGAGAAAATGTTGAATAGAATAAGGAGCTGCACACGTTACCCCTTAGCATATGTAAGATATATTTTACATAATGCCACTAATATCTATCTGTTATTCAGGACGACATCTGTACGGGAACACCTTGAAGGTATGATAATTTCCATTTCTTTCCAATGTCGGATCTTCGCATGTTCCATTCAACTAACAGCTTCTTCTAAGGTGAGCATTGTGTTCAGTGCGACTGATGCCTTTTCACCTCACCTTGTTACCAGTAAAAATCTATTGGATGTAATCCACCAGTCGGAATCTTGCTTCTGCGGAGAAAGATGCACAAGATGGTAGACCACATCCCAGTTCGTCCGTATCCGAGAACAATAAAGCCAGTCCTTAATGTCAAAGAAAGATCAGCAGATTTTTTTTTAATCAACAGCCACGTTCGGGTCCGCCGGACTTGCCGTTTCTTATGCGCCTGCTCGCAGGCAAGCGTCTAATTTAGTTGTGAGGCTGTGGCGCACGGTCGGGGGAATAGCCCAATAAGGGACGGATATAGGGGTCCGATCATGATCGTGATCGTGATCCGTCTCAATACGCAGATTAGCGTTGGCTACAACCGAGGGCGGATCGCACTTTGGAGGTTATGCTTCGCTGCTCACAATTAGAGGTCCTCGTGGAACGGATGGTCAACGTTCTCCAGGCTTCCCAAGAATCCTTTCCTTCCCCGAGGTATTTCCAAAAGCCAGCACCGCCTACCATCTATGTATTCTTGGGTGCCCCGGAACACAAACCAGCTCTCCAGTCCTCGTTTAGGGCGTTCTATTCGGAGTCAGAACCCTGTAGGGAGTTCCGCGATGCGATATTTCGTGTTCCTATCAAACGGGCGACCACCCTGAGTTAGGCTCCCATTTACTCGACCTGGATGGTAGCAATGGAACTGCCACCGAAGATTCCTCTGTGAACCACCACCTTACGAGAGTATATACAAGCAGTATTATCAACTAGCGCTGGAGAACCCTCGATGGTTCGCGAGCGTTCGGCCCAATTAGCCGATCATGACACATAGCCCTCTGGCTTACTCGGTAAGTCTTCCAGTTCTTCTTTTGATTCTCAAGCCTTGATGATACAGGTATAGAGGGCCCCATGAAAGATAATCGATGACCAATGAAAGCGAGACTCCCGCAAACTCTGAAACGAAGTCATACGCGGTAGAAGTACCTCTCCCCTTCTCTTCCCATCCAAGCGACATCGAAGGCTCCTTCCGGTACTGACATTGCAGGGTATATCAGTGTCTAACCTCGCCCGATCGACGGCTTATCATGATCGGGCACGAAAGCGTAGTACACCGGCGGTGCAGGCGATCCTGGACTCGCACCGCCTCACCAAACAAACTCGAGCCAGTAAGCTAAAAATAGCATTATGGCGATGAACCTGGCGAACTCGGACACCCGGTGGCGCACCGCCTTGCCGTATCACTTCAATGACTTCTATGTTACAGGCTTACAGCGTACCATACAAGGCTGTGCCCTAAGCACGGAAGAACATCCACTTTTGACCTATCTTTGACAGAAAACATATGACGAGCGCTCGAGGATTCAAACCAGCAGTCGGATTCAGACTCGGAGGCGCCTGTGGCGCGTCGCATCAGCTGTGGGTGGTTGTCTGGGGAATCTTTGGCTTCGGGGCTGTCAGCACGAAACAAGAGAAAGTATATGGCCTTGAGCGCAATGAGACTCCGAAGTGAACTTGGAAGATAGGAGGTTGTTGATAAGCGAGCTCGTTGATAGTGGTATTAGCAACGTACTAAGGATAGCTAGATAGGCGCCGATGGTGTTGCAGTCTGTCAAGGGGTGCAGGACTGGGGGGACCGGCAAGGCCCCGCAGTACGAGTCGACGTCGAAGTCTCTGTGTAATAGGCCCGTCCATGAGACAGGTACGCGAATACGTAGGCCCTCCATACCACACACCGCACCCTATTATCGTTAATGAAATTAGAGTATCACTTGACATGCCATATATTTCCTAGGGCCAAAGAAATGAAGATATGGAGGGCTGAAGTTCTAATTCAACGTCCAGATAAGCATCCGGTGGTACTATGTTCGAAGTACGCCCCGTCCGTAAACTCTGCCACCCTGCGCTCGATCAGGCTTATCAGCGCCACACTGCAATCTCCTCCATCCCCTCCATCATCACTCGATCGTGTTTGAGCGTTCGAGTGTCCGATGGTTCCAAAACTGACGTGCCCGAGGTATTAGGTGGGCTCGACGTCTCTTCTCAAGCCAAGCTATAGCCTTCAGGCTTCAGACATGCTATTACTACGGGGTATCAGATCTCGAATTTTGACTGGTGATGTATGCGAGTGATGGCGTATGTCCTCTATCCTGGGTGCAAGTTGGACGCTCGAGGGCTAATCTAAGCGAGGTCCATTCTTGCCAGCCTGAGTGCACTGGTTTGGGGCCTACTTCTGCGACGTAAGGGAGGGAAAACGCATAAATGGAATATAACGTTATTATTACTTACAGCCAACTACACCGTTCTGCCGCAAGGCTGTTCCCCCTCCACTCGTCAAGGCTTTAGGCCAGACCATTAGCACCGATCGAATTCGATTGATCGTGTCGTGCCAGTGGCCAATCTATCCACCGCCTTGCCGGGGAGGTGTATTAGGCTTGTGCGCGGGCATCGAAGGCCTGCGCGTGATATCTGCGAAGTGTAAGACGTCTACAGGTGGGTGGTGGGAATGGAAGACGCTGAGAAGGGAAGGTCAGGTAGCTGACCAGTGACAGAAGAGAAGGCCTGGAACGTGTGTTTTTGAGCTTGGGCAATCGATTATGCGCCGAGTGAAAAGCACCCACTTGAGGCTCGGCATCGACTTTACTAGAGTACTTGGAAGACATGAGAGATGGAAGGAGCGATCATGGTAAACGTATCATACTGTCATGCCGCATCGCTTATTGTCCCTCGTTCGTTATGGTTCTTGTTTGAGCAGGATCTGATCAAGAGATAGGGCTTCGATGTCGTACATACTTACACCCAGGCTTCTACATAATGCACATAGCAGTGATTTGCTCGGACTTCGATCGTGATCGGGACGCCAGAGTGCGCTAGTTCTGGTGGGTCTGTGTCGACGCCAGTGTTAGTGGTATTTTGAGTTGGGACGCCGGGGGAGAACCAATGATCATGATCGTACGTGAAGATGAAGAGAGGGAAGATAGCCGAGGGTATTCCAGTCGATTGATTGGTCACTGGCGGGGAGAACCTCGGGAATGGGGGAGCGTCCGTGAGAGTCAGCGGGAGTGAAGAAGGTTTGTAGAGCCCGCACGCTGCACGCTTCCAGCGCCCGTCCAAGATACTTAGAGTAGGGGCCCAAAATTAGCGACCGTGGAGCGCTGGTGGAGCGGCTAGATAAGAGCACTAAGCGCGCTTGGACACGAGTGGCGCAGTCGAGATCGCAACTCGCGAGCAATACAATACGTATAGCAGCAACGTGGAGGGATTTTCATTAAACGCGCGAAGATTTTCAATTTCATTTCGCGCGCGATCGCAAGTAAGCCTGAGGTCTGGGAAGCTGAAGGTACAAATTTCAGATGTCACTCCTGGCTTTAGAGAACAAGGACGTTTACGAGAGTCAAGAGGAAAAGAGACGCCGACGCTCGCGCGTGTGTGAGTTTGTGCCAAGCGTCGGCCCGATGTCGCTATGCAACATTCCTTCGAGGTTGGAGAGCGCATCGCCTGCTTGCCACCTACCACCCTCTTTCGCATTTCGTCGCTTGTAATATTTAAATGCAACCACAATGCTAAAAGAGAAAAGAAGAGTAGGTGGCTACCCGTCGGCCCTAGGGAGCGCTTGTCTTCCGTTGCTTTGTCGTCGTCATTGTCGTTACCCTGTTTCCGTTGTAAACGCGTAGAGTTGATTAACCGTTGAATGAACGATTAACGGTCGTCGTGACGCATAATGAACTCGCAATTGAAGCGCGGGCCCGAAAGACAAAGCCGGTCTTCGTAAACTGTTATTCTTGTACCTTCGGAACGGAGGCGCGATGGGATGCAACGGTCGTCTCATGCTTTGTGCGTAACGGTAGACGGGCTCGCCAGAGGTGAAAGAGCGAGCGTATCAGTAGTGTTAAGCTCCAGATTATCCCAAGGAGTTGAGCGCTTTTCAAGCCGGACCCGGTGGAACGGAGGGAGGGTTCGTGAATGTGTGAGTGCTAGACTTCAATCATGATCTCGGGTCGGAGGGGTATGATGCGCGGGGTATGTTGGTTTGTTGGCTGCCTGCGGTGCTGGTGGGTCCATATAGTAAGTGCGGGGTCGGGGCGGACGGTGGAAGATGCCTGGAAGGGATGATATCCCTGGGCCAGTGGATCTAGTTCCCTGTTGAGGGACAAAGAGAGGGGAGCAGCAATGTGGTTCATCATCCAAGTCAGGATTATGCCCTCTGTTCTCCAACGACCAAGGAACATGGAGGAGAGGTTACTCTGATCCGGATGAAAGACTTCTGGCGGCCCCTCCGCTTCGCCGCCCACAATTACAGGAAATCAGAGATTCGTTCCGGGATTATATGAGACAATGGGAAGGGATTACGGCGGTACTGAAGGCTTTGAGGATGCAAGAAGAAGCTGAATGCGAGATGGTGATGTCGGCTCACGAGTGATGGGTATTGGCTAGGGATCTGATGAGGTTTGAGGATGGGCACCGGCGGTAGCGGGATAGAGATAATCTCGAGCCGCGGATGGTTAGATTCGGTGGTACAGTTTGGTGATTCGGACATCGGTATATCGTGCAACGGTGAGATGGGTGGTCACTTTGGCTTTTGAGATGGTGTACGCTTTGCAAATAATGTGGGTCCACCGCGTGGGCGTACGCGTACGCGAAGAGAGGTCGGAGGGCGTGTTCGGAAGTCGAACAGATGAAGGATCGCTAGGGAGATCTCGTTCGATCAGGAGTACTGATTGTGGGTTAAGAAGAGGAGGTCACGGATCCGAATGTCCTCAGAGGATCCGAGGTTGGTTAGAGAAACGATAGATAACCCTTTAATACAGTTGCAGAGAAAGACAATTGAGCGGGAGGCGCCAAGGGGACGGGTGAGGCGGAAGTGTACATTTTAGGCCGGCCCCGTCGTGAATGATAAGCAACCCCCCAAGTACACCCATCGTGCGTTCCTCGTCCTAGTCTCGTTGTGGGCAAAGGAGGACGAAACAACGGTGGTCGGACGCATTCTATCAAACGCATAGTCTAATCGCAGGCCCCATGGCCAAAAATGCGACACTTGGCTGTCAAAAGTGGTTTTGGTGCAGGCGTGAATAGAAGATCCTGACGACGGGATATGAAGGAGGGAAAGATGATCAGGAAGCGCTCGTGCATCTTCATGATCAGGCTGAGCTGCACTGGCGCGCTCGGAAGGTTTGATCAAACGTACATAGAAGATCCCGAGGTCCGGGGAATATTAGACGGAGGAGTGACGGAGATCTCCGTGTCACGCGTTATGAGCGTGACGCTGACGGGAGAAGGGGAGGGCCGACTGGGAAGGAGAGTCTGGGAATAGCTGGCATGCGCGATTGGCGGGGGCGATGTCAGCAGGCCTGGGGGGCCGAGGACGGGTGGAAGAGGGCACGGAGGAGGAGATCTGGCGCGGGCTGTCGGAGTGTGAATTGTGCAGGGGTCGATGGCAATCTGGGCCAAACAAACTGTTCTCACTCTTTGCCCTTACCACCGCCCCCGTCCTCCACGACCACAGCCTCCCATCTTTCGTTTCTCCCTGCCCTACATCATGGATTCAGTCAAGGATTCGCCATATATAACAAACTTTGACCTCGTTCCTCCTTCGCCGACTCGTTCTATCAACCTCGACTTTGACCACACGTCCCCGGCCTTTGACGCCTTTGAGCAGTCTCAGCTTCAGCAGCACCACTCCCAGCTTCAACAGAACCCCCTATCGTCGCCTCCCTTCGCGCATACACCCTCATACAACGGATCCTACTACAACTCACCCTACTCCCAGCACTCCGAGCTTGACTTCCCCGGCGACGAGCTCAACTTCGACCTCCTTCGGGAGCTGAGCGCCAACGCTAGCCCCATGAACGACTACGATCCCTCAGAATACGACGCACCACAGACCAGCTCCCTCCTCATGTTCACCAACGACACCGATTTCATGTCTCCCCACTTCTCACCAGGCCATGTCCCCGACAGCCATCGGACCAGGGGATCGCCCTTCGATCACAGCTCCCCGGCAAGCAGTGCCGGCGCCGATAACGATGCAAACGCGAACAACAACGCTGGACGTCACTCCAGAGCGTCCTCGGTGGCCTCCAACCACCCCTCGCCGAGTGCAGCCCCTCTATCTCACTCCCCACAACCAGGCTTCCACAACTCCCCACGGCTAGATGTCGCGAGTTCCTTCGGGAACATGTCTGTACACACCCCGAACTGGGGCACCCAGCCGCTTCCCCCCGCGTCCTTAGGGCCCAATCTCCAGGCCCAGCAGATGCCCTCGCCCCCGATGCAGCAGAAGCCCCAGTCACCTCCGCGACTGACGATGCCGCAAGGTATTATCGATGCTCAACAACACACGGCAGTCCCGACGATCAATGCTCCTGATGGCGACGACGGCATGAATGGTCCCTCGCTCAATATTGTGCCGGCCACACCCGTTAGTGGTGGTGGCGCCCACGGACGACAGGCCGTGCCTTTCCAGCAAACACTTGCAACGTTGACGCAAGGTGAGTAACAACTCTCAAATTCCTCCCATCCCGTCCCCTTCCGCGCCGCCGTCGCGAGCACCCCACGATTAGCGCCCGATCTGATTCTGATGTTAATTTCGTCTTGTTTTTGCGATCAGGTGCCGAACTCGGCTCGTCGATGCTGCTATCCTCGTCGCAGTCGGATCATGGGGGTGCGAGCGAGCAGGCGCGCAGCCAGTCTCAGTCGACGCATCCATCAAGGAACCAGTCGCCGTTCAGATTCGAGAGCGGAACAAACAACTCCCACAACATCTCTCCCGTACCCTCCCCTCGCCTTCCCGATAACAACAACAACAACGCAGTTGCATCGTCGTCTGGCAACTACATTTTCCCTGATGCACAGAGCCCGCCTCAGTCCCAAATGCAACCCCAAGGACAAGGAGTGCCGCAGAGGCCACGGAGCAACTCAGATACCTGGAGCCAACCGTACCTTGGAGGCGCTGGTGGTTCGCAGCAACAGCAGCAGCAGAATGGGTTGGGCCTTGGTGTTGGAGGGTATGATTATCAGCAGCAGCAAAATCACCAGATCCAGCAGCAACACCGACAACAAATGCAAAATTTTACGTTCGGTGGAGGCAACAAGACAGTCGGCCCTGGTGCACCTGCAAACCATTTCCTCTCGCCACAACCCGATATGATGCGGAGATCAGTGTCTGAGAACCCACCGAGGCTGGGACGCCATGGGCAGTCGAGGTCGGAGGATATCCGGTTGCCTCTACCCTCATTCGGCGGTCCTGGTGGGCAAGGACAGCCAGGGCCGGGGTATCAGTCCCACCATGGTCAATCCAACTCTATCGGCGGCACAGCGAGCGCGAGCCAGCAGCAGCAGTACCTATTCTCAGCCCATGGCGATTTCATCCAGCAGCAGCAACAGCAACAGTCCCAGACGCCACAGTTCCTCCACCCCCTGCATCTTCCCAACCTCATGAACCCGAGTTCGTCCGCCGGGAGCAACTTCGGGTCTGTCTCGTCCTCGGGCGCGCTACCGCCGATAACGCGCTCCTTATCGCCTGGGCATTATCGACGGGCGTCTTCGGGCTCGAGTCGCGGTGCGGAGGTGTGGGGCACGGACGCGGGGCTCGCGCCGCCTGCGACGAGGAGGATGAGCCCTTATCCGAGCCCGAATGCCAGTCCGCGCGTGCGGTACGACGAGCTCGAGGTGGAGTTGGGCGTCGGGGGTGGGATGGAAAACATGCTCGGAGGTCCGGCGGCGCACCATCAACAGCAGCTTCCTCATCACCAACAACACATGTCTCTAGGTGGTGGTATGTCTCTCGGGGGCGGGCTCAGCATCTCACAGGGCGGGTTGGGCATCGGCGGCGGCGGGCTTGGAGGCGGGCTGGGACTCACGACAGAGATCGGCGAGCCGCCGGTTAGTGCCGGGTACAGCGAGGACGTGCCGATTACGGGCCGCGGGGCGTACACATCCCATCTCGCTGCCTCGGTCACTGGTGACGGCGCTTCTTCCCACGGTGGGCATCGACGCGCGGGGTCCTCTAACTCGATTGCAGGCGGCGACGGCGATGCGTCGCTCATGGGCGGCTCGGCGAATCAAATCGCGAAGCAGAATGTCACCACCGGCCGCACGATGAACGCGTCCATCCGCCGCCGGAAGCAGGACGCAAATTTCGTGTGCACCGTCCCTGGGTGCGGCTCGACCTTCACGCGTGGGTTCAACCTCAAAGGGCATTTGCGAAGCCACTACGAGCAGAAGCCGTACAAATGCCACTGGCCGGGGTGCGGGAAGGGCTTTGCGCGCCAGCACGACTGCAAGCGCCACGAGCAGCTGCATAGCAATTACCGTCCGTTCGAGTGCGAGGGGTGCAGGAAGCAGTTCGCGAGGATGGATGCGCTGAACCGGCACCTGAGGAGCGAGGCGGGCGCGGAGTGCGCCCGGATCGTCGAGCGCTCGAAGGGCGAAGGTGGTGGTAGCGTTGGTACCCTCGTACAGGACCCGGAGGAGATGGAGGTACAGGAGGACGAGAAGAAGCCGCTCGTTGTGTCTGGTGGGCCGAGGAGGAGAAATACGGGCGGATCTGGGGGGATGGGCGAAGATGAAGGGTGGGGTGTGGCGCTATAGCCCACGGAGCGTTGGCGCGGGCGTCGACGCTGGCTGTGGTGTTCGCAGTGCTGCTTGTTTATAGGTTGCCTTGTTTCGTGCTTGCTTTCCCCGTCTCCTTTCCCTCTCCGCCACTGAGATACCCGGACTCTGCCCATCCTGAACGCTCCTTCTCCATCACCGTCTCCTAACGTCGTACCTCACGCCCTGCACGCCCAGCGCTCTCCTCTCGTGCTCTTGATCTATCTCCACGCATTTACGACGCACACGATCTTTTCTCTTTTCTTACCTGATTCTCATCTCTCCTTCCCCTCCTTTCGCCTTCTGCGTCTATCTATTGTGCCTTAGTCAGATGTTATACTTCTTGCTTCTCTCTCTCGAACATCAATCTCACTTTCTCACTCACCTCGACCTATCTATGTACATACACTTGTACTGCTATATATACATCGGTTCTCCTTGCCTCTTGTGTTATCTTCCTGTCAAGTCTTAGTCCTGACGTCGAGGAGTGCTCGTTGGCGCTGGTAGAGGATGGGAGTCGAGAGCAAAGTGGGCGCCGCAACTCGCTGAGCTTTTCCTCCTATATATGCACTGCTGCACGCATGACCCTTGCCTGGTGTGCGGCGACGTGGTCTTTCGAGTCATGACGTCTGTCATCCCTCCCTGATAGCGTGCTCGTCGGAGGGAAGGGCGCACATGGCCCATTTATCGCCTATCGATGACTCGGGCACCGTGGGCGCAAGGGCTGTGCGCCGCGAGGCGCGTGAGCAGTAGCTTCACACCCCGACTCCGAATGACGGATTTGGGTATTTTTCCCTTTTTTGGATGAAGGATTACGATTGTAATGGAGGTCTTTGTAATCACCGACCTTGTCGTCCTCTTCACTTCAGTGCTTGCCATCGTCAGGCCAGGTACGTATAAGAAGTCGAATTCACTGCATGCTCGATTTCGGAGCGCATGTTAACCAGCATTGCCGAGACCGACTTCTCTTCAGGGGCTGCGCGCAACGCGAGATGCGCCGAAGGAGGACGCGGTCGGCCTTTCGCGTCTCTGAGGTGGCCGTCACATCCCTGTTTGTACGAAGATTCCTGGGGAGGGGCGGTGGGGTCGACATGCGGAGCAAGAGTATTCCTTTCGGAAGAGCAACCTCAGGCTTTCGGCTCTCGAAAATCAAAATGGGCTCCTTGTTTGGAGATAGAGCTTTATGGTGAAGCACGCATTCAGAACATTCGCTGATCACGTTTGGCCGTCCTGGAGATCTAACCTGAGTCATTTGTATTTTTCGGACTGGCTTTCATGGCTAACTCTCTTTGTGTAGGAGCTCCTCACTCTAATTTAGTCGTATTGTACCGTCTCTTCCATATCCAGCTGAAAGGGAGGCTTCGCTCGCCGCTCAATCCGCAGCAAGGATGGATTCGACCACGCGAATTGATGCATCCACTTAGGTGTCTCTCAAAGAAGTGATAGCAGGGGGTGGCATTACAAGGACTACAGGATGGATTCACGAAGACATCATTTCTCGACCGTTTTCCATCTTTTTTTCGAAGGGCTAACGTTGAAGGTATCAGATGAAATTCCGAACGGTGAGCCTGCCAGCGCGAGTCACCACCACGCGAATTTCACTTGCCCTAAGTTGCGCATCTCCCTCGGCATCCACTGAGGCCTCGCCGTCCAGAAATCTGAAGTTAGAATATTTCTTATAGCACGAGATCATGTACGACTCGCCTACGAGCTCCACTGGAGCAAATTTGAATGCGTGCTTCCTTCCCTTCGATGTCTGGAAGTCTTAAATGTCCACAGTCTGCAGCCCTTCCTCTTTCAGGAGTATGAATTCGTCAACCCGGAAGTCGTCCAGTAGCACGGTGACTGTACAGTGACATCTTATGAAATCTTTCTTGAGAAAAACGATTTTGAACTCCTGCGAGGAACGCAAAATGTGTCAATGAGTAAATGAGGTTGAAAGAGGGAGGTATAGACGAATACCTTTCCAGCCTCAGATGCTATCCAGCAGCTGCCCTCCCTTTGTTTGAATGAAGTACAAGGACGGCGGCAAACTACTTTCTCCCCGTCGACTTCGATCCACGCGGAGAATTGCTTGAAAGCCAAAGTTTGAGACTGAACGGGATCGTGTTGGGGGTTCTTGCGGTGGCGGCGAGGCCATTTCTACGATGAGTCGACTTTGGAGTCTGCTGAGACAGCGGTATCTGAGTGTTCTGTGTAGTCTTCGCTGTCGGACATAAAGTAAACGCTCGCGTTGGTGAAGAACTGCCTAAATGGGAATGATATGCAACTTAAACTCGTGCACGTGGCACCTTCTTATCTAAGCTAAATTGAAGCGCAATTCCTGATGGATTCCTAACTACCGCTGCAAAGCTCAAGTAAGTCCATGTCGACTGGACTTCGACAGAAAGCCAAAGTTCTCTTTGGTTAATGTGCAGAACAGCTCGCAGAGGACAAGTTAGAGCCTACGTCGTACCATGAGGTACTTTATGCATGAGATTTAATTCTATTTAATTATCACCAAGTCAATGTTTAAAAGTGGCCGGGTCGGGAAGTTAATTATAACAAGAGGAATATCGTACAATAAGGTTCCTATTTACCGAAAAAATGCGCCACAGTACGAGACATAGGGTATTGAAGCCATCTGTCGGACAGGTGACTTGAAGAGCAACTATTTTTCGAGTCCAAGGCGGATATCACAACATCAAGCTAATCGAGGCTGAGGAAGACATTCCCTCCTTTTATTTTTATACCTTTCGCGTAGTTGAACGCGCCAATTCCTGGTAGTCGCACGGCCAATCAGCAGTGAGAAAGAATACGATCGTCTCACTAACCGTCGCAAGCACGTCCCCCTCGGACGTTGACATTCAGACCATCCATATCCATGTCTTCGATTCCGTGGAAGGCCTCGATGCGTCTTCCAGGGGGGGCTGTTGAATATAAAGTCAGAAATTATTCATGTAGTGGTATCGTAGAGAAGACATACGAGGCATTGTGTACGGAGCCGAGTGGTTTGGGTAACGATGACCTCTGTGCGCGCTAGCGCCATCGGGGCCGCACCGGGGATCGCGCCCGAAATAAGAGTACGGCCCGGGTCGAGATCGGGGTCCTTGGTTGTCCGAGTCGAGGGTGCTCGGTGTAGAGGGGCTGTCGCTGTCGCTTGTGCTAGCCTCGTCCTGCATAGTGGCATTCTCGTCATCTTCGCCGTCACTCGGGGTGCGAACAGCACTTTGAGAACCAGTGCTTCCAGGCCCAACATCTACGTCAACACGAATACCATCGATCCGCATATTCCTCGCGCCTTCGCCGAACGAGAAACGACCCCCGAAGTTCGCACCGGGTTGCCCTGCGGAGACATAACGTCAGAGGAGGGAGTCAAGAGGTGATCGCCTGCAGCAACAGGCACACGACACTCACATTCTTGACCGTTGAAAGTAATAGAACTAACACGTCTACGAGAAGGCGGCAGAGGTGGTAGGGCTGGTAGGGGTGGTAGAGGTGGTAGAGGTGGTAGATGACCGTAGCTGGGAGGCGCGTAGTGTCCGCGAGGAGGGTGATATCCAAAGGCTGCTTGTCCTGGGTGACCAGCCCGACCAGGATGCTGTGCGGACTGGTTTGACGCGCTAGGTACACTATTTTTCCCTCCAGCGCGTCCATTCCCAGTCGTCGCGTTTGTAGGGCATTGTGGTCCCTGGCATGTCCATTCCCGTTAGGGTTGATCGTGACCATTGTGAGGTTGTATGCTTTCGTACGCGTTTGTCGATGAAAATGTGATGTCCAATGATACAGTGGGCAGTTTGTTGGAGATGAGAATGGAGAAGCGACAAGAGATCGCGACCTTATTTATGCATTTCAAATTCAAGGTCCGACGCCACAGTTACGCACGCCCACAAGGATGGAAAGCTGACTTCCCGATATAGTATGCATGGAGTCGCTTCGCTTTGTGTACGTCACTAGGAGGCCATTAGCAACAAATAAGGGGATTTACTTGTTGAGTATTGTGTGCATGGCCTCCTGCTCAAGGCAAGAGCCAAGCGTTGGCCGTTCGTCGCGACGTCCGACCAACGTCCAAGATCCACTAAAGATCCCCAGCCCAGGAGGGAAAATGCTACTTACCTTAAACGAGACTAGGGGTATATGCTTTTGTCGAGCTCGTCGTCAATAATGAGAGCTTGAGCGACGAGGCAAGAGCAGGGAGGCAAGAGAAACTTCCGACTAGAAGAACGGAGGACGGTCAACACAGCAGAGGGTCGTCGGACACGTAGGATGCAGCAGACAGAGAAGATAGATTTGCACCTCAGCGAAAGATCTCGACAACACCACGGCAGTGGCGAAGGGACGCTTGGAGGTGAATTCGAGAGAGAGAGACGTAGAGCTCGGAGATGGTGGACGTTCGGAAGATAGCCTGTTATGCTCTCGGACTCAGAGAGATGTGAATATATACCCTCCCTGCAGCTCCTTTCTTTGGGGAAGGGTTACATGAGCCTCGACCCCGCTGCTTCTGAATCAGAGTCTGAGTGAATCAATGTGAACGACAAAATTTTTGGGGCAGCCGTCTTTGGCAGGCCGATGCCCAAATTTGGACGGGATTGTCGCCCAACTGACCGTCTAAAATCTAGTGTGCCCATCTCGGGAAGACGGTGAAAGTTTCGCCGGCGAATGAACGTATGAATATAAGGACAGCCGAAATGGGAGTGTCCACTTATAATCTTCAGGGAAAGGGGTGCTGAACAAAAGGCACTTCATTAAATGACGCCGCAGGGGGATCCATTAGAATGATTACCTGTATACGAGCCGGCGAATTAACGACTCTCATGTTGAGCTGCTTGTGATCCTAATCCGAGCTTTAAGCACGAGATCCTTTTAAGCCTACAACAATTTAGGCTTGCCTATTCTTGGGCTCCATCGGAAGGCGTCACAATCAAGGAGTTCGTGAATAAGATTCCCCTCGATCGAGAGCGAGATAGTGAATTGAGATGTTGGGGAACATAAAGTTGGGGTTCAGGATGGGACCTCAGTGAAGTATTCTGGATTGTGCCATGACGAAACGATAGAACTGGGGAAAATGTCAAATATGGTCCCAGGCGCTGAGGATCCTGCTTAGAACTTTGTTACAGTTTGTAGCAACGAAGAGATTCTGTTTGTCCGTCCTTTGGAAGAGGAATATCGCCGATGTCAAGGAATGGAGCTTGTCCCAAAAGCTCTATATACACGAGACACAACTCGATCTAAGCTGAAGATCTTAGTGTCAGCTCGTGGCGGAGGCGTATTTTTCAACGTTTTGGTTCCTGTAAGGAAAGCCTGACGGAAGTAAATGTAGATCAAACGTTCGAGGAGCAATATGATTATTTATATCCACATTGCGACATCTCGACATTGAAACGGAGCGAGTGTGGGGAAATAACCTTCGCGAGCACCCACGTTTCCGCCGACCGGCTCGGGTCTTCCTGCATAGAACCACCAGGAACCACTTCCTCCACCTACGCCACCGCCGATGCGGGGCCCAACTGATCACGTCTTCGAGCGTTTCAAGTCATGAGGCAACGTTTTTGTCGAAGCTCCGAATTGCGCTTGACAGCCATCACATTGCGCACTTTTGTGACAGTGTTATGAAGCTCTCCATAACCCAGCACTTCGACTTCCACCACCATTACCACCACTGCCCACTCTCGTCAACCTTCGGCGTCCGAAGCATACGAAATGCCCAACCGCTATGTCGTTCAACGACCAGCACTTCCATGGGAGATCACAGACGCCATCATCGACCACCTCCACTCCGACATACGAGCATTAGGAACCTGCAGCGCAGTCTGCTCAGAATGGCTCATACGCAGCCGTCACCATATCTTCTCGACCATCCAGCTCTGGCCATGGAGAGCACGACGCTTCTTCGAGCTTGCAAGTCGGAGCAGCTGCACCTTCACCCACTACGTCAGCCGCATCGAGGTCGACGACTCTCGGGGTCGGTCGAATTCCCCAGAGCGGAGAAGTCAGACACCAGGGCTTGGCAACGAAGCGGAGGTTCCATTCAGCGAGGCGATGGCGCAATCCCATATCCCGTGTCTCGCCCAAGTGACGTCGATCCAAGTGCGGAACGTCGACTGGACTGCCCTGTCGCCTGTGGAGCAGACTACCCTACGCGGGCACCTAGCGCAGTTCTCCAAGCTCGACCGACTCGAGTTCCACGATGTCACCTTCCACGACCTTCGTGAAGTCGTGCGCATCGTCGACGCGTTCCCATCCATCAGACACCTGACAGCAAATATCGCGTTCATGAAGTATCTGGAGCACACCATCGCCTCTGCCTCGACACTTTGCTTGTCGAGCAACCTCAGAAGCCTCGAACTTGGAACGGAGGATGGGATCCCTGTCGTGCTGAGCAGTGTGACGAGCACTGAGGCACTGGGACAATGCCAGGAGTTGAGCTTGAAGAACATCAGGGCGAACCATCTTCAGTATATCCGCACTATGCTCAGGAAGGCGAGGATGGACTTACAACGCCTCTCACTGGGGTTCTCGAGAGAAAGTATGTCGCAGATAGGACAATGTATGAGAGTTCCCTCCTTCCTGAACAATTATAGCAAAGTTAACCTTTTTTTGCGCTAGGTGATCTGTCCAACGCGATTGATCTTTCGCGGCTGGGTAACCTCCGAGCTCTGCATATAGAAGGCCTGAACATTCCGGGGTCCGACTGCTTCTCCGCCGTTGAAGAAAGCCTTCCTTCAATCCTCCAACGCATCGAGTCATCCTTCCTCGAGGCCGTGGAGCTACAATTCCGCCTCCAACCTCAAGGCAGCCTCCAGTGCATCGAGTGGCGCCGTCTTGAACGTGTGTTTCTCGCACTTCATTTCTTTGGCATGGGACTCGTGCGTGTGACGATTCACCTCGGGCATTCTGTGACGAATGAATGTGAAGCCGAGGTCGAGAAACGTCTTCGTGACGCGATGAGCGAGCTGAACGCACGTGGCGTGTTGCAAGTGCGTAAGTGCTGCCTGTGCTTCACCGCTAACCGCAAAAAATGACTGAATTTCCCCCGCAGCTCTTGCAAGCAAAGCGTAAAGCGACTCACCAATTTTTTAGCGTCACCATCATGATTCTAGACGCCAGTCAGCGGCCTCATTCCACAAAAAGCATCCTGTCGATACCAAAAGTGTTCGGATTATTGCTCAGTCATGTTGTCCGATGGGTGGTGGTGGAAGGAAGCAAAGGTCGAAAAGATAAGCACAAGATAAGCGAGGTTGCAGTTCGGCTCACCGGCTAATTCCGGTGCGCCGTCGGGCCGGTATTTCCGCTTTATCCCAACACAACAAATGCTTTCCCCTTGGTGGTTCTAGGCTGAATCGATGTTGTGAATCGCTAGAGCTGTTCGGAAATCGATGCATGCAAACCTCCTTCCAAAGTTTAGCCCTCGCAATGAAATTTTCTCGCATAAAGATGTCCGAATGTTAGCGAAGGCGTTAAACCGCCGAAGATTCATCGAGCGCCTACATAACACTTGAGGTAGGATTTTGAAAGCCGGCCTAGGCCGCGGCTCTGTATTTTTGAGAAATCGATACGCGACGGCTTGAAGTCACCGAAAATTCCAACCATTCGAAGGAGGAACGGAGAACCTGTCTCATTTCATAGAAAAGAAAATGCATGCACCTAGCTGTCCGCATTGAGAGCTGTTGAAAATTTCAAGTAGCATCTGGACGTCCGGAGCTTCGTAGAGCTGTACTCGTCTTGGAAGTATAAATGATTGTTTGTGATTGGTTGGTATGGTCCCGCGTATGATACCCGGGCCAATTTGTAGGCCAAGCCATCTTCCCCATCCTTTCCTCCGCACCCATCTCCGACAACCACGACTCTCCCAGAATGGGCGTTTGGTCTCCTCCAGCGCGCAAATCCCGCACCGATTCAAGCGAGGCTCCTATAGGGCAAACTTTGGGGTCTTCCGGCTTCGAACCTTGAGCTTCCGTAGGAACCCGCCTAGGTTCACAACAAGAAACTCTTACATACTTGGATCTCTCTCGGCCTTTTCTCCCAAATGCCGTACTCTGCCGTACTGAAATGTCAAAACCACATCAGTGATATTTTACCGAAAGGCTGAGATTGGTCCGATGACCTGCATCCCGAGATCTCTTTGGATTTCATGTCTTGATGTTGGGATCCCGGTCAGAGATGATCCTTCCCTGGGCAAAGTAAGTCCAGAAAAGCGCAGCTTCATGTCGTACTCGTTTTATAAATGTAGCGGTGGGGACAGCGGGCGTGCCTCCCTTCGCCTCACTTCGTCCGCCAGGACTCCGTCGTCGTCGCGTGTGCCCTCCAGGTGCCGCAAACCGCTAAAGCATGCCCAGGGTGTTGAAGACCTCCACGGCTCACCTTCATCCCCGAAACTGGGGCCAACTTATCCAGAGTCGTCGACGCTCATTTTGGATTGCGCTCACGACACTTGCGCTCACAATTTACTTCCTTACTCATGAGGGTCGAACACAGTTCAAGAGATACGCACCATCCCTATCGACAGCGGATACGGATTATCCACCAGATTACACGAAGCTGTTCGAGTGGGAGATGAACCTGCCACAACACAACCTATCGCTACCGTTCCCGGAGGGAAAGACGGGGAGATATGTCATTTTCAAAAACCAGATCCAGATGCTGGGATACAACAACCAGCTTAACGAAATGTGAGTGCGCCCACAATCGTACTTCGACGCCACACTTTCTTTGTCTGACGATCATTTTCCCGACGACAGTCTGATGAACACCTGGCTTGCGTACAAGTCAAAACGAGCCTACGTCTGGCAAGACTTCTATTGGAACCCCAAGCACTACCCATGGCCAGAGCACAAGCACAGAGAACCACTGCCTCGCACACCGCTCAACGCGCTCATCACCGGACCGTCGGCTGGTGGACCATGGGAGCCAGGAGACAACGCCCCGCGCTCGATCTCGGAGGCCTGGTATCATATCGTCTGCCCACGAAACGAAGTGAAGCTGCTGAACACACACGACATCAAGCCACCCGTCTGGTTCGAGGACGGCAAAATCATCTTCGACCATTGGCAAAAGGTCCTTACTGACGCGCCCGAGCGCTGCATCGAGATCCACGGGGCCGACTTCTCAGAGGATGGAAATCCACAGGTATTCGACCTATTTCTGTGGGGCGGACCTCGTGTTCTGAGCTTGTGGGAGGATTTCAAGAACTCTCCTGTCAGTCGCCTGCTTTCAACTTCGCCCCTCGTTCAGGCTGCGGTGGACAAGAACAAGTACCTCTTCCTGCCTCGCGGCCCACGGCCTGCGGGACCTGCGTCGAACAATCCATTCGACCGCATGCTGGCCATCCATCTCCGTCGCGGCGACTTCAAAGAGGCTTGTCTTGGCTTCGCTAACTGGAACTCGACCTTCTACAGCTGGGATCTGCTTCCCGAGCTTCCGGACCCGTTCATCAACCCTCCAGCCCCGAACTACGAGTGGGGGAAGAACGAGCCGCAGAACATCGAGTATTATATGAAGCGCTGCTATCCGGACGACCAGACGATCTTGGAGAAGGTCAAGAAGGCCAGGGAAGAGTATGTCCGCGCTGCAAAGCCAGGGGAGTTCCGTCAGCTCGACGTTCTCTTCATCCTCTCGAACGACAAGACAGGCTGGGTAGATGGCCTCAAGACAATTTTCAAAGATGATGGATGGCATACGGTTGTTACGACGAGGGATCTAGAGCTGTCTCAAGCTGAGAAGGATATTGGAATGGCTGTGGATATGGACCTGGCGCGGTTGGCGGCTGTTTTCGTCGGGAATGGGGTGAGCTTTCATTCTGTTGCACGTCGAGTCCTGACTCACTTGGAACTAGTGGTCATCATTTACGAGCAACATTGTTCATAGACGACTGGTGGACGGAAAAGAACCTATTAGTATCCGATTCTTCTAGGAAGGGGGTATCTGTTTGAAAACACGGCTTAATGATCACGGATCCTACTAATAGTAGTATTTATTCTTCCACATACTTAGACCACGACACACGACACCCGCCTACCGTCGGATACTCGAGATTCATAGATGTAATTACGATGCTTGACGACAACCCTGACATCGCGTCCTTGGGATTCCTCAAGCAGGATCGCGCCAAACCTTGGTTCGGGCAAGACGGTCAAGCTTCAAGGGCCGCGCGTGTGGATAATTATAACTAAAGTTTGATCGTTAGGTAAATGACGTACAGTCATCCACCGGCCAATGAGACACCACCGGCTAATGATACACCTTGGAACACCATGAAGGACTCAACTGTTTGCTTTGAAAAAATAACCCCATTCTCTATAAGTCTTTCATACACTGTGTATAAAATTTTATGGGTTTTGGTGAAGTCAATGCCCAGTAATAAAATCACCAAAATATTCATTTTGGTTGATTTTGTCACACCAGTCACTGGTACAGCATCTCTGGCTGTTTCTGCTCACGTTTGGTTGATTTTATGGCATACAGCTGGTATAAATTTATTTTAATGGCTCTATTACACTGATTCCAAGTGGTTTTATGAGAATCCATGGGCTGGTTGAGTTCTGGGATCAAATTTAAATTTCAGTGTATCAAATGATGGTGGATGACTGTACTCCAAACGCGGGGAAGAGAATCTTGGTGTACTTGTGCCGCACGGCCGGCGACGGCCAAGCATGCAGCTGGCATACAGAAGCCGCATTAAGATACAGGGGACGACACTGTCCAAAATACTTTACGCAGCCTCCATGTTGGCATCGACGCCTCCTTCACTTCTCTCCTTCGATGAACACCAACTGGGACCATAGACCGCTGGACCCATCCTGTCACTCTAGGCGCTTATCTTCGTTCCGGCGGTCCTGGAAGCAATGGACACGCACGACGCGCCAGCGATGGATGTTGGGCATCGTTGCGTTGGGCATCTTCCTGTTCTTTTTTTCCTATACACGGCCAGGCAAGATATACATATGGAGGATCATCCTCGCCATCCCCTCATCTATCGGCCATCTACTCGTTGACCTCGACCAACCGCCAACGTACGAGAAATTACGGAAATGGGAAGCAAACCTCCCGCAACACAATCTCGACCTCCCCTTCCCCGAAGGACGTACAGGCAGATACGTGTACTTTAGCAACGAGCTGGTCAAGATAGGATGGAACAACAAGTTGAGCGAATTGTGAGTTGCCATTCCTCTAGGTCCAAAGATGCGTCCTAAGCTGCTTACAGACTCATGAACTCCTACCTCGCCTATAAATCAAATCGGGCGTATGTCTTCCAAGAGTTCATCTGGGACTCGAGCCATTATCCGTGGCCCTACTACAAGTTTAGAACATGGATACCACGTACCCCATTGAACGCCTTGATCGCAGGACCAACCGCTGGAGGGCCTTGGGACCCAGCAGACGACACACCCCGATCCGTCTCTCTGGCTTACTTCAATAAAGTGTGTCCTCCGGGTGAGCGGCGCATCATCAACACACAAGATGTTAAGCCCGCGATAACCTGGGCGGAAGGCAATGTCATCTTTGACACTTGGCAGAAGCTGCTGAACGAGGCTCCGGAGCGGTGCATCGAGATTCAAATGCCGGAGGAAAAGGTCGATCGGTTTGGACAGGTTTTCGACATGTATTTGTGGGGTTCGACTCGCGTCCTGTCGCTTTGGGAAGAGTTCAAGAAGTCGCCGGTGAGCCGTCTGCTCGCCACCTCGCCGATCGTCCACTCTGCGGTCGTTCGGAACGAGTACCTCCTCTTGCCCCGGGGCGCACGCCCAGAAGAGCGAGTTCCTGCAGATCCTTATGATCGCTTGCTGGCCATCCACGTACGCCGTGGCGACTTCAAAAAGGCCTGCGGTGAACTCGCACGTTGGAACTCTTCGTTCTACAGCTGGAATCTGCACCCTTCTCTGCCGGATGGATTCGTTGTTCCTCCAGGGGGAGAGTGGGGGAAGAACACCCCGGAAAATATCGCGATATATGAGGAACGCTGCTTCCCCACAGACGAGTTCATTCTGAACAAGATTCGACGTGCCCGAAAGGATTATGTCCGTGCCGGGAAGGTCGGAGAGCACCGTCACTTGGACACCTTGTTCCTCTTGACGAATGACCGCACGAAGTGGTTGGACGAGTTCAAGGAGATGCTTCGAAAGGAAGGCTGGGCGACGATTGTGACAACTAGAGACCTCGAATTGGACATGGAGCAGAAGGACGTCGGTATGGCCGTGGACATGGAGTTTGCGCGAAGGGCAGCTGTCTTCATCGGAAACGGTGTAAGTTACCACGAGTGAAAATTTACATTGTTGCTGAATCTTTCATCTTCCAGTGGTCTTCATTTACGAGCAATATCGTGCACCGACGACTAGTTGACGGAAGAGAACCCATTAGTATTCGATTTTACTGATTAGATATAGGTCCCCAACATACGAGATAATTTGCCGTGCATAATTTATTGGAGTTCCTTTTCTTGCACGCAGAATGATACACACCATTGACCAAATATAAGGAAAAGGTTCAAAGCCGATGTCTCTGACAAGAGTCACGTGACGTCTGATCTGATTCGCGTGACGAGCTTCAACTTCAAGAACTCAGTGAGCTCCCATTGCCCAACCTCCTCTATCTTGACGAACGGCGCTTTCACACCTCCAAAGCAATGAGCGATACAGAAATTGAGGTCCCTCCTCTCCCAGAACCGATTCTCCAGGCGCCCAGACCTCCAAAAAAGCTAAAACCAGCGAGAAAGCAGGTCAAACCAGGAGACGTTGTCAAGACAGAGACGGTGCAGACTGGCAAGGAATACAGTGCGTACCCTCATTGGCCATATAAGATAAGTTCTCATGCATACTTGCATTGCAGATATCTGGTACAACAAATGGGCTGGAGGCGACCGAGAAGACAGCTATTCGAAGTACATATTCATATTTCATCCCAAACCATCATGCGCAGATTCTGACTTCTTCCCCTCAGTAAAACGAAGTCCCAAACCCGATGCAGCATAAAGAAAGACTCGGGGCTTACGCGAGCCAACACAACAGGCATGAAGTACATCTGCCTCTTCTTCGCGCGTGGGTGCTGTCCATACGGCTGGGAGTGCGAATACAGACACACCCTACCCGACCCCACGGACGTGATGCCCGACAGCTCGAAAGATTGCTTTGCAAGGGACAAATTCGCCGACTACCGTGACGACATGGGTGGTGTTGGTAGCTTCAATCGCCAAAATCGAACGTTGTACGTCGGGAGAATCAAGGAGACGGGAAATGGCCAGGAGACAGAGGAAGTCGTGACAAGGCACTTTAGGGAATGGGGCACGATTGAGCGGAGTACGTGTCTTCTGTTCTCATCTAGCCTTCCAACATTCATCTAACCGTGCTTATGTTTCGTGTTTTTCATTTCAGTACGCGTCCTTCAATACCGCTCTGTGGCATTTGTGACTTACGTCGACGAAGTCAATGCTCAATTCGCAAAAGAGGCGATGTCATGCCAGTCTCTCGACAACGACGAGATCCTCAACGTGCGATGGGCCACGGAAGATCCAAATCCTGTGCAAAAGGTCGCCGAGAAGCGCCGCCTGGAAGAGATGGGCCAGGAAGCTATCAAGTCACGCATGGACCCCCGAATCGTCGATGCTATGCGCTCGGTTAGGGCGTTGGAGGATGGAGATGTGCTAGAGCAGGATGACGAGGAGGAAGAGGACCATGAACAGCCAGATCCAAAGAGGAGACGGTTGGCTCTAGAGGGCGGAGGCTCGGCGTCGCCGCCTCCGCAGGAGCAGGAAAGTGCCCCGCCTGCTTCAAAGGGTCTTTTGAGCTCGGACACGCTAGAAAGTCTAAAGTATTTTGCGGAGCTGCAAAAACGAAACGGAGCTGTTGTCAAACAGCAGCGTGCACCTCCGAAGTCGACAGCAGGGCTTGGGTTGGCGGACTACGGCAGTGATGAAGATTAGCAGATGTGGACGAAAGATTTTGTATTTTCCACTAATATCAAAGCATCTGTCGCACTGTAACTTTGACTCGACGATCTTACTGTCCTAGTGTTGCATTTGGCGCAGAAACCGTACGACTAGTAGGTGAGCAAGGTATGAAGTTCCTTTCGGTACATGCAATCGTGGTAATAGCGAAAAGGTTCGAGACCAGTTCATCCGTCTTGCAGAGCCAAATTCGCGATTCGAGCCTCCTCTGTCGCCAGGTCTTCTGCCTCCTTCTGTCGTCTGTACTGCTCGATGTCCCAGTCGTCCGAAGCATCGCCATCGTCTTCGTCTTGGAACCATTCGGGGTTGTATTGGAACTGTCCAGCTTGTAAATACCGTGGATAGGATGAAAGGCAAAAGAAGTTCGTACCAGATCTCTGCCGCTCATACCGGAGCTCTTACCCGCGCTGCTCTGGAGCTCCTTGGCCTTTTTGAGTGCCTCCTGCTCTGCTTCCTTCTTGTCCATTCTCGTCTTCTTCCATTTGGCGAATGTTTCGGGTGTTACTGGTGTTAGATTAGAACCCAGTTTATGGCGCTGTCGATTGAGTCGTCAGAACAAGGTAACTTCATGGATGCAAACAGGTAAAACGCACCTCGACTTCTAGGAACTCCTCCAGACTAATCGTGTTGGCCTTAGCGGCGTCTTCTAATGCTTTCTTCTGTGATTTGAGTACAAAGCCGGGTGGGAGGGCGTGTCGATATTGACAATTATCGCCATTGGGGCATTGCCAGAACCAGCCATACTTTTGTGACTCGATAGATTCGATGAAGTATTTGCAGACAATCTACAATGATAAACCGGAAAGAGGAAGAAGGGATAGAGGATACTCTAGGACGTACATCAGTCGTCGTCCGTGGGTTGCCTGCTTTCGAGAGCACAACTGAACGTAGTTTCTCTTCGTCCCAGTTGTCCATGGTATCTGCGGAAGTGCGAAAACATAGATATGCGTTAATATCCAAAACAAATACATGGAAAAAAGGAACGCATTGTCGAGGCGAGGATCGACAAAAGCAAAGAACGAATACCGACCTGCCATCTTATCCTCCCGACTGTCCTCATACAGATTCTTCTTCTCCACCTTCCGCCCCACGTTCACATCGTGGCTGAACTTGCACTTGTTCCCCTTCTCGCATGTTCCAGCCTTGTAGAACGCACAGAGTACCGTCTTCGGGTCGACGCCGAAGGGGATCTTCTGTGTTTGCACGGGTTTCAGTAGAGCAGCCTCCTCCTTCGCCCGTTTCGCCTCCTCAGCCTTTGCCTTCTCCCGCAGAGCTTTCTCCTTCTCCTTCTCTAGCGCCTCGCGAGACTTTCCTGTCACCGCAGCCTGCTGCTGGAGACGTTGAACCTCAGCCTTCACCTTCGCGGATTTGTTTTTCTGCACAAATGGAAGTCAACTCTTCGCTCGCATGATATGATCAAGCACTCCTGGTATTTCAGGGGAGTTGAAATATTTGATACGAACATTTTTCAATCCGAAGGTCTGTATTGTTGTTGAAGTCAACGATCCAGTACGTGGCCTATACGGAACTGCGATCTGATTACCTTGTCCTCCTTGACTTTATTCGAAGAGCTGGAAGGCTGCTTTCCTTTAGGTGGCATTTTAACTTGTTCGTTTGCGCGGAAATTGGAGGCGCAGCTAGGGGTGCTTAGCGGAGTCTGTTCGCAGGAATTGGTAGAAAGAGATCAATGACAAGAGTCACATTATGATTGACACAATGATATCGTCTAGATTAGCACGTGCTACACTACGCTCCACTCAGAACTTCAGCAAGAGGTCTTTTGCTTCTTAGACAACAAGCGACCCACTGTGTTAGAAGGTATTTTTACAACGTAGACTGCGGAGTCGACCCACAACGGTAGTTAGGCGGATACCCGCAAAAGACGGCGAGATATTTGCTTTCCTCATCCCTCACCTCGAGCCCTTCCAGCCTCCCTGATACCTCGTAGGATTACTGCGTTGAAAAAACTGTAAGTGAAGTTGAGAAGGAGAAAGTAAGGAAAGCAGAAGATGATTGATTTGACGCAGCTGAGGACGCTGCCCGGCAGCCAGGAGAGAAGGATAAACATGACGGCGACACAGTCACGGAGGAGTCATTGGTTGGACGAACAAAGCGTGAAAATTGTGAGGGCAAACAGCTGTCAGACGTATAGAAACGTTTCTTTGGAAAACCGTACGGAGAACATGGTTGTAGAGCGAGTTATATCAGAATGAAGTGGCCGCGCGTTGAATGTAACTACTTTGGAGTCTCGGAGTCTCGGAAGGAACTGGTCAGCCTTGGTCAGCGTGAGAATAGTGACAAATAGATCACGGGATGTGACATCTCGTGCCATACTAATTGGGGCCTCATATAATTGTGTCCTTTCAATGTCTTTGCCTCTTCGTCCGTTGGTATCATCTCAAACCTATGCCGCACCAAGGAAACTTATCTGCGTGGATCGAAGTGAACGGAGCTCAGCTCACCGAATATGGGACGGAACACTCTGCAGACGGAACTACAACTACTTGCTGGATACCTTCCGAAGGGGGCAAGGTATGGTTCAACCTTATATTCCCAACTGTCGCATTCACGGGTATATGACAGGCTTTTGAAATATGTTATAGAGATTCTTTAAACAATTTTACCACTGCGATCTCGCTTTCTGTGGATGGAATACGTTGCAAAGGAAAAGTAGCCCGTGCTCATCTCCGGCCTGCTGTCGTCAGGCAGCGTGGGGTGTCAATAACCGATGCTTCGTACAAGCCATTCGTTTTCTCAGATTGCAAGCTAATAGGTATGGCTCATCTGTCGCTAAATTATCTCGCTAACATGCTTTGGTAGATGATGACGACTTCGTCACCCTCACACCTGGCATCGGCGAGATCACCGTCCGGGTCGCCGAAGTCACCATACAATCAAAGCACGCTAAGCCTAGAAAGATCCCATACTTCCCGCCACTGAATGTTCATGAAAGAGCAAAGAAGGGTGTTGTTCATGGTACTCAGTACGCTCGCCGTCGTCCCAATGGTGATTTTTTTTGAATGCCGGTCACAGGTTAGGCGACACTGTGTTGCTGCGATCTAGCAAAGCGCCTGTTCGAACGCACAAAGTCAGAGACTTGTCTACGTTCATCTTCAAATACCGACCGTTAGGCAAGCCTTTTTATGGCCAATTTTCCGTTGCAAGCTTCGTTAATCTGAGAGACCAGATGTACTCCGGGCAGACGGTATCGCCCCACCAGCCCTAGGTCAACAACCTCACCCTCGAGCTGTTCCTGTATCTCTAGGCTTTATTGATCTCACTATCGAAGAGGATGGCTCCAATGCCGACCAACGGAGGTCGTCGCCTCGTATAAAGGAGATAAAGAAGGAACGCTCAATTACTCTCGACACCGACGTCATTGATTTGACGGTTTAACCTGCTCGCAAAGATATCGAAGGCTTGTCCTTCACGCATATACCCAGCATCCAAGGTGCGTTTGTTGACATCCTTCATAAAATTGGTACACACATAAAAAAATTGTACAGGCACGAATTCTGCTTTCGCGACAACTTGGGTTTATGAAGAACTGTATCATAGATCGGTAGCACTACCAGAGCTCCAGCTCATCAGCACGCTGCAGATGGATTTTCGCGCCAACGCCCTCACCAGCTGGTAGCCTAGTAGGTAGGAGGATGGGACCTGGTCCCCACATCACACAGCATTACTTCGGGATCCTCACGTACTGGACATTTGTTTGTTCCCAATTCATTCCCTCCATGAAGCTCATTTTCTTGGAGGGCTGAGGCTGCATCTCCAAATATGCATGCAGATTTTCTGGACACACGGCCTTCATGGTGTTAGAGATGTACTCCTGGAGTGCAGTGATGGAGGCATCACCAGGGTTCAACGAAACCGCTTTGGTCACATCTACCCAAGAGAGTTAGCATATGCTGCAACAAAGAGAGCTGTCCACGGACTCTGCAAAACGTCAGCAAATTTACCGAGGTGCAGATGTGCTGTGGCACGTCTGAAATGGGCTTTTGCGATAGTGGACGGCGAAGTGAACAAGTCCATATCCAATGCTCTGGTCGCGAAATCCACTGTAATTTGGTATCTGGTTGCAGTATGGGATAAGTAGATCTCAAACGGAGTATGACACGAAGCGCATACTGATTCAATTTCAGGGCACAAGCGGCCATATTGTTCATGGCGTCGGGGTCGGAAAGGTGGAAATAGCGCTCATGTAGTGGAGTTGGGCAGCATCAATATTCCCATTTCTGAATTCACTATTCCCCTACCCAACCAACCATTGCACTCAGCATTTATGTAGATCAACCTTTTGAAAGATGTCCTTACCGTCTCTTTCATTGCGGTTGCGGACGTCAGCATCTCGAACTCCGAGAGTTTCTCATCCTCGAGAATCCAACTCCTCTTCTCGAGTGAAATGAGGGCGTGTCTGTTATCCTTACATTGCCTCTCGTAGTGCGCTGCGATCTTCTCGAAGAACGCTTGCCACTCGGGCGAAATACCCTCCGGTATCTTAAACAACTCAGAAGTCTTAGGTGGGTTTTCGGCCGCGTTTATCATGAACTTGATGAACCTGTCCATAGCTTCTTTGTTGGGGACACCTCCTGACCCAGTTGAGGAGCTTTGAGAGGGGGAGGCGTCAGGGCCATCGGTGGATTGTTGGCTAGCCATTTTTTCTTGGGGGGGCGTGGCGATGATCTTGTGAGGTTGAAGGATGAGCGGCAGAAGTAACACAGGCCCACGACGGGAGGCCTGGAGGTGGTGTTGAGTACATAATCTTGACCATTTCAGGAACCCGCCAGGGTCCTAATCGACTTCTATTCTGACCGTACGCTCGTCTCCTTCACTCCAAGGTGGAGGGTCAATAAGCTGAAGTGCTTGGAGAAGTATCGAACAACTGGCTGAATTATCGCGAACACCTCTCTTTTACGATTTGTATCGCGTCGCTGCAGTCAATAACGGTGCTGGAACTCTCCCGGCGAGAAGGTTTCCATTGAAGGAGAAACTTGAGAGAAACTTGAAGGCCAGAATGCGTTGGTAATAGTTGGCGTCAAGACCCAACGGAATAGCCAAATTCTGAACGTTCAGGCTCGGGGTGGATATAATTATTGAGGCGTTGACACATGACAAGAGTAGGGCGGTCTTTTCCATTGTGGGCCGCGTACAAAAGCGGCTCCGGAAACAGCCCTGAAGATGAAGAGGATGAAAGAAGAGACAAGAGCAGAAAAACAGGGGCTGAGCATATGGCCTTTGGACACGAACCCGACGACAAGCGGCCTGACTGATTTTGATTATATCCACTTCCATTGGTCTCGAATTCAGGTTCGCCAGCTTAGGTACTACAGGTCCAGGAGGACCACGACAGGCAAGATGATTTTGGGAATTCGGAAGTGAAACGCAGATCCAAATGGACTTGAGTTGAAAGCATGAGAACCCGAGCTTTGTCGCGTAGATAGAATGGCGTCATTGGCGATCGTGTATCAGAAGTCGATGAGGAAAGTCAAAGATAAAGCAATATTCCGGGAGAGGGAATTAGATACACACGGACAGTCCAGAATTTATCTCCTTTCTGGTTGTACGACGATAAGCTGAGTTGGGATACGGGGTGAGGGTCTAAATATTAGGCAGAATGTCCGACAGCCTGGGCCAATAGAGCCTAAAGGAAGTTACTATAAGAATTGGAAAAGTACCAACAGGTGAACGCACGAGTTGGGGTAGAGGGTATTGTGGCGTCAGAGCATCCCTTTAACTAGCCAGACGATAAGTCTTGTGGTCCAACGGACCTTCCGATGGCCGCCTTTCCATTCACCCGCGTTAGACCGAATACCGTCGATCTCCCGAGCGAGCTCCTGGCGTAATGACAACAGCTGCTGGTCCTGCGGCGCGTCAGGAAAGGAAGGGATATCCTTAGTGCGTTCTTCAGCGGCAGAAACCGTCAGTCCTTCCGATGGAACGACCATAAGGAATGAGAGCTCCGTGTCAATGTGTGCGGACCGCGCATTCAGATTTGTGGAGCCAAACAGGGTTAAGACTGGCGGTGATGTCGCGTTCGGAGACAGCCATATTCCTGGTGGTGTTACATACGAGTCAGGCCCCGTTCAACGCGTCGAGACATTGTGTCAAACAGGAACCTACATACCTTTCGCATGATACGTCCATCCTGGCTTTTCCCACTCGCCCAACAGCACGCCTCTTCCTTCTCCGCCTCGCGATTCTCCATGCCATAAACGTTTTGCCTTGGAGACAGCTCTCATGAACCGCTGCTCATACAAGGTGTAACCTTCCGGAATTCTGCCAGATATTCCCTTCGAGCCGTAAAATCCGTTCGCCTAGAAAGGAACTTTCATTGGTTGCGTCAAGAACCAGCAGTCAGGTGGGAACGCACCTTGGGTCCGGCTGCCACAATCCGACAGTCAACATTGGCAGCGTCGAGTATTAATTTCTGATACGGTGCGTACAGGCTGAAATATCCGCTGGTCAGATCCAGCAGTGGGCGCATTGACGTGACGGTTCGGGTGAGGTGACGGAACAGCAGTCTAAACACAGACTCTTCCTCCCGTATATTGAACTGGCCGGCCTGAATAATGGCAAAGAGAAGGACGTTCCGACCCTGTGGTGTTATACGAGTTACGGGATGGAGTGTCGCCTTTTCACGGTATAATCTCTGAAGCGTAGAGAACTCGGTCTCGGCCACGAGATTGAAATGATGGGGATGGGTATCAGGATCAGGCCAGTGAAGGGTATAATCTTCGTAGGTGTAAGAATATCTATTGTTGGAATTGGCGGCCAGACGAACGCTATGGGCGGGTAATAGTTGATATGAAAATTTTGCGGCGGTCTGCATATAGTCAAAACAGTATTGCGCGAGGGCTTTGTCGTCGGCAACGTGAACATAGCGATCCTGACGATTGGTGAAGTAGGATTTATTTAAATTTGCCCTGCATCAACCGAAAAAGCGAATTAGACACGAAAAAGCGGAAACGACGGACGCCACGAACCCACTGATCATAACGCTGTCGTCGGAACCATAAATTTTGGCATGCCAGGTGCCCCAGCCTTCGTTGAACCGTGGTGGTACAATCTTAGCGAGAATTCCACGTAGACTTGGGCTGCGGAACATTGATATATGAACCCGCGACGGAAACTCATGCAGGAGAGGCAGAAGAATCTTCGCTGTTGAGTCCGGCCCGGGACGCGTGGAACGATTCAAGTCCAAGACAAGATTTAGCTGCAAAGACGGCTTGTCACGAAGTCGACACGCCAGAGAGTCTATCTGAACCAGAGATCGATCGTACTGCCTATGAAGGAAGCGTCTTACTCACCAGCTCTTGCTCCTCCGCGCCAACGTACAACGAAGAGAGAAAAATGCGCTGCTCTGCTTGGTTGATCATGTCCTGACGCATTTCGTTACCAATTAATGCCGGGAGAAAACAGGAAACGTACCAGCAACATCTTGTAGAACTCAGGGGGTTCCGTCAAAATGCGTATAGACCCAGGTGGAACTTGGAAAGTTGGCTGTTGCTTCGTCAGCGCTTTGGTGAAGTCACGAATGGTCGGGTCGAATGTCGAGGTTAAGATGCATCTCGAAGGATCTTTGAGTGTACGAATATTGCCTTTTCTCCATATTCTTGTCGTTGCCGAGAGCAATCGCCACTGGTGCATGGGCGTTTCGAGATTCAGAAAAAGCAGAGCATCGCGCATAACGGTTCAGATTCACTCACGTGGTGTGACAGGAAGGCGGATCAAAAGCGGACCGCTGCTCTCCCCTCTCCAGCTCCTCGTCGCTTCCCTTCAGTGTGCAGGGTTAATGACTCAACGCTTTAATACTAGAAAGTGAAAGTCAGCTCTGGCATAACTAATTCGGGCTCATTGCGGTGCGCACGCAATTATTTCTAAGGGTCATTCACTCTGGATTCATGGCATAGGAACATTCGTCCAATTCGAGCTCCCCGGGTAGAGATAGATGCTTCTGAGCCATCTTCGAAGCCAGAGTCAATCAGAAATTAATGACCTTCGTATAAGCTTCTTTCGCGTGAGAGCGATTTTCTCTTGTTCATCGCCTAAATCAGGCGGCGTCCCATTCTAATGACCCTTGGTTGCCTCTACTGTTATGAATATCGTAGGCGCCCACATGTTTCCTCATGCCATCGTACTGCCACCGAAAGGGATCACGTGCGAGAAATCCGCCTTGTTTTCCCCGAAAGAATGCAAGTAACGCCGAAATGAAGCTCGAGATTAAAGCTTACCCACATTCATTTCGATAATCGTGGACCAGTGCGGGGTACGATCCCTTTGTATTTCTATCCACTACCGTCAGCTCTATCGCTGGACACACCTCGAACGCCGCACATTCAATCCCGTCATTCACCACGGCCGAGTAGTATGTCGAATGTACCCTGCAAAGAATCCACACCAGAAATGGATGACTACTATTTCCTGGACGCCTATGAACATTCCGAATCCTCTGAGGAAGAACTCCAGTCTGGGTGAGTTTCCGCCACTATCTTAACGCCAATTTACGTTTGGTTTACCGGCCTCAGCGAGGAAGAGGAGACCGAATTGTTTGATTTGTACGCCCAACGAGGGACGTCGGTATCGCCCTCACCCTCACTTTCAACTGACTACGACGACGAAACATCAGAGGACCGTGTCACCGCCGCGGAGTGCGAAACTGACGATAACGAGTCGGAAGATATTACCACCCCGACAACAGCACAGCCCAAACGGACTGTTCACTTCAAGACTCCAGTTGAGGACGCAGTGCCGGGGGTCGATGTGTTCCTTGAAGAGGACGGACAACGTCACGGTGAAGGGGACGCGGCACTACACCCAAAGGTGCGAATTAGGGCAGTTGACCCCACATGCTTCCCGACCTGACCGAGATATGCTTTCACAGCACCCACCGCAGGTAGTGCATGGTCGAAATATGGGAGAATGCTCAGAGTATCTGAGCGACCACCGCTAGGCTAGGAAATCTGGGTTCTCGAACGCCGCACAATCGTCATGGGTTCCGGCTCTGACAAAATATCAGCACATGTGACTGATGATAAAACTTGTATTGCGTACTCAGGTTGGATGGTAGCTTTGTTGTAGTCCCAAGGAAAGAGAGAGTAATTTACTGGGTAACATTTCGAACAGCCGTTTCAGCGGCCTTTTGTGATCGGACCATGGCGCTGGTGCTGCGCCACATTGGGTAGGCGCCTATTTGGTCGGCTCCCGCGGCGCTCAGGATACGAGACATCCTAATCATAAAAAACGAATCGTATTCTCATGCCGTTGCTCTTACCAAATACTGCTTTCGGAATTTTAGTTCAGTCAAAAGCGCCAGATCTCAGGGTTATTTGATACCGTCAGTCCTGGGCGCTGCACGGCGTCTTTAGAACTAGCAAAAAACGATTACCGTCGGCACATCCTTATCGCATATTTTATTGTTTTGTTCCGATCCACCCTTAGGACCCTGAGCTCTGATTTCGCGAACGACAAAAATGGGGAACTATAAGGAGGAGTATTTTTGGGCCGTGAAAGCTGTCAACGAAAGTTGGGGAGGTGATGACTGGAGGCTACCTGCAACTCCGTCTAAGCTTCTTTGACTCGCCTGATTATTTTTCCCTACTCGCAGTTCCCCTTGAGATTTGAGATATGCGCCAAATAGGACACCCGGTCCGGCTGGTCGATATCCCAGAGTCAGTTTAGGGACGACGTACGTGAGCCAGGATCAAGGAAGATGCTAGCGAGTTACGTTGCGACCAAACACGAAGACGGACCATAAGAATGTCAAGTAGCTAAGGCAGCAATGAAGAACGCCTGCGTCGCTCAAAGAAGAACGACAAGGTGGTGACTATAGTCCTTGTACAGCGATCGTAGCAGAAGAGCCGTAAATAATACAATACTCTATAATTAATGGGTGCGAGAAAACACTTCCAAGCAATGAAAGCAAATGGACGAGCAAGAACACGAGTAGAGAGGTGTCTAATATTTGTTGAACAAATACCTGCATTTGCCACCACTCCATGCGACGCCTATCGTGATAGCCAGAGACCCGAACAATACGGCGAGGAAGAGTACAGGCCCTAGGTATCCGGCGGCAACATGAAAGTGCATCTGCCCCTGCAGCCCGCAGGCTAACGAACCAATGATCGCAGCAAGAACGCTATACACCATCTCCTTGAGCAGCACGATAAGGCAAGAAAGGACCGAATGGAAGTCCAAGCTCTCGTCCGCCTCGTGGACCGTACTCCGTGGTTTGAGGAGAAGCGCGAAGTAGAGGAGGATGAGTGTAGTGCCTCCGAAGGCTCCAATCTTCGCTGAAGTGGAGGGTGCAACAGAATTGGGATGACCAAACCATTGAATGAAGGCGCTGCCGAGGAATTGGAAAAGGGAGTATTTGGCGGGGGAGAGAGCTGCTTCGGCGAAGGAGTAGAGGCGTGACTTGGGAAATTTCGAGTAGATTGACCACGAATACGAAAGGGCCGTCTGGAAAGCGTGAAACGGTCAGTGGCACCGCCAGTACTTATTACACATCCGAACGCCTACGCGTCGCTGCAGAGTCTTTGTGGGGATCCATTCCGGAACAGTGTTGCCGGCGGGATCTTTGATCTCCAAACAGTTGGGGAACGTGTGGTAGGCGTTCATAGCGGAAAAAGGGCAGGGAATTAAGGAACTCCGGAGTGGGTGCAATGAAAAGCGACGGAATGAGTGAGCCGAGCAAAAATCAGGAGACCCCACTTTATATCGACGCGTATTCCAGGTACCAAGGCGTTAAGACCATTTTATAAACCCCACAAAAGTTTGGCGCAAGCGGCAACGTGGATCCCAATTTGGAGGATCGCTGACAGTTCGAGATCGTGTTGTAGCTGGTGATCGGGATCTGCCTTTCATGACTGGAAAGTAAGCAGACGTTTGGTGACACCGTTTATCGGTGCAGACGTTGGTCGGGTACAAAAGCATCAGGTCGATTCCAACGGACCTGCCAGAGGAGAAAGGAGGACATTCGTACGGTGGAATTACGAATGACAAGAACAGGTTTAGACCAAAGCAGCCTCAGGGTTCGTTGTCGCCTACAAGGGGAAACAAAGGGGTAGGAATCGGGTCGGAGATGACAGAAGCAGATGAGATAGTGCAGGTTCCTCATCATCGACGCAATTATGACCTTGCAAAGCAGGGTTTGGGCAAAAAAATGCAAAGATACAATTTCTTTGCTGCATGAAACCTCCAAGTCGCGCTGTGGGTTTGATGAAGCGATGTTTGGAATGGAAGGAATCGCCCAGAGCTCTGCGGTGGATGATAAGAAGACCCGCCTACGCCGACTTCTAGAGTCAACTTCGACGCCACCCACAAAAGCGTGTCGCAAATCCCAACACACCGTAGCAACATTCAAACTCGAATGATCCCACATTGATCGGGGATTGGGGCAAGACAGAGGCATGTGTGTGCGAGCGCACTCCGTGTTCTGAGAAAAGGAGATATGTCAAGAGGCCATGAGACCCGCCAGCTGACTTCTTTGGAGACTACATCAGGCGTCTTATGAGGGAATTAGTTCAAGTTGAAACAGGTGGGTGCTGCAGGTATCCTTCAACCCACGTGGCAAAGACGGCAAACGCCGGGAAATTGTCCAGGACTTCGCCATGTTCTGCGGCATTCGAATTCCCTGACACCCTACGTTGACAGTTCCTATGAGCGCCTATTGACTCCCGAGGCTAAGAAGTGGAAGATACCGAAATCAATTCAAAAACGACTTCACCGTTCTCCCCATCGACCAGGATGACGAGAGACCTGGACAGGTTCCTAACATGCAATCAGGAAATTGGGACCCTGCTAGATGTCATCATATCGATAAAGCTCCAGATAGAGGTCCTCGGAGAACTTTCTTACCGACGGCAGCAGGCCGAAATATTGGTTTAGGGTGGTGTCACTGATTGACTGCTCTCCCCAAGAGAACCCTCCTGCCTGACGCGATGTTACGGTCTACCCATGTCAGCAACCCAACAAATAAGTCGCTATGGACACCCGTAGCCCATCCCCTTTTGAATCCAGTAGTCCGTCCGAAGTATTTTTATCGGAGTGTCTACGCTAGGTAGGCCAGCGGCAGCATCTTTCGAAACGCCGCGAGGTCATCAAACTTGGGAGGTGAATTTACGCGTTACATATTGACATTCGGGCTTCGTATACCGGCCTCCTCTTGGATCACTGGCTGTCGCCTCCAGAACCTCGATGCTGGGCAGCCTGGCCGCACCTAGAGCGACTTCAAAAGAAAATACGACGGGTATAAATTATCATTTTTATGATTCCCTTACGGAGGTCGTTCCCTGGACGCACCTAATCTCTCCCTCAAGGGAGCAACGCCTGGAATTGGTGACATTGATGGTCCATCCTTCTGTTTCCCAAAATCAGCAAGAGAGCTCGCTCTTCTATTCCGTGCTCAGCCTATGAAACGTGTTTCTGGCGTACGAGTAAGCTCGAAGAAAGCGGAAGCGAAAAGACATTCTTCGAGATGACGACATACATACTCAACATGGTTCTTCCCTTTCGACTTTCTCGAATCGGCTCGGGGATGCTGGGAATATGTCTTGCGCCATCATTTGCGACGCCAACACTAAAAGCTCGAACAGGGCACTTGCTAAACCCAATCGAACTTGCTCCTTAAATACGAACCCTTCCCGACGGTATGATATCACCTCTTGTTCTGGACCAGAGGCATCCAGACATTCCAGACTCCGGACTTCAGAGCTCGGGGACGAACGGATCTCTTTGTACAGATTCTTTTCCTGAGGCCGTTGCTTTTCGTGTAGGATCTTCGGAAAGTCCATGAGGGTGCGTCCTGGAGGTCCACGAGCAGCTTTGGTGCATGTCCCAGGTCGTTCCGGCCTCGAGTTTCGAAGGCGAATCTCATTTTATCTGGGCGATTTCATAAGAACCAGCTACAGCCTCCAGAAGCATCTGTCAAGGTTTCCGTTGCTCTGATGAGAAGCACCACCGAAAAATAGAACGATAGGAGCAAGTCGGGAGTCCTTCAGGGTAGCCGGGACCGCTGGAGGCGATGGGCGAGGCTGGCAGTAGTTGGTGCAAAAAAACCTGCCTTCTTGATTAGGCATCACCTACTCCGCGGACGTGCCGACAGCGCACGGTGGCCGAGTGTCAAGTCGCTCGACCCGACACAAGGCTTATGGAAGAAAATGGGAGGGACTAAATTGAATCAACTATTGATAATTATCTGAACAACTGACCCTTCTGGCACCTGTTATGTTTAAGGTTCTGTGGCGCATTGGGACGACGACATCGGTGACCTCGTGAGAGCACGTAGGCCGAACGAGTAAGCCGAAGGACGTGTCGCGTCAGGAACCTAGGTGGCTGGTGCTCCAGCCTGCCGTCTTTTTTCAGTCAAAGCTTTCGCCTCGCTGAGAGGCTTCCTCCATTTCGGTTCCGGAGGGTCCCAAATGCCAAATTCTTTCTTCATGTCTTCGACGTTTTCGCCCCATCGTTCTTCCCAGTAGACTGTGATCAGGCTTCTGGCCGAGCCGCCGCATTTCAATGCCCATGGCACGTATTCAGAGAACAGCCTCGCGCGCTTCTCTGGCGTGAGACGAAGCGGCCCGAACACAGCAGCGATGGCGGTCATCGGCAGGCCCAGGTTCGCAAACTCCAAGTACTTGAGCGCCAGCTCGTACTCGACGCTCACGGGCATGTTGCAGATGCAGTGGTAGAAATCGTGGCACTCGCGATAACGCTGCATCACGTACGCTAGCTCGGGATCGTCAATGTAATGAACCTGGGAACACGCACACGTAAGGCACAACGGAAATGAGGTCGTCCAGATGGGACATACCGGCTCGCGCGTATCTGGCGTCACCCCATAACGTTCGAGCCAGGTTACGTACGCCTTTCCGAAAGAACCCTCTGGGTATTGGGCCAGCTTATCCATGTCGACCGTGTTGGAGTTGACGCGTGGCCTGTCCTTGAGCACCCTTCGCCCTTCCACGCTCTCCAGCATGCGATCTCTCAAACGTGGGAGGCTCGGACCGGCTGTGGTCTCTCCAAGTGCTGCGATCATGTCTGTAAATCAAGCAGTGTAAATCGCGTTCAACGATGTAGACGGTGTCTCTCACCTCCTCGACGCGGATTGGTAAGTGATACCACGGCAGAACCTACGGCAAGGAGTGCATTTTCAAACCAGTTCAGTGGAATATGACCATCGTACGCTGGCCGCATATTGATGAAACGAGCAGATGACAGTTGGAGTTTCCTCCGTTGGATTCGCGTGGAAATGCGCGAGACAGATAGCACATCGATAGCAGAACGTCTTTCAAGCGACAATGCGTGCCGATAAAGCATGGCGATAGCAATGCGGCGCCCTCGAGGATGAAGACGAAAAAGAAAAGTTTGGAGGTTTTGGGAAAGTAGGAACAAAATGTGACCACGATTGCTGGTGTAGTCACGCGTCACACTCCAGCTCACCATCCACCTCATTTGTCTGATTCAAAATCAGTTACTCAGTAAGTACTCTAGAGTCTAGTTTCAGCTCCGACTCCCGCTTTTTTTTTCTAGAAACCTCTTCCAAACATCCCATCCTATATACATCTCTATAGGACTCAACTTCAAGGGTCTAGGAACTTGCCAATGCTTAGCCTTCAACCAGCGAATCAGGGTCCTGGAGCCTTCTGTGATATCGATTGTGCCACTTTAGCGCGCTCTGGCCCGCGACTAACTGGAAATCAGCCAAATCCCCGAGCCATGCAACGAGTCTGCCTCGGTACCACCGTTCTGTGAGGCGAAAAGTTCTTTGTCTTCTCAGGGGATGCCGGCCCATGAACCACATGGTGTGTGTAATCGGACTGTGGACATCATCGGTCGCTGCGGCTACTTCATTAACTGCGCCTTCAAAACTGCCTGAAATGGCATCTATTTGGGCCACAGCCATCAACTGAGTGCTAGGAATGCCACAGCGGAGAGTTCACTTTCTTCCGTATAAAATACACTGGCGTCCCTCTCTCTCGGAAACCACAAACTGGCACGACTGTTCTATCCTACGACCGTCTTATCTTCTAATCCTTCGTTCATGGATTCTTCTTCTCCTGTATCCTGCCTGTTCTCCGACGGCTCCATCCATCCTAGTCCACGGGCGCGCGTCAAGAAGCCCCATATTGCCAACGACAATAGACGGCATGCTGCCTACTATCCGTCGAAAGCGAGCCTGCTCGGGGCAAAAAGGAGACGTAGCGAGCCTGTACCTTCTCCGGCGCCTACTCCGGTGCCGCTCTTCGATGAGGAGGAGAGTACCTGGGAGTTTTCAGCCCCCCGGCAGGCGCCGTCCCTGAGCTCCAGCAGTTCTAGCAGTTGCGAGAGTTCTGGAAGCCGAAACTCTGCTGCCCAACTGATTGCGCTCGAGTATCGCCTCCGCCACCTTGAGCCTGATGGCGCGTGGGCGCGCGACGACTTCTGCGACTTCGAATACGTGTCCGTCTACCCACCCAGCCCAAAAGGTTCGGAGTACAACAGCATCTCTCTCACCAAAAAGCCCATCCTGGTGAGCGCATCTCGATACGCCTACGACGTGCGTTTCATCCCGTTAATCTCCTTCTCTTCTCTAGCACGACGAGGCAGTAACCGTCATGAAATCCCACCACCCTGGCCCGGATAGTAGGGTCGTTTGCCAACGCCCTGGCTGCCGTGAGACCCTTGAGGGCTTCAAGGATTTAATGTATCATCTTCATCTTCACGATGCGAATGAACGGTACGTGGTTATGCTTCCTGACCTCGCAAGGACTTGTCTCAAAGTGCATAATATCCAGATCTGTTACTTGCCCTCACTGCAACGGCTACTTTGATAGCCAACGTGAACTGAGCATGCACGACTGTCGCAGGCGTCCTCACTCTGCTCCAGGCAGTCCCGTTCGAGGTACGGGAGTTTATCTCACCCTGAGATGCATCGTCCTGAACCCTTTTTCCTCTTTATAGATGGCTTCTTACGCGTTCTCAACAAAATTGTCTCCCACATATGACACTTCTATGCCCACCTTCCCTTCTTATGATCTACGAATACCCTTATTCCCACTCTAATGATTTTCTGCTAAGCTTCCCTGCTCTCGCTACTCCAATACACCACTGTATCGTTACATGCTTTCCATTTACTCCTTTCTCTTCCTGCCCACGACACAAAATATAGCATTAGCCAGCTCCCAAACAATTACTGTATTATATTTGTAGCATATGTAGAGTAGAACTAGCTTCGTTCTTAGAAAGACGCGATCCCGTCGTTTATTGTCTTGTCTTGTCGTACGAGGTTCGCAAATTTCCACATCGCAATTCACATCCATGATCAGACAGAGTTATTATTGAAACCCGCTATCTCTCGACGAATGTGGACCGACGGACATATAGAGGCGAAAAGACGCGTCTAAACCTCGAGGTCAGCAGGGTCTTTCCCAGCAAAGACGCGCCGATAACTTGACCACCAGTGATCTATCGCGTTATTCTTGTCAGTCGCAGGGTCTGAATGAACGGTGCCCATGTCCCCTCTTCTGAGGCTACCAACAGTCTAGGGTGCATATCGTATACCAAATGGATTCTGTACGCATGTAGGGTTACTTACGCTACATATACAAAAGATGTTGACGTTCCAATCGCCTTGACTCGGAGACCTGTGGCGTGTGTCGAAGAACTTAGCCTCTGAAGTCCAGAGATGGCAGAACGGGCTCCATCCACATCTGCGTGCGTAAAGGATATAGTTGCGCATTCACAGGCTCGGAGCTAAGGTAGTAATGATAAATAAAGAGGCGGTAAACCCATCGACATCGTGAATCTGCATCGCCATAGGCATATCATCCACGATCGAGGTCACTCCGAATCTGAACCGGAGCAATCGTCGTATTGTAGCTCCTTGTTCATCGATTCCTCCCTGCACGCTCGCGAGCAAAAATAATCGGTGTCGCTCTGCGGGTACGCCAAGCACATTATACAAGGAGGGACGAGTCCTGAAGTCACGGCCTCCCTGTGATGAAGCAATAAGAATTAATTAATATACGAATTGAGCGAACGAAAAAAAAATTTGAAGAACGAAAAGCCGATCTTATCTTATTAATTGACGGGGCAAGGCAGGCGACAAAAAATGAAAGCCGATACGGACTCGGGCATGGAAGGAGGCCAAAGAGGGAAAAAAAAACGCACTCGCGATGCCTCATGGAGCAGTAATCGCTCATCTTTATGCCTTTCGCGTCAATGTGGACAGGCTTCCCGCAGCCAGGGATAAGGCACTCAATATTAATGGCAGCTTGCTGCGTGCTAGCATGGGCAGGTTGAGCGCTAGGGAGGGTATTGGAAGAGGCAGCTAAGGGAACTGCACCGTTACTCGTTGTCTGCGGCTGGGGATTCGCGAAGGGATTCTGCGCTTGCGCGTTGATGAAAGGATTGTTGACAGGTGCGGATTGGGCAGCCGCAGTTCCTCCAACGAAAGGATTCGTGGGAGGCTGGACAGTCGAACCCGACGAGTTTATAGGGTTCGTCGCTCCTCCGGAGTTGGGAGCGAGCAGGGCTTGCACTTGTGGGATATGTTGTGCAACGAATTCTAGATAGGCGGACAAAGGTAGATGAAATCCAGTTCTCATCCATCGTATCAACGCAAGGCTCGATGCGATACGGTCGTGGATATCGGAAATATCGTATCGTCGAGGAAGTCCTAAATGAAATCGACACTCACTCGCGAGCTGTACAGGGTCAATAGTGGATGCACCCTGTTGTTGTTGTTGGTTGCTGGCATTGCCTTTCGAATAGGTCTTGCCTCCAGAGGCAGCGGCCTGGGGTTGGGTAGAAGCACCAGTGGCGTTCCGACTCTTGCCACCGGGGTTAGCGAGAGCAGCACAATTCTTGCCACAATAGTCGAAGTTCTGGAATTTAGGCTTCTTGTGACAGTGCTAAAGTGAAATAGCAAAGACGCCGTCAACAATAATGTCTTATCGTAAGTAAAATATAGAGCTCTAGGTCTCACATACGTTACATAAAGTCGCAGCGAGACCGGCGCAAGTCTTCGAACAGTAGGCATGGTTCGAAAATTTCGGCTTCTGGTGGCAGTACTATTGGACAGATGGGAAAAGCTCGTCAGCAATGCCAATCTGAGAAACGGGGTAGAGCACAGGGTGCTCAGGGACTCGCACGTACATCGCAAAGCTGAGGAGACGATGGTACTGGGACAGAGCTCGCCATCTTGAGACTTGATACGTCGGACTCAGGCAGGGAGAGGCTATGGGGTACAATTTGATGCGACTTTGCGAGCAATTCTTGTTTTAATAGTTTGCCACGCCCCCACCTCGAGGATGACGAATCGGTAACAGCATGTCAGATATGCAACAGCCTCGAGCTTCAAGCAGTTTGGGATATCAGACAATCAGGCAAACATCAAGACGCGAGGGTGAAGCCAGGATCAGGTACACGTGTTGCAAGCAAGCTCAACAGAGTACAGCAGCACACAGTAACAGAAAAGCCAGTAGTGCATAAGGAACGAGGCCGATATCGATAGTGTCTCATCAGTCATCCACTGACACTGCCACGGAGTGTCGCCCTCAATCGCTCGAGACATTTTCCGAGCTCGTTGCGGCCCTTCCGGTCAGCGCCGACACCCCAAAACGCATCCTTGTCAGAATCCTGAACAGACATTAGCGAAATGATCGTTTTAAAATGTCGGAGACGTACCTCAATTAGCTCTGCATCTCCGGTTGCAAGCAGTTCATCCAATAAATCGCGATGTTGCGTAAATTTATGGAATAGGGTCTCGTCCATCTAGCACATTTCATTCATAAGCTTTGGTCGTGAGCGGAGGGAAGAAACAAACCTTTTGAATATTTACTTGCTTCCAGTCGGGTCTGACTTCTGGCTGAAAACGACGAGCCTCTGAAAAGGCAACACTTGGGCGTTCGGAACAGGTTCGAATATGCTCCGCCAGGTTAGGACGGTAATCTTGAAACTACGGCGCCGATGTTAGAACATTCCCAAGAAAGGGTTAACAAAGCGGACCTTGAAAGATTGGAAGAGATGTTCGCTCGTCGGATATCTCTTCCCTTTGTATATTACGGGATGTGCGGAGAAATTCGTGAAGCCGTAGTGCGGGTCGTGTTTGTGGTAAAATAGGATACGTGGTCGGGACTGCGAAGGTGAAATGCGTCGGGGAGGAGAATCCGAGGGCATTGTAGAGGCTGGAGCGCTCTTGACACCAATTCGACGACTCAGAGGGTAGATGCTCATTCTTGGGGAGCTGACCCTCGATTCGTCACTGCGAGTGCCGTTGTCTTCGGTTATGAAGATCTGAGTGTCCACACATGAGTGCGAGCGTTGAATAGGCTGCTCACTCGAGCCGTCGTTATCCGCTTCGGCCAAAGAGAATATAGCGTTCAGGCTCTGTGTGTCCCATTTGGAAGGATCGACATCGGAAGCCACATAGATGGTGCGACTCCTCTCCTCGATACGATATATAGGAGGTTGTTTTGAAGTCGGGGAGGCGAGAGCTGGCAGTGACTTCACTCCAAGTGTAGGAGACGTGACAATGGTTATGGTCTTCTTCGACGCCATGGTTCAAAAAGATATCGAGGAGCGGTATGACGAGAAACCAGAGAAATTAGTCAAAACGGGGCAAGAGATAGAGATGTTGTAAGTAGAACAGACGTCAAGCAGTGTTCTCCAGGCTCCACAGCCCCAGGCCTGTGTTAAGGCAAAGTACCACCGCCTGGAGTCACCTCGCGAAGAAAACGTGGGCAGAAGCTGGGCAGAAGTCGTATGATCAATCAAGTCGACACGAATACAGCGAACACTTCGAGGTCGAGCTAGGGGTTTGAAACCCAAATTCCTCAAGGATGCCTCTCGAAGGTGGATTTGAGGATTTCAAGGTTGCTATTCGTCGCCCATGGCATGAGGATGGTCGAAGGTCGAAAATGGGCCAGGATACTTACATAAGAACTTCTGTGACAATATATCACGCTTCGTGACCTTTGGCGCTGTCGTGTCTTGAACCCAAACCTAAACTATTAGTATCAAGTCTTTTGATCTTGAATGCGATTTTGCGTGTTCCCATACCCTTCGATTCCTTGTGAATCTCGCACGGAATGGTTTTGCAGCGTGCCCTACAACCACATTTACCATGGATCTCTACGGAGTCCGGACGCCAAACGGACACCATGGATAAGTTTTGATGCACGTTGAGGGCACGATGGCCTGTACCGCGGCGACAGCGTTCTTAATGTTTTATTGACCCCCAGGAACGCATCTCCGGTTCAGAATCCATATATTTTAACCCGCTACGGCCACTGTTACGCCTTATCCAAATACCGCAGCCAGATGGCGCAATTTATCGACGAGTTCAGCTTCGACCACCCGGATAACGAAGGCTACGGAAAGTCACGCAGATTGAGGTTGCTTTCATCCAGTGATTCCCAATATGCTACCCGTAAGTTTCACTTTCGTGTTTATTGCAAGGCGCATTCTTCACTTTTTTTCAGTTGAAACCAAGTTCTATCGAGGATGGAAGCACCCGGACAAAAAGAGGCCTAAGATCCACACAATATTCAAAATTCTTTCTCCAGACGCCGCCTTTCAACCTTTCCACTGCTACAAGTGTGCATCTTGCTCATTTTTCTTCACGGCCTGACCTCCAAATTTTACAAGGGCCCTTGTTACTTCGTCTCCTGCACTTCGCAACAGAACGAAGAATCCCGCCAACGAACAATTATTATTTCATGGAACGAACCGAGCGTGCCATTTGGGAGATGATGCCAGTATGATCCGTCTCTGTCCGCTGTCGAAGTGCTCGCTGTGTTCCATTATCCGGAAATCTTTTGACGTTGGGAGATGTGGTGTGTTATTTCCATTTCATCGAATGAGCGCGATGCTCAGTGTCAGCAGGCACCAACAAGAAATTCCGCCGGTTTGGCACAGGCATTTACTCGAGTTCTTGTTCCTCGAGTGAGTTTTCATTTTGTCAATACCCCGCTTTCTCACTTTTTGTTTCTACCTAGAGGCCGATGGTTACTCATGCAACGGCGACGATTCCTCGCAATTTCGTGCGATGCTAGTGACTCGTGTAATCGTTGGTAATCCACACATACGACACCGCAATGCCACCAACATGACGGAACCTCCCTGCGGACACCATTCCGTAAGCATATCTTCTGTCATCGTACCTGCCCGTTGAATTCGTTCTACCTCCTACCAGGTTATTGGACAACCCGGCGTCCATCTGAAGTACGATGAGACGGTTGTATACGATAACGACGCGATCCGGCCGGCGTATCTTATCGTGTATGGCGATATGTCAGAAACGACGAAGTCAAGATTCCAAGCTCTGGTCACGGCTTTGTTCAAGACGCCGTTGGCGGCATGAACGGCGGATAAGGTGTGGGCCCGAGATGTATTTTATAATTTATTCTTTTCGTCTCATCCTGTTGCACAATTTTTGTTTCGAGCGACGCTGTTGTATCATAATTGCCCTTCCTTCCTCATCCTAGTGCCTCTTCTCATCTGCTCATTTGATGTACATGAAGATGTATACCGGTAGGATCGCATCTACGGTGGACACAAAGAGCGATTCCTCTTCTACGGACTACAAGCTGTCAATGAAGACTGTCAAGAGGGGAAAACGATGAACCAGCATACCTCCTGGCCAGGCTCTACCGCTGCGTCGCATGCTATCATCACACGATAAGGCGAGGTTGTGCACGATGTTGCAAAGCGATCAGCCAGAGCAGGATTCCGATACGAGTATATGCCGTCGCCAAATCTGTTTTAACACTGTAAGCTCAATGCACATTAATGAAACCGTATTGTCATGAATTCACCTTCCATTGTTATAGTTTGCACCGAATGCAAAGGACTTGAAGCAAGATTTGACGATGGAGCAAATACCACACGACTTGAAGTTGCAGAGGCTGGCGTCTTTGGTGCCCAGATCGCATATGCATTGGGAGCTATGGAAACTCCGGACCTCTTCAAAGTTCGGATGCGCGGTTCTGGAAAGGGCCATCCCCAATCAGTGTTATTTGGAGGTCAGCCATGGTCGGCAACCCACCTGTACTGTTCGTGTCTAGCGCGGGCTTCTCGAGGAAGGACGATTTCGTAAACCTTCTCGAAAGAAGGCGATTCTCTGGGTGAGTCCCACTCGCTGAGGAACTGTGCTCTAACTGATGATTCTAGCTCATTTTCAGTCCCTCAAACTCCGGCAATTCCCACTTACGATTCTTAAACAGATTTGCATCACGACTCAACTCTCGCAGTCGTGGACCAGCACGCATGACACGGTCGCACGGGATGCACATCGTGCCCACAATACGAGGCTGCACCTCGCACAATTCACACCCATCCACCTGCCCTTGGCGTACTCCCTCTCTACAACCGCGGGGGTAGCACTTGCATGAGACACTTGCAGTCCGTGAGCATGAAAAGCGCGGAGGACGACATACCTGGCGTGGGCCTCTGAGCAGAAGTTCGCATATGCTGGCTTGCCTGTGGCACGACATCCTTGCAGCACACAGGCACTTGGGCTGGGGCCCGATCCATTCCGTGCGCAGCTCCTACTGCAGTACGGATGCTTGTGGCCATTCTCGACAAATTTCGGCTTTTTGCCGCAGATCTACCGGGCCTCGTCTCAGCCATCCTCGGAAATGCATGACAACGACGCACCTCACAAAGGTCGACTGCCTGGACCAGAGGAGTGTTCGTGCGCTGACTATGCGCCCCCCAACGAACGACGTTCTTGACTATTGCGGCCATGTTCTGTTCGATGGAAGGTTATGTTACTTCGGAACTGGAAGATGGGTAATGAGACACGGCCTGCCCTGGTATCAGGGACCATAAGTACGAAGATCAGCTAGGCAGTCTGCATGACAGCGATGCCTCGTGAATGGCACGCAGGGACCACGTTTTTTCAGGTGCGTAATCGTGCCTCCTAAGCGTGGTATCGATGGGGTTTTGAGTGTCTGTTTTAAACAGCTTAGCTGATATCCTCCTCTTTCGTCAAGTTTGGTCGTTATTGCTTTCGTTTTGCTATTTTGCACCTCTCCAGGAGACGCTTTCTTTCACAACCACTATAGACGAAAATGACTTCTCATATTCCTCTGGCCTTGTCAATTCTGGGTAGCCTGGCCAATGCCTACCCACTAGTTTCATCGAAACCTGCACCCGCTGCCGCACCGGCGCCTCCTCCCAACCCGCCTCCTAGCATTGCACCGTCACAACAGCCACACAATGCTACGTCGTCCGCTGGATCATTTCCCATTGGCGCTTCAGCACCTCAGCCCTCTTCGAATGCAAATGGCCCTACGAATTCAAATGTCCCTGTGGGAGGGAATACGACCACGATCAATCCCGTTGCTCTTTGTGAAGTAAGCTCGCAACTGATTGACGATAAACACACTCATTTCTATGATATCAGTTCTGTGGGATTCGGCCCAAACACTTTGACGGAACCAAGACACATCCATATTGCAGCAAAACCTGCGCTAACAAGAAGCTGAATTCGATTCCAGGAGGAGCGAACACCGCTTTAGGGTCGAGCCCTGCGAACTGCAAGGTAGGCTCCCTCGATTGGGGTTGTCAGAGCCTTATGTACTTACATTCACATAGTTCTGTCATAACCGACCCAAGTACTCAGACGGTACCAAGATACATGACTACTGCAGTAAAGCTTGTGCGAAGAATGCGGCTGGACCGCATCGTAAGGGCACTGGAGGCACGACAACTCCTACCGGACTTTGCCAAGCACCCGGATGTCAAAACCCCCCGCATACCGGACACGATTATTGCTCAATGGCGCATAAAACGTGGGCGTTTCTCCTTCATTTATTGTTGCTCCATCTTATGGTTGTCCCAGTCTGGGAGAGAATTTATGTCTTATGTGTCTCCAGGCGCAGAAGATGGCGAATTCGCACTTCTGCAGCCAGACCTGCATCGATGAAGCGGAAAACAAAGGCCCGATGATTCTAGAAGTGCCTTCCGGACACGTAACCTTCAAGAGCGGTAAGTCCGAATTCTTCCTTCGATTAATTTTACTCTCGTTGACTGGTGTGCAATGCAGTGGCTGAACAGTTCAAGGCGTCCTGGAGGCACGTTGGAAGCACATGCCCGCCTGTGCGGCGCATATACAAGATCATTTCTCCGCAAAGCTCTTTAGCTTCGTATGACGCCTACAAGTACGGCACATGTTTCTTCCTCAGAACCGGCTCTAATGGCCTTGAGCCTAGGGCTGCAGTAGAAGCGAAGGGGCAATTCGTCAACGCCGGTCGCTCTGAAGGCAACGAAAATCGTCGGTGGCATGGAACCCGCCGCGTGTGCAACCTCGGCGACAAGGGCCACACGCAGTTCTGCTCCTCACCCACCTGCTCCCTCTGCTGCATTATTCGATCTTCCTATGACATCTCTCTTTGGGGAAAAAAGACCGGCTGGGGCAGGTAGGTCTGCTATATTAGTTATTTGATGTAGATTCTAACGCAGTTCGTCAGATTCGGCAAAGGAATCTACACATCGTCGACATCTTCCAAGTTAGTGACCTCTTCCGATTGTTCGATTCCGTTAATAGTGTCCTTGTCGTAGATCAAACGACTACTCGCATAACGATTGCAAGTCCCATTTGAAGGCCATCCTGCTCAACAAGGTCGTCGTGGGCAAAGGATGTAAAATGCTTCAGGATAACACCAACCTGACCACACCGCCAGCTGGCTACGATTCCGTCAGTCATGTTCATGTAGTCCCTAAAAGTATTGATGAGTCGGCTGATTTTTTTTTCTCTTCTAGGTGCTGGCAGAGAAGGGAGGAAGCCTCAACTACGACGAATTGGTTGTGTATTCTAACGATGCAATCCGTCCATCCTTCCTGGTTATGTACGAACCCTAGATTTATTCATCTTTCTTGCTGGCCGGCGAGATCTTAATGGGTCTTGCGGGCGTTTTAATGTAATTTATTTCCTTTACTCGCCCGGGACATGGCTTTGCGAAAGGCAAATGCTGTCCTTTGCTCATGATAAGTTACATCAAGTCCAAAGTCCGTTATCAATTGGTCCGTAGTATCATACTAAGAAAGTCCCAACAGCTTTACTCTGGGAGTTTTGACACAGGCGGAATCATGTGTTGGGCTGACTGCCAGGCTAGCCACAACAACACCACCATGCCTGCCGTCAACGTCAAGCTAGAAAGTACACCATCAGAACGACCCTCTCCCATCGAGAAGTGACCAAAAACTCGCCTTTCCAACACAGCTAGCCCTGAAACACACAACGAGCACAACACGGCCAGAACATGAAGCTCTTCAAAATAGAGAAAATAAGGTAGATACGCACCGAACAATGCTCTAATCTGCCCACAATACACGATGCCCTCGCACATCCCCTTCTCCAGGACGAGAGGCACGGAGGCGTTGATGATACCCGCACCAACGGCCCACAAGATGAGGGTTATAAGCACCCAAATCGCCTGGGCGCCAATGGAGGATATGGGGTGCTTCGACCACGTTGGATGCAGGAAAAGAAGTGTATATACGCCCGCTGTTAGTGTGGTCCAAGAAGAGGCGAACCTGTAGAACGTTTCGGACGGGTGGGTAAGTCTGGAGGGAGGCAAGAAACGTACAAGAGCAGACGGGCACCAGTGCGGGTCTTGATCTTGGGGTAATTGTCGTTGAAACGGTATTGGAGTACGAGCCAGCTCGATAGTGCTACCTGGACGGAATCGTGAATAATCAGCCATCTTGCAGGAAGCCAAATGCGTGAAGAAAAGGCAAATTCTACCTCGCACAAACTGCTCAGGACAAGAAATACGTATACGACTACGATAAATTCCTGTTAGTATGCACAATGGAAAAAATGAAAGAAGGTGCCCACTCGGAGCATACTTCTGCAGCCGCACACCAGAGACCTTGTTCAGCGGCCTAGGGCGCTTCTGTGCAGCCCTGTACGCCCATGAAAGGACGACCAGGTACATCAAGGCTATCATCGTTGTTAGACAGACTACGAGACCCGTTGTTGTAGTGGTTAGGTAGGATATGCGATCCGCAGACAGTTGGTCGACTATCGATATTCGTGTGGGTGTCGTCGCAGATGAGGTAGTGGTAGACATGCGGGCCGAAGAAGACGGTGTTATTCCGATGTGTTCGACCAGCTAAAGTAATGCCTATGAGTTACGTGTAAGAAAAAATAGAAAGAACGGCCGTACCGACAAAAGAAGAAAAGGACAGCTAGGAGCTGAGAAAGAGGCTATCGCGCAACGAACCTCTTGGATTGGTACAGCAGGTTGAACACATCATTTCATGCAGGCCATGGCATGGATTCAACGTGTCTTCAGTTCCTCAACGAGTTGCGCAATCGAATAGCCTTGCTGGTTGCGCGCCTAACAGGGCCACGGAAGGAGCAAAATGATTATGCTTTGAATGGATAGAATAGAGGCATCTCTCGATAACGAAGAGGCCGGGTCTTGAAGTCAACCATCTACCGAGCTTGTGAAAAGCATCAACAATTTTGTAACATGTGCATGGCATAGAACAAGACGCATGCATAGGTCGATAACGCAATGTGTAGCCATAAGCCCCGCATACAAATATCTTTACCTCCTTCATCTGAACCGTATCTAAGGAGCGAAGAGGGTGTCGAGGAAGGCCTTGCCGGCAGCCGCGGGCTTCTTGGGCTTGGGAGCAGCCTTCTTCTTCAAACGCTCCTGCTTGACTGTGGATAGTATGTGTTAGGACGACAGTCCGCGGAGATGAGTAGGTGAACATACGGAGCTCGTGCCTGCGGAGGGTCTTTGCGTAGGGGTTCAGACGGAAGAGAACGGCCTTGTTGACGAGGGGGTTCTTCTTTTGCGTCCAGGGGCGTTTTTGGACCTTTTGGCCAGCGGGACGGACGACGGATTGGATCTCATCGCTGTTGATGAGACGAGTGACATCGGGGTTGGCAATCTTGGCGGAAGGAAGGCTGTATCACGGGCAGTGAAAGTTATTAAAAGAAATCGTGATGAAGGGAGAGACAACGTACATGTAATCCTTCTTATAGGCAGAGGCCTTCTCGAAGGTACCGAACACCTCATCCAGAAGGCCGAAGGCACCCTGAGTCCAGATCACGAAACGCCCGAGGTGGCCACCAGGAGCGAGCTGGAGGAGGTTCAACCTTCTGACGTTGACAATCTCAACACCGGGCAAGTTGCGGAAAGCCTTCACAACGCCATTGTCCTCGTTGTAGACGACAAGAGGGCCACGGCGTTGACGGTGCCTGCGGTTCCTCATCTTTCCTTTGCCAGCGCGGAGCTTGCGCGAGTTGGACACCTTGACGACATCAGCGTAGGCACCAAGGGACTTCAGGAGGGCGACAGCCTGCTTGGTCTTGGTGAAGGCCTCGGCAGCGTCGTCAACGACGAGGGGAACTTCCTCGATCTGCTCGATACGATGACCACGGGCAAGGACGAGGGAAGGAAGAGCGGAGGCGGCAAGAGCGGAAACAACAGCGAAACGGCGTTGGTTTTGATTGACCTTGACGTGCCATTTGCGCCAGGTCTTGGTGGGGGCGAACATGCGTCCTCCACGGCACATGTTACCGAAGGCGGCCTAAAAATTGCATCAAGTTGAGAACATAGTCAGGAAAGATTTGCGACGCACCTGGCCGGAGCGGTGGGTTCCTCCACCACCAACACGGGGGATACGAGCAACAGCACGACCGGTACCCCAGGACTCCGCGCTAGTTTGGTGACCAGCCTTCTCGCTCACAGCATACGCCTGCCTCTTGTTCTTGGCGATGCTCTCTGAATTAGTCCGACAATCAGACTCAATTCCTATCCCCGAATTATTTTTACGCACTGTGAACTTGCTGAACGACATCGAGCCTGATGGGGGCGGTCAAAACCGCGGGGAGAGGGAGGGAGGTGGAGGCCTCTGGGAACACAAAATCAGAGGTTTGCTCATGGACGACGGCGACGACATACCGCCATTGGTGTTTCGGACGTTGACGGTGGGTCTGGAGGCCATTGTTGGCGGTCTTGAGGGCTTGCTGATCTTGCGCGACGATGGCCACAGATTTCGTCCAGCAGGACAATTAGGCTTTTGCCGAAGCGACTGTACAGTCGGAATTTGCATAACAAGCTACAACAATGGAACGGGCCGCACTCCCAGCTCTCTTCAACCTCGTGGCAACCTTGAAGTTGGACAAAGCGGTATTCTATGCTCCTGACTATCAATCTTCTGTCAGGTCAATGACCACTGGAACGCGCTTCAAGATACGTACCTCATCTTCTTCAACCTTCTTCGACTTCTCAATCTTCACCACTGGGCCAAACTCCAACTTCACTGAACCAACACCTTCCTGCTTCAATTTCAGGGGTTCCACATCCTGTTTTTCTTTCTTCAACTTCAGCGGGCTGGTTGTCTCTAATTTTACGATCGGCTTCGACTCTTGCTTTATTGTCTCTGACTCCTGCTTTATCGAATGCCCTTGTTCAGCTTTGACCGCGCCAGCCTCGTGCTTCACTGGTACCTTGAACTTGGTCTCGAGTTCTTCTTGCTTTATCTTCCTGTCTTCCAAATTCATCTGTGCAATCAACGTGGTTAATATCACGATTTTAAACGATGGTTTACACTATCAATTACCTTGACGTCCTTCAGATCCTCCTTCTGAGTCTTCAGCTTCGGTTTGTGGTCCGAGAATCGTTCCTCCATGACTGGGACTTGCTCGTCAGATTGGTGAGACGATCCAGTGTTGCCGTCTGCTATTGTGACTGAATTATCATGTAGAAATGCTTCCTCATCCTCGCTATCCATTGTCAAATCAACAATTCCCGAATGATCTTGCAAATGATCGATGTTGTGTTGGGCTCGACGTTCTCGAGGAGCAATACCCGTCGCTTGCAGGACCTCTAAATCATCTCATCAGTCCCAACGACAAAAATAAAAAAACTCGACATCTCTCACCAAGAGGACGGTACCTGAAGATGAATACCTTCGGATGTCCAAAAGACTTGACGCGGTGCACGGGTTTCCTTTCGCCTGTGAAAAGTTTTCCGAGCCTGTATCGAATTTATTCAGCGATTTGGTCCTCCAATCGTCTAAGGAATTCGAAGCTACACACTTCGTACTGTGATGCCCGATTAGTTTTCTCATCTCATGCGTCTTACTCTGGCCCTTGAACGGTGTAACATGAAGGCTCGTGCGACCGCCTTTTCGAACGTACGAAATCTCAAGTCTGATTTCCCCAAGTTTGTCGGAAGGCCCGGCGTCCAAATACATATCGTCGTCTGCCTCGTTCTATTAGCCTGCTCCCTGATCCCGCTTGTACGTTAAGAACACATACCAGTCACATCGAGCTTTGAGAACACGAGCAGACGATCCGCTCCCGTTCCCGTAGCTGCACCGCGTTGTTGAGCATAATCCCTTTCCTGTGTAGCATCCTTTCGATACCCCTTCCTGTTAATTCCCTTTGATACGCCGCACTTTACGCCATCTACGAACGTACGCCCCATACTGTTGTCCGCGCGGACAGTATCCTTCCAGTTGATCACAAAAGCCTGTGGCGTTCGTCTGTCGATACCCCCCGCAAGAGAATGTCAACCACAGATCACGCACCTTTCCTTCCTCTGAAGCGATCCAACACGTCACACTAAGCTGATCTTTCGATTGCTCGACTACATGCTCAAGCAACTCGCGTTCGTCGACAGATATCCATGCACAGAAATTGTCGCGCTGTAGCATCGTGGTGGTAACTGTATAGAATAGCGGGAGTTGCTTACCTGATAATAAACCGCTTTCAGATAAGCTTTTCCAGGGGTGCGAACCGGAAGTACGGTTCACGGTTAAGTTGCCGCAATGCCTTTCTACACTACGCGCAAGAGAGTAAGACTGTGGTTTACGGGAAGGGGCTTACGCAGTGCGGTGCTCATCCATGATCCAACAGCTTCTATTGGAAGAGGTCGGCAGCCTGAAAAGCCAGCTACCGTTTCCCTTGAACGGTCGATTCGACACCGGCATGAAGTGTAAAGAACGGCAATGTGAGAGATACACACAAGCTCGTGCGCAAGTCAAGCTGAAATTGACTCTGGCGGTTCACCATATAATCATATTGTCCGGGTTTCTGTGCTTCGGACATCATATTTTTGCCGCTTGTCATTTATTACGAAGCGAGGCGGTGCATAAACTAAGGGTTCAACGCATGACTCGATTTGGAAGTCGACTTGCCATACTAGTACGCGTGAGTAACTATGCTGTCGGACCTGAATTGGGAAAATGAATAAACGAGAGGACGTTTCTCGTACATACCTTTTAAACTATGCTTTGAGCGGTGGTTCAAGACGTTGGGTTTCCCCACCCGCTATTTTCGTCATTTTTGCCTCCGGATTGTCTCCGTCTTCCCCTACCTCCTAGGCAAGGTAGTTTCATACCAATCGACGGCCAACTAAGGGGCATATTCGCTCCCCTAGCCTATCACGGTGTGGGTCATGAGGATACGAGTTTGTGTTATGCAGGCTACCAGGCATACATGGATACACTTTCTTGTTCGGCGGTCACCTTGCGGACGGTGTATATGTTCTACTGAAAGAAATAAACAGTCTCCTATTGAACATCATGAAGCACGATTAGGGCCAGATTAGAGTGCAACACCGTGATATAGACGTGAGTGTGCTGTACAACTCTACGGAATGCTATATCTTTTCTCTTTAGCCTTGAAATAGCAAGCTTCAGTACGGGGTCCTTGAAAAGGACAATCAAGACGCGCCCCTCTTTCGTCGTTCCTTCCCCGAGCACTCTAAAAAGCATAGCTTCCGCCCACCATCCTTTACAACTCAGAAAATATAGGCAACGACGGGGCCGTTGTCTGGAAGCGGTGAGATACATATGTCACTCGCGCCGCTTTGCCATAAATGGCACTAGCCGGTGTCTTGTCGCACGGACCTCCTGCGCCAAGCGGACTAAGCGCCTGTGCCATACCTGACGTTGTATCCAAATTGGGGAATACTGGGTGGCTTAGCGTCCTCCCGAATAGGAGATCAGTTTCGACGCCTTGATATTAGGATGGATACGCGCTCTGGCAGGACGCTTTGACAACGCTTTGACAATGCTTTGACATACCCGATTTATTGATCAATGCGCTCTGCGGTACGGGTATATAATGGTGGCATTTTGTTCTTGTAAGTCCAAACTACCTCGCCTTCGACTCAGAGACCATCACCACACGCACCAACCTCGGCCACTCTTCCCCAACTATTCATCTCTACACCAGTCATAATGGCCAACTCCAACTCATCGAGCTCTGCATCCGACCGCTCCGCTAATCGCGGCTCAGCCCCTGCCCCACCTAGTCTTCGAAGCATTGCCTACGCGCTCTTCTGTCACGTCGTCGCAGCAGAGCACGAGAAGTACTACGAGTGGTTCAACGCCTGCCCTTCTGCTCCATGGCACCTCAACGAGAGCGGACAGTGGGTCTCCACCGCCACCGAGGTCAAGAAGAAATGGTCCGACCACTATACCAAGATAACCCATGGCAGGGAACTCTGGTGGGACTGTGCTACTGACCCGGAGATCCTCGACGCCATTGACAAGAGTCGCCCTGTAGTCCGCCCAAGTTCCTTCTTTGACCCCTTTGGAAACGACCCCTTCCCCAACTTACCGGGAAACACGGTACCCCTCACACATCCCGAGATCAGCAACCTTTGGTGCGGTCATCCTGATCTTACTATGACCTTGGGATCGCGCAAATCCCCGACTCCTGGTCTATCTGCGGATTGGGTCGCCCCCGGTGCTTTCACCAGTGCCGATATGGACGCACTCATGGCTGATCTTCCGTACCTGGACGGTCTTGGAAACAAGCATGACCATATCACTCCGGAGTTCTTCAAATCTATCCTTGATGGTCTGAACCCGTTGGAGGCCAATGTACGAGAGCTCATCCGTCAGGATGAAGAATTCCATGCCAAGTTCACCTGACCGGTCAACGTCTGGCGACGAATGTGGGCTCGAATGACCGCATGCTACCTGAATTGTTCACATACTCTACCGTACTTTCTATGCACTGTATTTGTTTCATGGATAGACTACACTCTGTACTAAATCAAATTCATAATCTATCACATCCTTTGTAGACGCCGTGTGAGCGAAAGTCAATCTCTTGGGCGCCAAATTGGGCCGGACTCACCGAGCACCCTCCTTTCTTTGCCAGGTCGTTGATTTTCCTTATCAATTCAGGTCAAATGAGAGAAAGCGGCCTACCTAGCCAAAAAATAATCTAAAGATCTACCCCATCTAGGTCCAAAGCACCGCAACTTACTCAGCTTCATCCTCCTCCAACCCTTCTAACGATGCCTGTTGTTGCCACATGCTACAATAGAGCCCTCTTTCCCTCATCAGTTCTTCGTGCGTTCCCTGCTCCACCACTTCTCCCTCTTTCAGCACGATAATTAGGTCTAGAGAAAGAACACGGGGGCGTGAGAAGAGGGAAGGATGAAGAAAAGGAAGGTACTTACCTGACTCAATGACTGTCCGCAGCCTATGAGCAATGAATATGCTCGTACGAGCTTTGTCCAGCAAGGAGTTGTTGATGTTCTTCATGAGCTCTGACTCCGTATGAGCGTCCAGCGCCGAGGTCTATCCAGGCACCAATGAGCGATCCTTCGCAGGAAGGCAAAAGCCGCTCAAGAACTCACTGCCTCGTCAAAGAACAAAATCTCCGGATCCTTCAGCATAACCCGCGCAACCGCCAACCGCTGCTTCTCCCCGCCACTAATCATCAGCCCGCGCTCCCCGACCTGAGTCTTGTACCCCTCTGGCAGCTTCGCGATTGTATCGTGCACATTCGCCTTGCGTGCCGCTTCTACCACCTCCTGGTCTGTAGCATCTAGCCGTCCATAGCGGATATTATGCATAATATCCGCATGGAAGAGGGGTGTATCCTGTGGCACGACACCAATGGCGCGGCGGAGGGACTCTTGCTGTACTTGGGTAATGTCCTGGTCGTCGATGAATATCCGACCGGAAGAGGAGTCGTAGAACCGGTAGAGCAGGCGGAAGACAGTTGACTTGCCGCAACCTGAGGGCCCGACAATAGCCACCTTCTTGCCGGCGGGTACTGTGAAAGAGAGATTGCGGAAGATGGGGCGGTCAGGGTGGTACGCGAAGGCAACGTTCTCGAAGCGGATGTTGCCACCCTTTAGTGCCAGAGGTTGGGCTCCAGCTACATCCTGTTCAGGATTTTTTTTTTTTTTCAATATTATTAGTTTCGAGAATGAACTCGAGATGAGGTATTGGCAGACTGACCTTTGCAGGAGTGTTCTCCTCGACGAGTTTATACAGGACCTCCATATCCAGTAGATTCTGCCTCATCTCGCGATAGATTGTGCCCAGGAAATTCAACGGTAGAGAAAGCTGGAAGATCAACTGGTTGACCATGACCACGTCGCCAACCGTCATCGTTCCTGTACATGCGTCGGTCATAGAAAAAGTTCAGGACGGTCCCCGCGCACCATTGACAACGCCTTGCGCGGCCAAGAACATCGCCATCGTCAGGGCACTCGAAAAGATGACGTTCTGTCCGGAGTTCAGGAATGCAAGCGAGGTTGTGATCTTCACCGAGGACTTCTCGTACGCGGCAAGATGTTTGTCGTATTGCGCAATCTCGTACTTCTCGTTGTTAAAATGCTGTTGTCCACGAAGGTCGGCATCAAGGATGATGGTATAAAGAAGAGAAACAGACCTTGACCGCCTCGAAGTTGATCAACGAATCCACAGCGACCGTTGCGGCCTTGTTATCTGCTTTGTTCGCCTCGCGTCTGAACCTCGTTCTGATCGAATTTATTTGGACTTTAGATATCTTGCCGAACCTAAGGAGAAAAAGGTGACTGACCGCCATGACGTTGTCCGAACCGTAAACCATGTGTAAGCAACCATCGTCAGCACAGTGATAGCGGCGAAGTCCCATCCAAATTTGTACGTCTGCAAAGAGGTGCGTAAGCTCTCATGGACATAAGAACATAAATTTGAACGCAGACCAATATACCGCAGACCATCGTGATCTCCAGTGCAGTGGGGGCGATCCGGAAGAGAATAGCTTGCATGAGGAAGCTGATACCTCTAGACACAGAGTCGTTTGAGTAAAGCCATGAGACCGTCAGACCAAGCCAACAGTGCTTACTTTGTACCTCTATCGATGGCTCTTGTCAGGCCACCAGTCTGTCTGGCCAGATGGAATTTCAAATCCAGGTTGAGAAGGTGCTCGAACGTCTCTCTAGCGACTTTGCGGATAGCGCGTTGGCCAATGTTTGCAAAGACCGCGTTGAGCAGCTCGCCGGAGAGGGTGGCACCAATACGTGCAGCTCCGTCTGTGCCATCGAATCGGGATCAACGAGTATCATACGGTCGGCGCGTAGACGAACGCACATCCAATGATCATTGTTCCGGCCAATAGCCACGCGGTTGAGGTAGCCGTGATATCCACGTTCAGAGAATCGATGACGGATTTGAAGATTTGAGGTACTTGGACGTTGAGAACCTTCAAAGAGGGAGTATATTTAGTTTTTCTTAGCGTCAAAGACGGTAGCCACTGACCTTGGCTGTAACCAGCAGACAGAAACCGAAAAGCACTGTCAAACGCGTCTTCCAGTCGTTCTTCGGCCATACATTCATCATTAACCGCTTTGTGATCGCCCAGTCAGTCCTCCTTTGCTCCGCCTGCGTGGGGATGTCTGTTTTGGACGCGAAATCATTGGACTTCGGAGGAGGTTTCGGTGGAACTTGTAGTGGAGGCTGAGAAGCTGGCGACGGGGTTTTAGGTGTCGATGGCAATGAAGAGGGAGAAGGAATGTCTTCTGGGGTTGGTGCCATATGTCTAAACGCTCGTCTTGCTTCGGTCGACCCGAGACCAGCACGACTTGTGATCCCCACACTCGGACCCTGGTCGTTCCAAGGGGCAGGACTCCGTCTTATTCGCAACCTATTGGCCATGTTCTCCCCCAGACCAAGCTTCAAGCTCGAATATGTTGAGAAATTTCTCCTACACTTCTTTATCGTAGTCGCCACACTGAGAGCCTGCGACCAAGATGCGCCTCTGAGAGTCGAATTCGCCAGACATGATGCGTTCACGCCAGACACGACACGCGATAGACCCGACCTGCAACAGGAAAACAAGACGGAGGCCAACATAGACGTACAAAAAGACCTCAATCGCAACGAACTGTCCCCGAATAGCAAATTCTGGATGCTCTGAAACTTCCAATGACGTGAAATGTCCTCAGCTCCAAGCCGTCATTAAATTTCGGTCCTATTCACGACGGCAGTAGTTCGCCGCTGCCAGAGAAGAGTTTCAAGGGCGTATTAGGTGTGGAAAAGTTCGGCGAGAAATGGGGGACGCTGGAGAAGGAGAGAGAAGGAGAGAGGAAGAGCGCTCATTCCACTACGCATGACGTGCTTCGGTTACTGAAGTACCAACATGATATCTTATCTGATAACGATCCTCGCCCGATCGCAGGCAAAAGTACAGGGTGAAATAGTAAATTGGGGTGAAATCATATAATGAGAATCAGACGCTTCAAGCTCAAGTCTGACTTCATTCACCATTTTTCGGGGGGGAGATGAAGATTTTGGAACAGTGAGGGAAAGTATTGTTATTGTACATGTTGTATTCTTAGATTTGGAATGAGCTACTCCTTTTTCGAAAATAATATATATCATCGAAGAGAAGGAACAAGCTAAGCAAATGGCGTTTGCGATCAGCTATTCAGGATTGGGGACGCCCTCCAAAACAGAGAACATTTTAAGGCGGATTATAGTGCGAGGTCTGCGGAGTCAAACCTTCTACAAACCCTTTAGCTTCCTCCGAAATAGAACACGTTGGAACTAGGGGGAAATCAACACGGAATCGCTTGAAAGGCTTTGCGACTGCAGATACAGATCTGTCTTGCTTTCGCTGGATGAAGTCGATAAGGCCCTGGTCTGTAAAGCTCGCACGATACCGACAATAAAAGTCTTCTAGTTCTGGACAGAGGTAGGGTTGTTCGCTGCTTTTGGATACGAAAAATGTGAGGAAGTCGTCGCCAATGATCCGGTTCCCTGGGTCGAACGGATATTATAAGGTCGCCAGTCACCATAAGGGCCCTCACACTCCCTGAGAGAAAGTGATGTTAATAAGGGGCACTATTGCAGAGTCTGAAGCAAAGTCTCCCGCTTAAAGTGCTCCGGATCTAATGTGAGCGCTGTGAAGGAAGATTTTCGGCCGAGAAAGGGAGGAGGAGTGAGTAGACCAAAGGCTTCGAGGTCCCCAGCCGGAGATGCTGAGTGGGAGAGCACCACACCTCCCTTGCCATTCGAGTACGGCAATCACTCGTTGGTGCACAGCTGCATCCGCTCTGCTCTGAGGCGCACATACAGAGGGATGTAAGGCTCTCTGCGAACTGGGGACCGGGATGTGGATCGACGTCTAAAGTCTAGGAGTAGGGAGTGCAATGTTCCTCCACATGCGGCAAATGCGAGTGAGAAGTATGGGACAGCAGTCGGCACTCATCTGACATCACCGCGTTGTGGCTCTTCGGAAGGCAGTGAAAGAAAACCTCTTGGAGAATGTTGGTGGGTAGGCTGCGCACCGGGGAGAGTAGGGCGCGAACACGTCGGATTTCAACTCCACAGTCGGGACACCGAGAATGTCTACGATTTCGAGTTCGTATCATGGCAAACAAGCCGTCTGCAAATTATCGTCATCAAGATAAAAAAAGCACGAGAGAGCATGAAGCATGAAGCTTCAGAGTATAACTTACCAGAGAACTTGAATATCATACATAGATGTCATGGTTCGTGGTCAAGGAAGGAATTTACTTCGGTCGGTAGATAAGATAAGATAAGACGAATCTAAGATATGCAAATGGAGATGTGTGTTATTCTGTCTTGAACATAGGCAGGAGGCAGTAGGTTGTACATATGCACAGGAATAGGAACTATCACCTAAAAGTACAGCTATTGTACATCGTGCATAGAGCAATAAGTGATCGTGAATGCTGATGAACCATTATACAGAAAAAGGAGGAAGGATAACGAAATACAAGACCCATATCGAAGCAGGATAACACCAACTCCATCTGTGCAATAAACTTACATCCACCCCTCATCGACATACCACCTCTTCTCGGCACCCCTGACGCACCATTCAACAACTGCACCAACGCCCTCCCCTTGTCCAGCACCTCCAGGAGCAACCACCGGCGGAGCACCACCAAACGCGCCAGAAAACAACCCTCCATGTGCTGAACCAACACCATGAGCAGCAGCCGCGACACCCGCAACGTACATTCTCTCGCCCCAAGGATCGAAGCACAACCCAGCAATGTCGAGGTCATCGTAGTAGAAATAACCGTGTCGGCCACCTTTACAGCGTAAGCCATTCGACCTGCGTCTTCCGCTGGAAGCAGATGTCGAAAATGAATAGTCGTACTTCGGCTCTTCTCTGGCACTGCCGCTCGACCTGGTACGACGGTGCCCAACGGTGCTGCTACCCGAGCTGGAACTCGAGCTGCCGCTGGACGAAGTCGCGTTCGTTCCGAACCTCAGCAAAGATGAGACGTTCGGAATAAAGCCATTCCTAATCCTGCTGCCCGAAGACAGAAGGCTAGGCGAAGGAGCTCGCGAGTTACCCGTGCTCGAAGTATAGTCGGCATCGTCGTCTTCATTGTTGTCTTCACCGTCGATGTCGACGTCTTGATCGGCATCTCCGTCTCCATCAACATCGATATCCACATCGCCCTCTTCATCACCATCGACATCGACGTCCATTCTGTCCTCAGTATCTGCTTCCAGCCCGGCCAGGTCGAGACCGACATCCTCCTCAGCCTCGTCGAATCCACCCTCGAAGTCCCTCATCCTTCTCGCGAACCTTCGCGTACGGGCAGCGTACCTTGGCGGACCATAGAGTCGATACTCAAAGTCTGCCGTCGTCGAGCCGGTGTTCGTATCCCTATCAACTTCCTCATCCTCGTCTAGCTCCTCGTCATCTGTGACGCCAGGTGGGATGAACCCGTACCTCATTGCCCGGTCTTCTTCGTCCAGATCATCGCCTTCATCGTCCAACTCCCTCCTTCTTCTCCTCGTGGTCGCACCTGCCTCTGCCTCTGCCTCTGCCTGGCCAACCTCTCCTTCAGTTGGCCCGTCACTACTCAAACGGCTATCAATCCCATGCACAGCAAGTAGGGCATGCACCTCGCTCTCGACGAACCGGTCTCCGAGGTCAGGAACGACGACGATGCCCTCCTCTTCGAGCTCCCTCTCTCGTTCTCGCATGATTTGCTCCAGATCCATCACACGCGCTTCTGTCTCAGCATCCACCTCCGCAGGGTCCCTGCGCGATCGATTCTCCCATGCACGAGCACGAGCACGGCCCTGTGTCCGGATTCGTTGAAGGAGACTCTCGAGGCCATTTTCCTCCATGGGGCCTTCATTGTCATGCGCGTGCAGCCCAGCAGCCTGCTCGGCTCGCCGAACACGTCGAGCAAGGGCGAGCGCAGCGTCTTCTTCTGGGTCGCGAGCACCATCGACGTCGAGAGGAAGAGAGTTTGTGTTAGAAGCACTGGCAGGGTCATGTGTCGTGGCATTGGTAGTCACGGCGGGGGCGGCAGCGAAATCGTTGTTCAAAGATGCAATCGCTTCTGCATTCTCCAAGTCAAGAACATACTCGGCCCATTCCAGCAGAGAAGGCATCCCACGCTCCGTGTTGCTCGCCCTGCTGGTGGGAGTCGTGATTGGTCTCGGGCTCGTCCTTCCACTTGGAGAGTTTGCAGTATCAGAGGAAGAACCAGCAGCAGCCGCACGGAAATCACCCAAAGCACCTCTTCCGATCCCGAATCCCGACCCAGCCCCGATTCCGACATTCCCAACGACGTTCGTACCGCCAAGGGTCCTCCATGTGGAGTCACCAATGCTAGCAGGGGCGCTGTACGCACTTGTTGGGATACGGAACGCATCTCCAAGTGCCCGTACGATCTCTGGTCGGGAACTCGGGCCTGCATTTGCGCTGGGGCCATTACCCGAAAGGCGCTCATGCCGGAAGTTCGATCCAGGTGCGTTGGATGATGATGATGCCTCGGGCCGAGCAAATCGTCGCCGAGGTGGCCGATTCCGAGCAGGTGCATCGCGGAACAGCTCATACATGGCTTGAGTCGTTTCTGAGAGGGAGGAGGAAGCAGAGAGGGGTGGAGAAGCTGCGTTGGGGTTGGCAGCGGAACTTGAGGCCGCTGCATTGTTGGAGGAAGAGGCGTTGGGAGCAGAGGAAGGTCCTGTCCTGCGAGCATTGCTGACAGGCATCAGTCGTCTCAATGTGTTTCGTTGAGTACGTCTCTGTTGTGTTGACGATGTTGGAGCCGATGTTGATGCACTTCCTGATGACGACGCTGCAGCGGTGTCGGCGTTGCCACCCGTACCCGATGTACGAGATGGAGCAGAGGAGAGGCGAGGTCGAGATAGACGATGTGGGTGATCTTGCTGGCGAGGCGGGGGTTTATGCATGGTTGGCACTCGAATGATGTCGTGAGTCTCGAAAGTCCGTGCATCGACGATGTGCACCAGCGATGTGTGCTGCGATACAACATTCACTAGTTGAGCTAGAACGAAACAAGTAAATCTCACCTCTGTGAAAGCCATGACCTCTTTGCCCATCCTCCCTCCCTCGCCTCCGTTGAACTTGACGCTGCGGACACACCATCCCGGCGCCTTCGTTCCCCTCGTCCATTCCCACGGGTCGTCCGACAGCCATCCCGATGCTCCTCCATTGCCCAGGCTCGTCCTCTCCATGCCGCCCCCAAGACCACGCATCTTATCCGTTTGAAACACTTTCATCACCTTCGTGCTCCGGACGTCCCACACAGCTACAACACCCTCCTGGCTTGCCACCGCGAATTTGCTTCCATCACCCGAGAATGCTGTCGAGAATGACGCTGCTAGAGAGGACGTAGGAAACGAGAGCGACGGTGATGGGTCGGGAGATGGGATTGAGAGCGTCGTTATGGGTGAGAAGGTGATCCTGCCGCCTCCGGCTATGCGGTGAAAATATACCCTGTTGGAGTCACCAACGGACAGGAGAGTTCGACCGTCGGGGGAGATCGAGGCTACCCAACTCGCGTCAGTCGAGATGTGAAAGGCAAACGGTGAGGATAGGCAAAGCGGGGAGAATCCTCTGAACGAGGAAATAGAATGGGTGCGGAAATAAAGAATGCAGGTGCTCAAACTCGATGCACGAAAATGGATTCTTTGAGAAGTGCTCTTTTCCGACTAACATGTGCGCCTTGAGTGGCGATAAATCCCTGCCCATGAGATGTGCGAGCACCCTCGACAGAGAGCAAAATTGCTCAGGAAGTCCATAGAGCACCCGCATGGACAGAAGGCGAAGATACGAGGACTCACAATGGTTGATTGGCACATCCAACCTGACTGCACCAACCTCGGCCAGCTTCCATCTCGAGTCTGGCAGCCTGAGAGGGATGTCATACAATCTGACACTGCCGTCGTTGTTGCTAACTCCCACACGGGGTTCGATGCTGCTCTCATTGGAGGTTGTGAGGCTGAGGGAGGTGAGCAAGACGGAGTTGTTGATGGATCCCGCTAGGTGCTCTTCGTGGTCCCAAACGAGATGGGTGCGGCGCGACGACGAGGGGGTGTGGTACGACAGGTGAATCTCGGCCTCCTGCCCGCCTGCGGCAATTATAGTGTCGTTCTGGCCTACTGGGAGCGATGTAAGAGAGTTTGGGGTGAAATGGAGGTGGGCGAGGATCCGTGTGGGCTGGCGACCAGTGGTTGAGCGCTCAAAGCTCTCGAGCTAAAAGAAACCTGCCACTCACCGCTCCTGGCGCATGTAGGTCTTGCTCAACGATGGCGCGATGTGTTACATAGTTCACTACGCCCTGTTCTCGGGGGCAAATCAGAAGGTCTCGGAGTTGTCTGGAGGCTGGTATGAGGCTGGATTTGGCGATAAATGGAGCTCTGGACGTACACATGTGCGATGGTGGGTCTTGCAGGTGCAATCGCTGTTGGCTGCGGCTCTGAGAGCAGTGTAGGGTCTCTCGCCATCGATAGAGGTGGTGGTCAAGAGCAAAGAACCGGTTACCGAACCCGCCGCCAGTTCCCCGTAATTCGGACAGGGGCAGCACGTGATGCTGACGGACAAACTACCATTCAATTTCTACTTAGGGTCTTACTACTTGTAAAATACGGTCAGGATCATCTTTCATGATGTTCTGGACGTGGATACCTTTCCCCGGACATGCCAGGACATTATTGCCATAGTAAACCACATGATGGCCTTTGAAGTTGGGAAAAACCGGAAGACCTCTCCGGAAAGTTATCTTTCCCTGTCCAAGTCCGGTTGAACGCATGCCATGGGAGGCGAAGGCATGTACAGTCGGCAGCCGTCCACTTCATTACAGCGGCGGAACAGGTAATCTCGGCCAAGGGCACATGATGGTTGGGCAGATACGTACAGCTACTAACTGTAGTAACTGGACTAGTTGCTATCTGCATGCCGTTAAATCGTCGTACGGGATGAGAAAGCCATGCTGGCCTCAAGGAACTCGGGATATAGTATTTTAAGAATGTGTGGGTGCGCCCTATGTGCGCATTCGATGCTCCTGCCCAGAATTCTGCGTGAGGACTGCACATCAGAATCTTGAGGCCTGAGTAGTCAAATATAGCTCGGGTAACACATGTATTTGCGCCATTCCAACATATCATGCTGTCTACCACCACTATATACACATCAATCGACAATCTATGTAGCGCCTTCGAACATCAAGTCTCTGGTTGACCAAGGACCATATCTCTGATTTACTCCACGTACTCAAGAATTTTAATTTTCTAAGGCTACCTCCAATGACCTTTGTTGTGTTCACCGCTCAAAATTGCGCGAAGTGTGGGCCGCCTACGGGCGCTAAATATTTGGCGCGGGAACGAGAGTAGTGGTGGGGGCAGTGCTCATATAATTCGAAATAATACTATCCTGGTGTCAATTAAATCCCGTTTCCCTGAGACTTTGACCTGGTTGTCAGCCAGATATTCATGATGTTGAACGGTAGCAAGGGACTTGCGTAAAGCTGCTCTTGTCCCACACCACCATACACGAAATCGAAGGATAGGTGCCCTGGGAACGCTCGCCGCAATTTTACTCCTCACCGTTGCACCCGTAATCACCACTTAAAATGCTTTCATTTGCACTACGTAGTAACGGACGGATCTCGTCTGGCTGCCCCGTCTTCGCTCCCTCACGCTGAGGTTCGTCTACTTCCCCTCTCGCCATCTGCATAGGTATGAGTCGCTGAACATCTATCTTGATGATACCACGTCATGAACTGGGATATCACTTGCGACGAACACAAGGTTCACTATCTTCCGACTGTCTACTGTGGTATCATTAGACTGAGATTCGATCCTGGACATGGGTAAGTGATGTCTTGGAACTTGCGTATCGGAAACCTTGACGTACCTCACTGTCACTGTCTTATGCCTCTCCAGTTCCATCGGTTCATACTGCCCAGATAGAGTTCTCCAAATTCCATGGATAATATAGACACCTCCGAACGATCCATTCTATTGGGTGGTCGCTCGTCAAGCCAGGACTTGAGCAGAAGAGAGGGTGGCTTACCCTGTTGGTTGGATCCTCAGGCACCTCAACTGTCTGTTTCCATTCAACTTTGAGACCACCGGTCCGCGACTCCTTATGCATCGACAATACCAGTTGTTTGACTTGTTCCAATCCCAACTGTTTGCCGTTCAAACTCGCGTTGACATCCTTGCTGAAGGTATCCTCGATCGCTTGCACGGCTTCCGCTTCGCTCGGTGACTCGAAGACTCTCCGGATATGCCCTTGCGACCATTGCGTCAGGGAGGAAAGGCGAAGCACGTCAGAATGGCTATGTCTAACCATGAGGAGGAGGGGGAAATCAAAGGCCGGTGAGTTGCCGCTGATAGCAAAAATGGGCTTTATGCATTTACAAGCACATCCGATTACTTAGGACATCCCTACGCAATTGTCGGCGCCACCGTCGATATAAGGAGAAAATCTGTCAGAACGTGAAAAGAATGTCCCCGATGCCTAGCGATCAGTGATGAGTCGATTGGTCTCACTCAGGGTCTGATCCCGATGCTGACAGGTGGCAGGATAGCCCGAAATGGCCAAATACAGTCCCTCGCGCGCTCCCGGCCCCAGCGCATCAACACCAGAAGAGTTGAGCATCGGGAGGACCCAGAACACCCCGGAATAAGATATTTGCTGTATAATCGCCGTTCGATGACTACGATGCAGTTGCGGGTGACACGGGCTGCGGGCCGCAAACGGTGAGCAGGCGTGAGAATCTCTCTGATCTCCCTCGAGATTTCGTCTAATTTATGTCGTATAGCTAGCCACACCAACCAACTTTCCGGCAAACTATAATAAATGGATAGAAGTGTACATAATAAACTTATTTGTGAGAAAAGATAATGCAGCGTTCAATAGTGTGGTGCGCTACAATCCAAATCCGACGACGAGCGCTTGATTAGTGGCTGTGCGAGTCGTCGCCAGCTCCTCCGAGAGCGATTTGTCTACCTAGCTCGGAGTGGAAAGATAAAAGAGGCCACGTAGATCTAAATACATTAACAAGTACCCTATAGATACCATAATGGACACGTGGATCATAGAGAGGGAAAGTCAGTTCGTCTGAAATATATCTCAGTCGGGAGGTGAGCGCTTGAGCCAGCAACGGCGGCTACCATCCGATCCTGGTCAAACCCGTGGGCGCTGTATCCTGGGTGCAGATATTAAAGCTTTATACAATAAAATAAATTGTTGTCTTCTTAAGCGTCGACTGAGTAAAGTAGTATTTTTCGAGTCTCAGGCAGTTTGCGGAATGCGAACCTCAGTGCGAAGCAAGTGAGGATGCGCATCTAATGCGGGCCTCCTATTTAAGGACCTTTCATATTCCGTCTAGTTCACATTGTAGGGCACAAAACACAAGTCGCATTTTAATCAACAGTACTAAACCGATACACATGTACACAGTAACATAAATATAGAGAAAATAGATCCACGCATCGATAGCATGCTGAAGACGAAATCCGACAGCGAGCGCTTAATCGGTCCTTTGTAAACCGTCATTTGCCTGTTCGAGAATGAATCTCATATTTAATGAAAGACTTAATTGCTGCCAACGCTGGGAAGAATCACACCTTACTCCAAACATATTCAATCCTCCGATGCCTTCTATAGCTCGGTGACGAGCCGGCTCCCCTCTGACTCTGTAAAACCTGCAAGAACATTTTTTATCACCTCGTCACTGTGTTTCGGGACTCTATACTGCATATGGTGTCCAACCGCTTCCACCGTGTCATACAGGTCATGGCAGCAGATAGATGGGCCTGCCTACCCTCCGTCAGCATGCGCAGCCAGCCCATGACAAGCACCACCCGTTTTCACGGCAACCGATGCGCTCGGCATGCCTCCCTTTCCTCCTCAAGAAATTCCTCCTCTCCCAACATTGACATTCATATCGCGTGTCCTCCCTAATCCCCCACTCATTCATTCTTGCTTGAATAGTTTCTGTAGTATAGATAATCTACTGATCAAAAATTTGCGGGCAATAACATGGTTTGCATCTCGTATTCACCCTCTGCTGTCCTCACCTTGAGGCTCGTGGGTGCCGTTGCGTCGTCACCCGAACTCTTTGTCACTCTTCTACACTAGCCCTTGTTAAGCGCCCGCATTTCGTAGCGCTTCGCATTTTGTATCATACTACCGTTCCGTAACTTCGAGTCATGCGCTTGGCACTTGTTTAGAGGCGCACAAGTCCAGCCACCGACGCGACGCGTACAGGCAAGAGCCGGCAAGAAGCTCTTATTTTTAGTGTACATATCTAGCCCACGTGGCGCCAAGTCAAAACCCGCAGCTAACGCGCTGATGGGCTTCCTGGGGTCTGCGATGAGCCTCGTGTCATACCTGTCCCGCCTGCCATCCATTTTCGGCATGATCCCCGGAATGTTCAGGGAGATCAGACCCTGAGTGAGACCAATCGACTACGCACTCCCTAGCGATAGCTGAGACGGATGCCCAACCTGATGGTTCTAAATAAGTGGCTTCCAAGCGGTGGCGCCTGGACAAGAACTTCTGACTTTGAATAAGCGCGGGATTGGCGGTGACGTTTTTTGCAACTTACCAGATGATAGCTGATGGACAATGTACAAACAGCGTTGGAAACAGTGTGAAGATCTCGTAACGGAATACACGTCCCTACGAACGTGCGATCGACCACTCTAAATTGAGATCGATATCACCAGTCGACGTCCGCTGTATCCTGTACGAATACTCTGGCCAACAAACCTTGCGAACGCAGACGGCGCAATATCTTGACGTCCAGTTCGTTGTGATGGCTGCTGAAACCGTACTCGACGTGGACGGAATTCAAAGCAGCCACCCTATTGCATTGTGCGAAGTTGCCCCATCTCTGCTCAATTATCCGAGAGAATGCCCCATCACGAGCACACATCTTTCCGTGAACCGAATCTTGGTGAGACGTGGGCAAACATCAATGTGGTTGCCGCCGTTTTTCTGATTCAGCTTGTCGATGACGGCATTTGCGTCCCATACGCTCTCCTGGTTGGTCTCGAGAGTCAACAGATTGGGCAACATTGGGAAACATTCAATCAGATCGGCTCCTTCAAGTTGGAAGTCATGTCCATCCAGAATAAAGTGCTTGAGGGAACAATTGGATCGCGATAGAAGGTGCTTCACTTCTGAGAATGGGACGGATGAAGGCAAGCTCCAGTGGGGAGTGACCGATCGAATGTTAAGAGTTTGCAAGGCAGGAAAAGTAACATGAGGGATAATGTCGAGCAAAACGTTAGTTCCATCGAGCCTAAGAATATTGAGGTGGGGAAGAGTGATGCGTTCTGGTGGATATGCGGCATCAAGGGTGTCCGGAAAGGAGATGCCTTCAAGGTGACATTCAGTCAAGAGCGGGCATCGATTGAGAATATCGAAGCAGATGCAGGGTGAAAATCTGAGGTGGAGACTAAGATGAACCAGTTCAGCACCATGTATATGGGTGGCGATGGCTGAACCGGTGGTGTTCGGAGACCTCCAGGACAGTTCGCGGAGGCCAAGTGATTCCGAGAGGATTGCCTTCGCGAATGGCATGACTTGGCCACCATAGTCGAATTTGATTCGTCTCATGTGGGGAGCGGAAACACCCTCCAACGACAAATTTGGAACATAGGCAATATCCGGCAGGGTGAGCTCGAAATCTTGCCACCTCCGCGCCTCCGCGAACAGAGGGGAAAGTACTGAACGAAATCGCGAAGTCCAGTGGAAGTTTCGTATATATGGAGGATAGAGGCGCTGATCGATGTGTTCGTCATTGACCACAATGACAGCCCAGAGCTGTGGGCACCCTTCGGCGACAGATTTCCATTGTTTGCACACTTGAAGAAGGGCGAAGGGCGACGTATTTCGAATCTCTGAGGGAATCGATGAGAGGAAACTGAGGAAGATTGCCTCGATAAGCTTGGAGGGCAGCATGTTGAATGGCATAGGGCAACCAGGATCTGGTTGGGACCGGCGAATGCGGCCCAGTTGCTGAAATTTGAATAGAAGGAACTCGTTAGAATAACTTCGATGTTCTACAAAAAAAAAACTTGCCTTGTTGACTCGTCTAATCATATCTTCTGAAGGAAATTGAGGAGTCGGAGGACGAAGCCTGCACGATGTGGGTTCAAGTTCAAAAAAGCGGCCTCGTAGAATATCTGATACACACACCCAATAGAACATGCCAAAAATCGCCTGAAGTGCCATACGGCAGCGTTCTGACCAGGTCAAATTGGTTGTGGCGACGATGGAGATGGAGGCTTCAAACAAGTTTGGTGTGACGTTGGTTCAGAGAGGGCAGCCAACCGACTGGGAGAGCCAGAGCCCAGAGCCTCGGCATTCCCCGAAACACGCGCCGGGAGTTACCCGTTTGGCGCCTAAGCCATGTCGAGATACGGTGCCTCTAGAGTTTTGGTTATTACAATTCAGCTAGTAACTATGTAATACCATAGTTTTCACAACCACCTTCCGTGCTCTCTGAGGCTGAATCTCGAATACTATCCCACTAACCCTCTGCACGTAAAGTCCCTAAGAAATCAGGATACACGAGCACCTGCAGGTACTTGGTGCCTGCCTTTCCGTCATCGGGCTCTCGCTGCCCTCTCCATCTACCCAAGACCGCCGTCCGCACTCGCAGCACGACGCCGTCACGGTGCTCACGAAAGGTATGTCCCCCCATTTCCAAACGCCCGCGACCGCCGCCTAAAGTCTTCTAGACATGAAATACGTCGGTGGTCTTGGATAACGGCAGCCAGGAATGGTGTAGAGGGTGTTGAAGGCGAAGGACGCGGCGACGGCGAGGATCTACAGGCAAAGTAAGTCACTCAACTTAGATAACTCATCTAAAACAAGCTAACGTACCTTCGTCATCACGCCGCAGCTCGCCCCCGAACGTCGAGCTTAACCCTCCGTCCTTCATCTAGAAGACAAACCTAAGGTAAGTCTTCATCATCGAGCACGAGACGAACGACTTACCGTCTCTTTTCCCCGTCCCTACAGCCCTTCGTCGCCACTATACACGACATCCGACACCTCCCGCCGCTGTCCAACACCACGCAGACCACGAATCCCAGCGGTGCCGTCGATGGAGACCACGTATAGCTAGGACGAACGTAAGTACTTTCTCGTATACCCATAGACGGAGAACTCACCCGTACAACATCGTTCGCCCACCGAGGCCGCCATCGTCGTCCGTGGAGAGCATCTGGGAAGACGCGGCGAAGGAAGGAGAAGGCCTCGGGCTGCGAGGGAGGGTGCCGAGGGCGATGCCCAGGAGCCTTCCTTCGCTGTTCAAACCCACGAAACCCGCTCATACGAGGCCCAACCAACGGCCTTGCACGTGTAACACTCCCCAACGTCGAAGGAGGTGGTTCTGCAGGCGGTGTAAGGGCGGAGACGAGTGCGAAGCCTGGACATAAGAGGTGAGTACGAGGCAGGTCTGTACGCACGAAACGAACGTGGACTTACCCTATCCACCCCATTGAACGTAGGCCACCACGCACCATCGACCGCGACAGCTTACGAGCTACGCCCCACGTCCAGCACCCCTCCGACTCGTCCGGGTCATTGACGTTCGCCGATGGAATTGACGTTGGGTGGGTGGTTGACGAACGAGGGTGTTAGGGAGAAATCTAAGGGTTATATGTAAGTTATGTATGTCCTTCATGAATGAAAGAGAGGCTTACTTACCTTGTTGTGGTGCTATCCGTCCACCCAGGCCATCGCTGTCCATGGCGAAGACGAGAGACAACTCGTCCGGTGAAGAATAGTAAGTCTTTCGTAGTCGACACGAACGCCGCCGACTCCACAGATCAGCGACCTGCTATCTTTGGACGAAAAGCTTAGTCAGGGGGTCGCTCGTCCCCACCCTGACTAATGGATTCCCACACCTTGTGATCTAATCGGCATGATCCGTCACTGAGCCCAAGGCTCCAGGCTCCGGGCTCCGGACTCTCCCAACCGGCTGGATACCCTGGGTTCAGATGGTCAACGGCCGGGGTACAACGGACCGGCCTTATCTTATCTTACTTTATGCTGCCTGGTGCCTCACACTTGCCTCACACTTGCACGAATCATATATCGACTGGCTTGCCCTTCTCTGTTAAATAGAATATCAATCAAGGATATCGATGAAAAATGACGGGCTAGCTGCTGTGGATGCAATCTCTCAGGCGGGACTCGGAGAATCGGGATCTGAGCATCGCCTTTGATACCTTCTTACCTTCCTGCCGCTAGAAAATGGCCAGTATATACTTACAAGAAGACAACAGGCCACTACGTAGAGTGAGGTACACATAAGACCGTCTCGATCAGGTGTTTTCTCCCGAGAAACATAAGGGAATATCTGAAGATAGGTATTCCTTGATTAGGTGAAGGTGGCGCAACAGCCGTATGCAATTATCCTGATAGTTGTCAAGGAGTAAATGACGCGGTCTAATGTGTCATTGAAAAAATAATTATAGGCGCAGAAACTATATCTTCTCGTTCCAAGACTGTAAAGTGAGAAACGTTGTAAGGAGAAAAAACGTCCAGAAAAATTGCGCTCCAGGTCACTGAGGTCAGAAATATTGTCCACATGTAATCGAGGGGGGAAGGTCTTCATATTCCTAGAGCTGTACAGAAAACTGCGCAGATGGCCAGAAATATGCATAATTTTAGGAAGAGGTGTTCGGTGGAGTCATTGTCTTGATATAAGATTTCTTGTGAATCAGGCTGGCAGCTTCGCTGTGGACCTAGGGTCGAAAAGAGCTCTAAACCAATGACGAAATGTACCCACGGAAGCCAATACCTTCACTTTGAAACGGCCTCCAGGAGAGATATACTCCTCCACTAGTTCATCATCACTGGTATCCTCATCCTCCTTTCCCTGACCGACTGACCCCATGACGAAGGTAGCAGTGCTACTATCTCGCCTCGACTTGGGGTCCTGGTCCTCTCGCGAGCTATGCGTATTAGTGCCTTCAGCTAACGGATGAATGGTAAGTCCCTCAGGGGAGTCAACCGCCTCGAATATGTCTGAAGCAGTGGCTGACGCGGACATTATGGCCTTTAGGTCTATCGACCCTTGCGGGCCGAGGTCGCATATCACGGTGTTGTCGTTAACGTATCGAGTGCGCATGCCATCGGGAGCGCAAAGAATAATTGTTGTGTTGGCAAGTCTCATCAAGGGCTCTCTAGAGGATCCCGTGGCACTGGCGTTATGTTGTGTCTGCTTTTCGGCGTATGAACGATTGTCGGGGGTAGATGGCCTGGAGTCGCCCACGGCTTTCTCGTTTAGTGTATTGGTGCTGGCGGAGTAAGATTCTGTGAAGGGTGTGAGCATACAAGCCCTTACCCAGTCAATCTTACTTACTGTTTGGTTGAGTAGACGTCGCGGTCTGGCTCAGCGGATCTTCCAATAGTTGGGCCATTTGAGATATGGAGCGTTCAATATGGAGGTACTTAGTCTCGTGAAGAGAAGGGTACTAAGAGGAAGTGAACCGACGCTGACCAGGCTTTAAAGGAGGTTGGGCTGTTCTATAAGCGCCCGAGATGGATTGATTATTGATAAACCTGTACCGCAGACACGGCATTGCATATCATCATCGCCACCGGAAGACTTGGGCACTGTTGTACAGGCAGCCCTGGCAGCCCAATAGAACGAGTCTACGACTTCTATTTGGATATTGACTCATATTGCGTCAGGAAGGATACCACAGTCGTCCTTGGGTGCTAGCAGGAAAGTAGTACCTTGTCTGGCTGTGCCTGCGAAACAAGAAGTTCTAGTTTGGATGAGCCACCAGACTTCCAACAACGTAAAGATGTGCTGTTCCTGGCTATCTCTCACAACGAAGGATCGGATGCCGTGCTTGAAAGGTATCTGTGCAACCCACACGGATCTGGAAGGACCGTTGTATTCCAGACTACAGCGCTGTGTAGCCTTGTGTAGCCAACATGTAGGATTACCGCTGGACCTTAATTCGTATGGGGCATAGGGCTCGACCTAAAAATCGATGACTGTTCTGGTTAAAAATATGAGCACTGCGGAAGCACTGACATCCAAATGTTACTCACAGGGAGATAATAAGGTTTTCAATATAGGTATCCAAAATGTAATCTTCGAAGGAGCGGGACTCGGAAAGATTTTAATCATAAAATCGACGGACCTGAGAGACAAACTGAGGGGTATGAAGTTAGATCAGATCTATGACCTCGCCAGGCGCGAACCGAGTCCGCTCTTGCTTCACCTGATGGCTTGGTCCTCCGCAGTCTCGCCTCGCACTCTGCTCCAATTTTTCCCAATTCCGGCTTGAAATGACATCAGAGCAGCAAACAATCCAGAAAACGCACTGACGAGCAATTTCCTCGACACCATCAGTTCCTTCCCGTTAAAGTTGACATGTAGATGAAGGGAGTCACCGGCATATAGCTTATGCGTTGTCTGAGCCCTCCAGACTGCTAGGTTCGTCTCGCGCAATGCACACAAATTCAATCATGTCGCAAAAACGGCCATCCAATGGTTTCCAGGAGCAATTGTCGAACCTGGTTTCGTGTAAAGAGATTCTTTTCATCTCACTCCTTTCATCCACGTATCAACTTTCTCCTTCAGATGCCTCTGCTCGGCTGCCTGGGTATCCTCTTCGGCTTTCTTTAACATCCTCTGCAGCTTGTTCCGTGGCACCCCGACATATGGGAGAACCATGAGCATGTCGGGTTTGTCGCGATTTTTTACCGCGCTCAAGGTCATTGATCGCCTGGTCACCTCTGTACGCAGCAGTCATGATTCCATTGGGATAGAAAACATCTTGCCAAGTTGCGCCAAATTCAGCTTTCAGGGCGTCGGTGCCGAAGTGGTTCAGGACAGCACCAGCATAGACAGCATCAAAGAGAATATTAGGAGGCCGTGTTGATCCCTCAGAAATATGGAGAGGAGAGCCTGGAGGGGGTGCACCGAAGCCGCCTAGATATACCTTCTTGTCAGGCCGGAAGAGATGTGCTATACGCTTTTTCTCTCCGGGAGGTGTGGCAAGATCCACGTCGGCCGTGTTCATGGCAAAGTTTGGCCTCTGCATACTGATGCGCTGTCAGACTCCAATGAGGTACATATCACACAAGCATCACGCACCATTAAGAATGCAATGTGGGTACCCAAGGCTACGTGAGTGAACTTGTTGAGAAAAAGTCCGTTCCGGACACTCTCAATTTCCCGAACGATGTCACCTCCAGTAGGGTCCCGACTGCGGCGCTGCGTGTAAGTCTCGATGTACTGCCGCCATTGGATCCATGAGAGAGGACCGGTAGATAGTGCGAGTAGCATACCGCATCGCCCTTGCTGTGAGCCAGAAGGTGCACCGCGTCGCAGGCGTCTGGGATCATTCTCGTCAAGACGCAGCGCCCGCCATCTCGCTGTGCAACTTGGTCGCAGAAGTGAACCTTCCGAGTAGTGGGAACACTAGGGGTGATGCTTGTGCACAAGATGTGAGAGCCGGCCGGGAACATCCTTCGTTTCTCCTCATCACTCATGTGGTAGTAAAGGATGGTGGCTTCGGATGGGAGGCGTGCATCGTAGTCGACGACGTTGAGCGAGTCGGGACCAGTCATAAGATCACCTCGAGCTCCGACGACGACACCAATGGGGTATCGGATGGCCTATTGCGAGAGTTGGAGTGCGTTGAGAGTTTTGAGTCGTCGGGTAAGACAATGAACCCAGTGCCATTTGTTGGGAAAAATATCGAGGTTGGGTCCAAACGCCACTACATCAGGGAATAAAGCGTGTACTTCAATCTCAGGAGGAGCCTCGGCCATAATGAAAGAGTGTACGAGGGAAAGAGACTGACACCGCCCTGGAGGCTTAGCTAAGCTTAGACATCACATGATGACACACGACTTCGAAAACTGGCACTGGCAGTGGTTAAACCACTGACCACGCAACGGCCCCGAAATCCTCGACGCAGAACATGGCGGGCGCGAGGCGCGAGGCCGTGGAAAGGGAAAAGTAGAGCGAGCAGGAGAGTAAGTACTGACGATAGTTCGGAAGTCAGAATCACCGAGGAGGATAGGACGAGTTGGTTGCATTAGGACACCAGGAGTGTACGCAGTGGTGTTCGTACTGTCGGTAGTAACGGGCGCAGCAGCCACCAGAACGAACAGTAGTAGGTTGAAGAGAATATTCGTCTTCATTTCGATCTTTTGAGGGCGCAAGATCGACATGTCGCTTCATCCTTCAGACTGTTCGTCCACATTTTATAGAAGATGATGACGGAACTAGACGGACACCTGATGCATAAAGCCGGCATCTCGTTATCGACGTTATGGTTCCATAAGCAGGGATATGAATATACGGGATTTGGTGGAGTGCCCGCTGTGGTATCTTCCCATATCTTTCGTCGCCGATGCTTCTATCCATTGAGATCGGGCAGACACGGTCTGAAAGTTTCTTCAGGCGGCGCATGACATATGTCGGCTATATACCAGGCAAACTAGACTGCTGGTAGACTGCGAGGTAGCGAGTGGTGGAGCACTAGCGTCCGAGAAAGCGCGGGAGGACCTAAGATAACCAGTAATCAGGAAACGGCAAATCATTCCAACGTTATACAATCAACCGCGCACCTTTGGAATACTCGGTAAGTGTTGGTAGAGGTTGGTAGGCGATCGAAAGGAACACGGGATAGTGCGGCTTGCTCATCTCTGGGATCAGATCATTAGAGAGAGGTTTGACGTTGAGTGGTCCGTGGTTCAAAGTGGTAAGTTGTACTCAATCGTGAAATGTCAGGTGAAGGACGTTTGTTGGCATCATACGAGCGGTCCAGAAATCGAGTCGGCATAATACATAGACAGAGAAGCGTAAGCGCTGCAGAGAGAAGTTTAGTCGGGCGAGAGTCCAAAATTCTTGCATATTTCAATTGTTCTTGTAAATTTTACACGATGAGTAGAGGTGAGGCACATGACAGAAAAGATAGATAGCAAACTGGATACTGGACGATCGACTGTGGGGCGAGGAAGTAAGTGTCCATCCAAGCATGGCAGCCAAGAACTCAAGAATCCTTCTGGTCGAGGACGATGATTTCTGGACGCTTGTTTAAAGCGCGTCGAGGAAGAGGTTTGATCGGACGCCAGGGAACAAAGCAGGTAATAATCTCGGAAGACGCGTCAGAGTCGAAATCTGAGTCATCTTCCTGAACTTTATCCGAAGACTCAGATGAAGAGGTTGACGAAGCCGACATCTCAGTATCTTCGTTTGGGTGATCCCTACGACTCGATCGATCCTCAAAGAGCCCGAGCCCGAGATTCTGAGTGAGCGAGAACAATGAAGTCAGTTGCTATGAAGTAATGCTTAAGAGCGTACCATCTCGATATACCGGTCGATCCCCTCTGAGATATGCTCAATGTCAACACTGCTTGAATCCTCTTGCATTTTCTGAGATAGTAGTGCATTCGAGGCTTCCAGCTGTGGCAGAAAAGCCTGTACCCTCGAAAGCACTACAAAACGACATTATAAGAGCTTGTAGACAGAGATATGACAAGGTAAACGCACATTCGGTCGGAGGAGTGGTCGCGAACGTTGTCCTATCACCAAAATCAAACTTAGGAACACCAGAAGGACGCAAAAAATCTCTAGTTTGGGAGGGCGAATTGAGCTTTTCGAGAAAAGACTCTGTTTGTAAAGACATTGATCAGTATGCGAAATGATCGTCGCGCCAAGGACGCACGGATTCTAGACTGTCGGGCAGCCTCGTCCTCAACATCTAGCTTCTCGAGAACCATCGGTGCGGCGCCACGCTCTTCGTCCATAGTTAAAGTGAGAGGGTCGATCGTTGGAGGAGAGAGCAACAAGTAAACTTTAAGGAGTCAACCGAGCCGCTGTGGCCCATTTGGAAAATCATCACGTGATGCATGTTCTGGAGTCCAAACAAGTGCACATAGTTTTGTCCGTGTTGCGATCCCCGTGCATTGTCGTTCTCCGAACATTGTGCCACATTCATGCTAAATCCCACTTTCATCGACACAAACCTCTGCTAACAACATGGTGGGTGCTCTTGTAGGCACTGCAGAACCCGCTGACTAGTATCCAGGCGACGTACGGACGAAATAGACAGTCCATTGCCGACATCGACGAAGAACTCAACAAGATATTCAAAGAACACCCAAAGTCCTCTACCAACGAGAGCAATGAGCCCGTTATCCCTGCGGACTGTCTCGTCGAGGTCATGAAAAGTCTTTCTGACGTGTACGATGGCACACCTCTCATGACCGACGAGGAGATTGCGATGCTGCAAAACCTCATCGCAGCCAACCCCGGACTCGAAGTGACGCCCGCAATCCTTCTCCAATTCATCGCAGAGAAGACCAAGGCTGCTACACCACCGCATACACCCTCACACGAAGACACCATGAACGACGAACGCGAGGGATACGGACACACAAGGACGGACAGCAACGAATCCATGGACTTTTATCGCAAACCTCCCAGCCGACCTCCTTCAAGGGGTCCCACCACGCCGGGGCCTTCCATTAAGTCACCTCTAGACTCGGAGCGCAGGCAGCGTTCGACTCCGCTGGCTGCCCCGTCGAGTTGGGCCAAACGACCGACACCCGCAGGACGAAGGAAAAGCGATGCCGGGAGCCGAAGCGACAACGAGGTGAGTTTTGACATTTCTGTCGATTTCGCGTTGCCCTCTGCAAGGGGTGTTTACGGGTGTCTTTGATTTCTGGCCCTCCACCCTGTTCTCCGTTCTCCCTTATTTCGAAGCGCCAGCGGAGGCAATGTCCACTGTATTTTTTGGTTTGCTTCGACGTGAATCTATGTATATTCACGTCAATTGTCCACTTTTCACGCTTGACCTCGTGCTATCTGCTCAAAATTCTTTGCATCTGTCAGTAGTTATGGAGGACGTCCTTCCTCTTTTGCATCTTTCACTCCAGTCGCCCTTTGCATCTTCGCGTCTATGAAACCTGACTGACTTGTTCTTCACAGAACGGAACCCCCAGCGCCTGGGGCAGGACAAGTGGACGACATAGGGCACCATCCAACCCGACTTCACCCTCCTCTTCTTCACGCGACCTTACCTTCGAGCCAGACTCCCCGGACTTTGGGCGATCCATGTCGCGACCGGCATCGCGGAACCGGCCTCGTTCGCAGAACGGGTACAACAGCAGCTTTGACCTGGGCTACTCCTCCCCGGACGACAACTACACCGTGAAACGCCCAATGTCACGGTACGGGCACAACTACAACAACTCATTCGACAATGCCGTATCATCCCTTCCGATGCCGCGTGGACCTGGTGGATCTGACTCGGACGAGGAGGACGACCTCGCGGCTGCCTTGGTGCCTGACCGGCAGATGGCGGCGTCGTTGGTGTCAATGGAGGATCATGAGCGAATGGAGGCGCTGCAGAGAAACAACGAAGAACTAGGCCGCAAACTGATGGATGCGGAGCGAACTCTGCAGAACAAGCTCGAGGAGCACGAAGTTGAGCTGGAAGAGACTCATGCGCGTCTGGAGGAGCTTCGGAGTGAGCTGAGCGCGTCCAACAGAGAAGAGAAGGAACTGCGGGCCAAAGACGTAAGTTGGCCCCTTTCTTCTCTGTTCGTTAATTCAAATGGTTGTTTTAGTCACGTAACATGGCTCAAATTGCTGCTCTTGAAGCGGCGGTCGCCAAAGCACAACACTCGCTCGAGATCTCCAAGTCGACCTACAGCAGCCTGCAGAAGCAGTACCAAGAGCAGTGCGCGATTTCGGAGAAGTATCGTTATGACCTACGTCAACGTGACGAGACAATTCGGGGCTACCAGGAGTCCGCGTCGTTACAGGAACTCGAGACACGTAAATTCACGAAGGAGCAAGAAATGTACGAGGAGCGCATCGCGGCACTCGAGGCAGAGCTCAATATTGCCATGCAAGCGCACACACAGCTCGACGAGCAGAAGCAGGAAAATCTGCTCTTGAAGGAGACCATCGACCGTCTGCGCTTTGAGATGGACGAGATGCGCAGCGCTGCTACGATTAACATTCCTGGAGGGGGTGCCAGCGGAGGAAGTAGCGCGATGAACACGATCAGCAAGAGCTTGGGGGCAGAGCTCGCCGGCAAGATGAAGTGGATGGCTGAGCAACATGAAGATGAAGACGTTGTCAGTGAAGCGAGCACTGCTGTCGAGCTTGAGGAAGAATCGACAGCAGGAGAAGATCAGGACGAGGAGGACGTCATTCAAACCATCATTACTCGGAAGAGGGTAAGATTTTTGGCGTCTTGGATGGTTTTCACTTCTGACCTTGCTCGTCGTCTTGCAGAAAGTCGCCAGTCGCGCCAAGGAGATCCTGTCTAAATCAACTCGAAGAGAGTTTGAGGAGATGAAGGAATACTCTGACAGCGCGACTCAGTATGATCCAACTCTGTTCAACGTCAACCATGGCGTGCAGACTGAGTCAGAACGAAAACCTGTCAAGACGTCGTTCAGTATACAAACCGATCCCCTTCCCCAACCCAAGGTCATTCCTCCGCCCCTACCTCGCATTACCGTCGAGATGGACGTCCAGACCGATCCTCAGGAAGAAGAGCCAACACCAGGCCAACCTTCAAGGTCGCCTTCTCCGGGCCAGGACGAGAGCATGGCTTCGTCCTCGTCAACTATTGTACCGCCGACGCCCAAGCCCAGCAAGAACCGGCTGCTCGACCCCCTCGACGAGCCGCCCGACTACCACCAAATCACAGAAGCAGACCACGAAGAGCGCGAGTGGGTCGTGCTCAAGAAATGGCACACAGGCGGCAAACACCCCTTGGAGGCTGTGCCAGGTGGCATCTCCGAGGACGCTATCGAGGACTGGAAGGCGCTCAAGCAGGAGCTCGGCGTCGAGTGCCTCGTCATCGACAAGATCGTCGAAGCCAGCGCGGTCAACGCGTCCAGCAGCTCCTCGAGGTCCACAAAGGACAGCAAGGCGTCAAGGCGCTCTGGCCGGTTTTACAACATCTACAATACGTATGTGTATGGCGACAAAGGTCCCGGCTCGTCGTCAGGCGGGCCGTCCGCTTCAGGCATCGCGAGCCAGGTCGCGATGTACGTTGGCGCTGGGGCACTCGTCATCCTTGCAGTGACGCCCTACATCATCCCACAGTACCACATCCCCGGTGGGCCCACGTATTACGATCGCTGGGCGTGGAACAGCTTCAACTCGATGCAGGCGGCAGGTGAAGGCTTCTCGCCTGATGGGACGGCGGCTGTATGGAATATTTTGGGCCGTGTGGGCGGTGGTGCTGCGCGCATCGCGCGTGGGTGGCCGACATAAACCGTTCGATTTCAAGCTTCCAACTTCAAGCTTAAGACTCGACACGCGAATCGGCAAAAACGACTTGAACACTAGATACCCACCGCTATGCTACGTATGACCCAAGCCCACCGCTCATTAATCGGATCGACCCAAGATCGCCCAACACTACAGCCTATTATTGATCTTTCGACACCGTTCCTATGCCCCGTTTTTCTTCCTGTGACTAACTTTATGCTGCTTCTTATGCCCTGCATTACCACCACTCCTTACTGCCATTCCATGCATCAATTTTCTTTCATTCGGTCTCTCTAAGCTTATATTTTTTATCCTGGCTTTCTGCATTCCTTCCAGCATTGCGACGTTCTTTAGATCTCTAATCCTTCAGACCTTGCTTTTTTCGGTCTGCTTCCTCGTTCGCTTGCTCGTACATAAACTAACCGTACACGCCTGCCTACATCCTTAATGCTTGTTTGTTGCAACCGTTGTAATCTAGTGTACATTGTACAAAAATGCAGAATCCAGACAGAGTTTTTCGTCTCTGTGCCCAGCCCTCTGCTTTTTGGATGATCTAAGTAGCAGAGAACAGACTACGGCATGCCCCACATCTAATCATAATGTCCGTTTGTGAGTAAATGCGTAGTGGGGATAAAAAGGAAAGATGAAAGAAAACAACAGAAGTGATGAAGTGGAAGTGGAAGTGTGAATAGATAATGTGCAATGATGTCGCATGAAGGTGCCAGCAGGCGGTCTAGGTGTGGAAGATAAAAAAAATACATGAGGGTCGAGAATGAGTGGTGGTGGGTTTCAGTTACGTTTGAGGGGGTAGTCGAATAGAAAGTGGTATCAAATGAATGCATGGGGGTGCATAGGCTGGTATGAGAATGTGGTGTGTGATGTGGTATACTGCGGTGATGTGGGATGAGGATGAGGGTGAATGGTCGAGAAGTCCTTGAGTCTGTCAGGGAATGGATGTGCGGGGGCGGAATTTGGAAAGGTAGGCACTGAGACCGTGGAGGTGAAGTCGTACTATATGGTTGAGGACGGCTTTCGGAGATAAGTCATAGGGCGTTTGAGGGCGGTTAAAAGAATGGAAAGGGTGGTCGCAGGGTCCCGTTCGTTTAGGCGTGCTGTGCTTGTTGTTGCTGGTGCTTGAATTCAAGCGGCGGGATCTGCACTTCGTCATTCGCACCCGGAGGCGAGTCAAACGCAGCGGTGGGGCGGCGGCGAGGAGAAAATGTTACAACGTGTTCCGAGCTGTGGTCGTCGTCGTCGTCTTCTTCCCCGTCGTCCGAGAATTCTTCGTGGTAATGGTCGTCGTCATTGTCGGTGCGACGTCGGTAGCCCCGCTCATCTTCATGCGTACCCTCGTCGTCCTCCCGCCGCCACCGCACACCCTCATCGCCCTCGACGCTGCTCCCACTACTCCGTCCTCCACGCCCACTTCCAATTGTCGACGAGTCGTCAATAACAGGCTCTCCATAGCGCTCGAGGTCCGTCATCGGAGCGTCCGGCTTCAGAATCGGGGTCAGCCTTGCATTTGAACTGGCGTGCTGCATCGTCGACGGGCCGGGGCCTGCAACGCCTAGCATCCCAAACGCTCCAACGCCTCCACCAACAACGCCTACCGCCGTCGGCCGCTGGTCCTCGGGTTGGACGCCGCCCGCACCGACGTTCATCACCAGCTCGTTCAGCTCGGCCCCGACCGAGCGCACGCTCTCGAGCTCGAATTCCTCCTTCACATCGCCATCCTGGCCCCAGCTCGACGCGCGCCGCGCGGCCGTCAGAACAGGGTTCGCCCCAGGCCCGACCCCAGAGCTGCTGTCGGCGTCAGAGTCTGCCGCGTTCATCATTGAAGAGGCGCCGTACATCCGCAGCGCCTCTTCACTCCGCCGCGTGCTGGGCGGCATGATGAGCATGGGCTCGCCGCTCTCGCCAGCGAGTGTGAGCGTCGTGGGGGTAGCATCGGCGGAGTTGCCCAACGAAACGGGGGCGGTATACGGTGCGGGCAGGTGGTGGTGGTGATGGTGGTGGTACGATGGAGGGTCGTGTGCTGGTTGATGGAAGGGCGGTAATGCGAGATGGCGAGGCGTCTTCTCGTGCGGAGATGGCTGGCGCTGCTTCTCCTGCTCTGGTGGAAGAGGAGCGAACTTCTTCGGGGACCAGGTGATGATGTACTTGAGCTCGCGCCACCACGGCTTGCTCCTCATCCCGTTTGTGTTCGTCGTTGCCGTCGACGAACCAGAGGCCACGCGGCTCGACGAGGTCATCGTCGACGCCTTGCCATTCAGCGTGCGCTGTGGGAGCTGCTGTTGGCCCTCCTGGTCCTTGAGCGCCTTCTTCGACGGCTTCGGTGTTGGTGTTTGGACGGGTACCGGGGTCTTGGATCGTAGTGAGTCGTCCTTCGCCTTGCCCTTGTCTTTGCCTTTCGTCTTACCCAGCAAGACAGCCGTAGACGAAGATGCCTGCGAGTTGACCCTTTCGCGTGGGTTCCAGCGACTGGATCTACCTAGGCTATCCGCCGGAGCACCCAGCGCCGCCCTCGTCCCGTTCGGCGTCAAGTGTGCACCGCGTGCAGCACCCGTCGGCCGCGCAGAGCCCTTGAACAACGATGACACGCCTCTAGCAATCCTGTTTCCCCAGCGCCATTGGAACACCACCTTGGTCATCGCGTCGGATGCCTCCCCACGGGACACACTGATCTTCTCCTTCGTTGGCGAGGTCACCCTGAGCCAGTACTCCGGGTTGTTGAGGTCCGCCAGGAGCCATTCGTAGCGCTGCGATAGCTGGGTCGTCGTCAAATAGCTAAAAGAAGAGGAAGGGAAGAGGGACGGACCTTGACTTCGTCGAGCGTTATCCGCGCCCGGGCGTCCTTTTGGAGGAAGTGGTCGAGGAGGTCGATGATCCCCGCGGGGTCCTCGCTTGTGCTAGTGCCTTTGCTCGCATCTGCGCTTGTCCCAGTCGTACCTGCATCAACGCCCGGCGCGCCTGTCGGTACCTGGTCATACCCCATCGTCGGAAGGAGCTTCCATTTGTCATTGCATATGCAGTCGTATAGTGCAAACTCGTTCTGTTCAGTCGAGAAGGGCGTCGTGCCGAAGAGAAGACAGTAGAGGGTAACACCGAGAGCCCAAACGTCGATGGCCTTCGTGATCTCGGGGCGTTTAAGGGCGCCAGGAATAGGCTGGATCGTAGCCGACGCAGTTGAAGATGTCTGGGACGACGAGGGCGACTGGTTGCGTGAAGAAATCGACCCTGGGACACCGACGGTGTGCTCGAATATTACCTCAGGAGCCAGAAAGGACGGTGTACCTGCCCGTCGCGAGAGGTTAGAGTCGTCGAGGAGGATGGGGTCGTTCGCGTCGTGAGTGTCATCCTTCCCGCCAGCTGCGGCGAGACGCTGAGCATAAGAGAAGTGGGAGACACCAAAGTCGCCAATCTTGACTTGGCGGCGGTCTTCCGTCCAGAGCAGGTTCGCGGGCTTGATATCACGGTGTATAATACCCTGATGGTGGACTGGGAAATCCTGAGTTGGCATGAGAATAGAAGAGAGGCGCAGACGCACGATATTCGAGACCAAGAACAGCGTCTCGTATGATTCGGCGTGTCTGCGAGATGGTGAGGACAGGATTGTTGTGGTTATCCCGCCATTTCACCTCTCCACCTCCAAGATATTCCATGACTGTACATAATGGATCAGCGCTCGGTTAACTCCTGATGAAATGATTTCGAAGAAAGCGAACGCGTGTGGTGCAAAGCCCACCCAATCGTCGCTTCACCTTTACATGAGGACGCGGGTAGGTGCAGGGAGGGGGCGGAAGAAAGGGCGTGAAGAAAGGAGAACGCACCCATATATATTTTCTCTTTCATACGATCATCTATAACCTCGTAAAGCCTGACGACGTGGGGATGGCGTAGCTTCTTCATAATGGCGATTTCCTTCCGTATTTTTGCCTCGGTGGTGTTGAGCTTGTCGGCTAAGGAGACGTGGGCCGAGGTGGGCATGCGGTGGGACTGGAGCATCTTCATCTTCTCTGCGCGGGGATTGTTCCGTTTGACGGATTTCATGGCCTGTGGGACGACAAGTAGTACTCAGCACGACTAAACGGGAAGACAGGGGACGTCGGCCGACGCACCACCGGTAGGCGACGCTCTGGATGGCTTGGGGGCAGCTTTGAGTTGATTCTGTGGCAGAGGTACACGTCGCCATGCTGGCCGCCGCCGACTTTGACATGGCGAACGTAGTTGTTGAGCATGGGTCTGCCCTCCTCCATGAAAGCGTGGAGGTGGTCTGTGGTGAGGACATCGCCCTCTGGGTCGAAGACATCGGGATCGTAGTTTGCATCTTGGTGGACGACGTTGTTGGATTCAGACATTACGGAGGGAAAGACATGAGAGGGAAAGGAAAGAGTAGAGTAGGACTACAAAGTTAAATGGTAAACACCGCTGTCCGTGTTTGAAGATCATGACCCTATTTCCTAATCGGGCATCCGGCAGCCCCCGGGGACCCCGTCATTTCCTTTTCCGTCCGCCTGTTTAGTCGCGCGCACAGGTGCACTTGTCCTCCTCCTTGACGGACTGCATCACCTAACAGAGAACCATCAGTACTCTGTTACCCGATGCCCAGAGTCCCCCCGCCCCGCCGACAACCATCGCACTTCCCATGACATAACGTCTCAGTAATGGGGTGCTGATGCTGATTGGCAGCGAAAAAGAGGGTCTACTCTGTCTGACTTACCGCTTCAGCGTGCTGTCCGCAACCCTATCAAATTTCGGGGGTTCAGTTAGCACCACTCTTACCACAGGCCGCTCCTGCGAGCGCAGCCAGACCCCCTCTCCACGCTCTGGCTGCCCCCCAGCGAGATCTCGACCGACCAACGAAACAGCTACGTACCGTCCACGTTATCTTCCCACATTTCTCGCATTTCACTTGGCGGCAGGCGTTCGCGAGGGCAGATTCAGCCACGATGGTCATCATGGGGGCTTCTCTGTCGTTCTATGTTTATGGAAGAAGGAGCCAATGACACGACATCAGTCAGTATGAAGGGAATCAGCAATCGGGAAAGCTTGCATCCCAGCAGGCACCCAAATACCATGCTGGCATCCACTTACCGATTGTGGTGGGAAAGGTTCGGTTTCGAATTAGATCGTGCTCGTCGATGGGAATAAAGGCGAAGAGTTAAGTCTTCTATCTCTCGTTTTCCGCTCCTTTTATAGGTCCCCGTATCCTTGTTCGGCCCTTTATTAACGTGTAGGGCGGATGGCGGATGATAAAGAAATGCACGTTAATCGTGACTTGGATGAGAAAGCAGTCATGTCTCTCAACTGTTGCTTTGACAATCCGCGCAGCCCACCAAGGCCGTGACCTTGTCTCGCCACACAAATTTCAAATTCAATGCTACCCATTATGATGAGCCAGGCGTTGTGGTGAACCAAAAATACACGGGCGATCGAGATTGTCTCTAGATCTTGCGCGAATAATCGACTAACACGAGCCTGCACCGCTGTCGCTCAGACACCCTAATTCGGTAACATTTCCTGACATATCCTCTGACATCGCGGAAACGAGCGAGTTCATTCGACTAGTCATGAAGAGCCGTAAAACTGCGAACGCTCATGTCGAGTTTATCTCCGTAAAGCTAGCCGCAAGTGAGGCACTCATTCTCCTTCTTCTTCCACTCAGGACGAGGAACGCGGAAAATCTCCCACCTTGTGGATACACACTTGTGTGCTTTCGAACACTCCCAGCCACACGTAAAATTTCTATTACATTCCAAAGTACCCGATTCAATTTTCCGTTCCAATTGAATCGAAACACACCGACCGGCCACCGAGCCGCTGAATGTCAGAAGCCTCACCAGCAAGTAACTACCTGCCTGTTCCTCTAATAATATAAATCTAGATTTCATATTTGCACCAACGAACAGCACAAAATCCACCACTGTCAGCCCAAGCTTCAAAGCTTCAAGGTTGAGCGAATGCCCAAGACACCGGTCCAAGAGCCAAACACTTGGGACCCGAAGTTTGCCAATGCCAATAACGGCTCTAAGCTGCAGCCGCAACGGCAATGCCATTTTGCACCCTACGAGCCGCCACCGCCGCCCTCTCCTGCAAAATCGTCTCACGTAGACGCTGGGTCGCCTTCTCGACGTCCTCCTCGCCAATCAGGCTAAATGCAGCGCGCACGTACGGCGTCCTGCCCCCATTCGGGATGAACGCCGTGCCAGGCAGCGCGAGGACACCGTTTTCGAACGCACGCGTCCTTATCACTGCCTCGGAGTCGTTGTGAGCCGGATCGGACGCGGCGGTAGGATCTTCAGCGAGCAGGAGCTTGAACCTGGACGGAAGAGAGGAAATGAAGGAATGTGGCGTGATCAGTATGGGGAATACGAAGAATGAATGAGAAAGAGGAAAGAAGTAATTGCAAGTATTAATAGAGCCTGCCTCCCCGTGAAGGAGCAAAAGAAGGAAGGAATGAGACAGACAGGGGCTTCGTCGGGCGTCGGCCAACGTGGATCCCGACAGACGAAGCAGCCGCCCAGAAAAACACAAAGTCGGACGTTCACAGCGAAGCCTTCACTCAACAGCGGAACGCAAACGAAATACCACTAACCAGAAAAACATGCCAGCCTCAGGGGAGCTCCATTCCGCGAGCCCCGTAAGGTGCTTGACCATCCCGCGCTTCTCGCGATAAAACTCAGATACGCGCTGGACATGCGCGGCGAAGCCGTCATACCCCCACGACTGCAGTAAACGGAATACGATGATCTGCGTCAGCGAGGGCACTTGAAGGTTCGACGTCGCGGTCTGATTGCCGAGCAAGTGAAAATCAATGGATCGAGCGGGGTGGGGTAGAGCGTAGACGAAGGAAGGGTAGGAAGGCGACCGAGAGAGACCAGAGAGGAGGGAAGGAGCCAGCCGAGGGAGCGGGTTCGGTCCGTTCGGGCGCCACATCGAACGAAAGTGGAAGGGATTGTGCACGCATCCGAGGTCCAAGTTGGTGGGTCGACAACAAGTTGAATCCGAGCGGTGTATCAATTATAGGCAAAAGGGGAAAGAAAGAAAGAGAGCAGAGAAAGCAGAGGTAATTTATCAGAATTTAGAAGAACAAGGAGAGGGAAGGGAGGAGACATACATGCTGGTCTATAGCGTTGAGGAGCGCCTTAGGGCCAGTGGCGAAACCGATGCGTATGCCGGCGGAGAGGATCTTCGACAGACTGTCGAACCGGAGCACACGGCCGGCCTCTGGTTCCTCTAGCTCGAGCTGGAAATAGGACGGGTAGCGCGGCGCCTTTCCGTAGTACAGATAGAAGTAAGGATCGTCTGGGGTCGAAAAGGAGTGAAAGTGGGGGCAGTTACGGAGAGAAGGAAGAATAGAAAGGAAAAATGGGAAACACGAGTCAGCTATTCAATGCTATGGTGAGGTGAAGACCCACCTTCGAGGATGATAAAGTTGTGCTCTCTCGCGAGCTGAAGGACTTCCTTGCGCCTATCTGTCGTGGCTGTCATGCCCGTCGGGTTGCAGCCATACTAAATATAAAACGTCGATTTATGAGCATATGAGCATTCGACCCCAAAAGAACAGAGTAACAAAATTCTGCGGGAGAATGTGCTCACCGGCACGGTGTACAAGACTTTCGGCTTGGGCTTCCCCGCAGGCCATTGTTCCAAAGTGGTACGAAGAGAAGAGGAACAGATCCCATGGGCGTCTGTCTCGACCTCTGATGAGGAAAAGCCGGAATAAACGTCGACGGGGTCAGTAAGATAAGAGCTATAGAGGCCTTTAGCCGCTTACCGATTTGATTGCAGTGGAGCGACACGAACATGGGGATGACACCACTAGGATTAATGGGCAAGGTCGTCAATTAGTCGGCTTAGCTGGGCGTCTGTAGACGAGTGGACATTACTTACGCGTATGCCGGCGACTCGACAAGGACCGAGTCTCCTGGATTGACCATGGCATTAATGGCCTAATAGATAACAAAATAAGGAGAAATAAGCTTCGGGCTCGGCGATGAAATGTCAGGAAATATAGTCTGACCTTGTAGATCAAATCCTGGGAGCCACAGCCGACAGAGATGCGCCAGCCTTCGCCCCGCTTACGGCCGTGGTTGACCTCCTGTAGGCCGTGAAGCCAGTCCAAGAGAGGCTCCAGACCTTCGGTCGCAGAGTACTGTAAGCCCAGCTGGAGCTCAGCGCCGTCGATCGTGAGCGTCGTCTCATCGCTCGACGTGGGTGAGACGGCGGTGAAGCTTAGTGAGGTAAATGGGAACGTCAACGAGTTAGGCTTTCCCGCGAGGAGTGAGATAACCCCAGGCGTCTTTTCGAGCGGGAATAAGCTACGAACTGCACGAGGCAAGTCTAAGATTAGCGATCCCTCATACCGATAAAGGGAATTATGGGACCCACTTGGACTCGGTCTGCGATTTTTAGCGATATCAGAAAGAAAATCGTTGTAGAATTCGTCCGGGAGGCGTTTGAGGCTCGGTCCCTGTGAGTTCCTCTGATGAATCAGTATGGGATGAACGGCGGAGGGTGACGGCTCGACTGACATCCTGATGATGGAAGATACCATTCGGCTCGGAGATCTATACAGTACGTCCGTCAGAGAACAGCCCCCAACAAATGAACAACACATGGGAAGCTTACCTTCGTCATACTTTCGTTCTGGTGTTCAGAGGGGTTGCAACGATGAGGTGGTCGACTTATCGTCCCCCCAAAAGTTCAGGCGCCCTTTAAGATGACTCACGGCTGAGATCCGTGCGCTCAACTGTTGTGTTCTGAGGAAAGTGAGGACCGGTACGATTATACCATGGGCTTCCTCACATTCCGTCGGGCTTCGGTCCCTTTCGGATGTCGAAAATTGAGCCTTGGTTGACGTCAATCTGTGGTTCGGGCCGGCGGCAGCTCCGGCATCTAATCAGTCACAACTTGCGGAAAATAATGAATATCTAGCCACTCATAGCAACTTTTTCCAATTTAAGTGCAGAACAACGGAACCTGAGCTCGTATTCACTTCAGTTTCTTTTCTGCTTTCGTTAAACAGAGATCCTCTAATATATGAGGGCTGTGACACCGACGGAATGCGTATGTGACTGCCGAGAGAGGCCCGGTCAAAACGGGCCTCCCGAGTTAACGGGCCTTGCGACACACGGGCCTACTAACATACGGGCCTGTCAGTTTGTACGTTCACAGAGAAACACTGGACTTGTGACTCATTATTACGCTATCTTTCTCATGTATCAATTCATGTCGCCAAACAATTTGGGGTTCTTGCCTGATTCTTGCACTACCAGGTGATGACTCGGATCATGGTGTTTCGAAAATAAAGGGAGTTCGATGCTGTTCAATTGACGCCTGTGGGGTTCTCCTGGAAAGATTTCCCGTGACTAGGGAGAGACGAAGTATCTTGGATTGAGCTTTTTACGAGTCATGGACTCTGTACCGGTGTCACGCATGCATGCGCCACGCTTGAGGTCTGCTTGATACCTAAAAAGGAAGACGAGAAATGAAGTTGATCTCTGAGTCCTCAATTGAGGCCTCAAGAGTGATGGGAGGCTCGCGAGTACAGATAAATAAAACCGGGATGATTAGGTGCGTTTTCGTTGGTATGAATACTGTAGAGTGATGTCTATAAGTACAGGGCAAGAGGTGGATCAACATGGGATCTTTGTTGTGATAAACTTAGTTTCTGGCCCATTGAAGTGCGGTAGGAACAAACGCCTTTCCATTTGATGATTATTTCAAGTCCGCGTATCAATAATACATTGAAACCTGCTGCCCTCGACGACACGCGATCGTTGGGTTAACAGTCACCTGCCGTCTCTAATAGCAGTCTCCTAATTCCGACCTCTTGGGAAAGAAGCGTTTGAAAACATTCACCCGAGCTTGAAGAAAGTTTAGCAGCAATTCGGGCGTCTGTCTTGACGATTGCATAAATGAAACCCACGGCACTGGCGCGATAAGCATTAATTAGGCTTTCAGAAGTTAAACGGCGTTCGTTTAACATTTCAACATGTCTGGACACCAAATGGCGTCATTGACCCTTGTGTTGTGCTAGAGAAGCGGAGTCGTGAACGTCTCGCCTAGCGGGCTATGGTTTTACCAAGCTTATGAATTAATTATAAATTAAGAGAGAAGGAGAAGGAGAAGAACGTGTATGTACTTTGACAGCCTGTTCAACGAGAAAGGAATGTTGAAACTCGTTTGTCACGTAATTCTGATGACTTTACTTACAGTACGATAAATGCAAGAAGAAATTGGGCAGAGCGGATAAACAATTTACTAGGCACACCCCGTTTCCTGGCAGCGAAAAACGGCCACTATTGTTTTATAAGCTGCGGCGTTGACACAGCATATACTCTGGGGTCCCGCGGCAGGGATTATGGGATTACCTCGTGCCAGCAGAGGAAGTTAGAAGCATGTACGCCGAGAAAGAGGACCTGCCTTCCCGCGAAGGACAAGCCAGAACATATGCATCAATTGTGTTGCAAAAATACTAATAATGGAATGTTCCGAGAACGCGGACGTGAAGGACCCACTGGACTCCTCTCTTGCTCTTTCGCAAGATCAGAAACCTGGGGGTCGGCGCATGATCCGTCCAACGAGCTTTCGCACTCGATTCGTACAGACATACTGGCTTTTCCCGAAGGCATAATCAAGCCGTAGACACTCGATTGACGTCCTGATGATGGATGTGGGTGCCAATGGATCTGCACATCCAAAATAGGAAGAAAGGACTTTATGCAACTCCCGGCGGGGCCTTGAGCCTGGCCACCTCGGCTGTGGATGATTTTGTTGGAAAGAGGTTACTTATCCATGAATAAGAGGAAATAGCAGGTAGTACTGGAAATAATGGTCCAATCCCGTCTCAGAACATGGATACTGGACGTTATCACGACTTCGGCTGTTCAGCACTCGGTGAATAAAAGGAATGCCGAGCAGGTTCCGGCCTCTCTTTCCCCATCCCGCAAATTCACAGAGATCCACAGGTTACCCTGCGCTTCATGCCAAATTCCAATGCCATCTTCCACGAGTCCTGAGACACCTGCCGGAAATTTTGGTATGTAGTGGGGTACTGCGTAGACTGAGGTGAGATCATAATCAGGACCTGCTCACCACTTCCGAGTTCCCAGAAAAATGATGCGGTTTGAGGGTGCATTCGGTTGTTCAAGAGGAAAAAGGATCTCAGAAGCATCAATCTTCTCCGAGTGGAGCGTCAGAGGAAGACATATGAAGCTTACATGGGGCCCTGATGCCAATGGCCAACTCGGGAGGCACGAAGCGCCCACGCGAGCAATGCGCCGAAACGGAGGCAAATTCTGAAAAAGGCAGAGCGCGCCGCGCTTGCTCTGATGGATGCATCTGACGAGGAACGATGCTAGAACGTCAGCAACACCTGATTCTGATGCTTGGGATAGGAGAGGGCCTCTTGCATTGTCTTTGACCCAAGAAAGGTCAAGCGCCGAAAAGCTTAAAGCTTCGCCCATTACCGCAGTAAGGCTATAATGAATGGGTAGGTGTTATCAAACGAATGGAAGAAGCTCTCTTCCGGATACTCAAGGCATTTACCGACAATAACTCAGGGGCGCCAATTCATCGAAGCTTGAGAGTCATGGAAAGCCCCCGTACACCGCGTTCAGGCGGCTACAACAGCCCTTAATCAAGCTGCGGCGTATGGGGTCGGGTGGGAGAGCATTCAGGTTTCAATAGAATAGTCCCTGGTGCCACTGGACTGGCCTTATTTCCTTTCTGGACTTTGAGCCACATTGTTGTGGAGCGAGTTGCTTGAATGTTCGTTGGGTTGGAATGGCGCTCAAACCGGGACTTCGACGGATTGTATTCCAACAACCTTGGGACATTCATTTCGTTGTGGGTGTCCAGACTTTAGAGAGTATTCGTTCATTTCTGGATTGAGCTGTGGGAGTGCACATGGATTTCTCTCTGCTCCCGCGACGATGGTACCAATCTTTCATCCAAGAGATGCCTTCTGCGGAAAATACTTCCATCGAATGAACATGGCAGGTAGAATTCAGATATCTTAGGAAGCATTTTCTGCTTATGCTCGAGAAGATTTAGTGGGTGTAGTGGGACCCAGCTGCAAGAGGGACCGCGAGCTGCATCTAGGGGGAATGAAGTTACTCACTGTGTCGTAAAATAAAAAATAATCCGGTTTAAACCACGGACCATAATTCCTCAACTCCTCCACAAGGAGTCGCGCACTTTTACCTTGTCCTTTACTTCATCTAGAATGTTTCCCACCGATATCCTGTTATACCTCAGTAAAATCAAAAGAAATTATTGGGTAAAGAGCTTGAAAAATATATAAACGCTGGAATGTTCTATTGAGCAGCAATAGCTCTCATAAAATGCACCATGACGCAGGAGTTGGGCTCACAGTGCCGCATTCCGACGACAAAGAGTCGACCATGTGGGTTCAAATGCCAAATGGGGAAATGCAAAGTGTAGTCAACCAAGCCTTGCTGAGGCTTGCTCCCTCCCTCCAACGTTCAAACCATTGCCACTGGACTGCACTACATACTCTCACACCATTTAAACGAAATGCGCCTCATTTTTGAATATCGGCTAGAGACGGTTGAGTCCTCCCACACCAGCTGTGCGATTCGGCGAAAGCGATGTCACCATTTTCCCGCCTGAATGCCAGCGAATGGCCACCTCTCAATACATGTCGTTCTTGAGGTTTACATCAGGTGAGTATATGTCAGGGAAAACCCTTCTAAATGGCTTCTGACAGCTAGAAAGAGTGCTTTCCATGCTTCCCGACCACTGGGACATACAGTTTTTTGACCTCGACAGGTCTGGAGAACCGGTCACATGGGATCCTGGAGAATTCAAACGGGCCATCGCGGCCCTTCTCTTTTCTTCTTCTTGTCGTCGTTGGTCCGCCAGATCGCCTTTCTTATCTGGAAAACCATGATCGCCCAACAACCCATCCCGGTCTACGAGAGTTTGAGTGAGGTCTTTGGCAGCCTTGAAGTGTCCTTACCGCATGCGACAAGGTGGAACAATCTGGCCGAGGAGTTTGAGAAGCGGTTCGGGAGGAAGCCTGCGTACATTGCGAGAGCTCCAGGTCGTGTCAAGTAAGTTGACTGATGCCATTATCTTCGGGGATCGACTGATCCACGCCCCGCAGTTTGATTGGTATGCATTTCGTGAATCCAGTCCGATCCGTTTGAATCGAAAAAAATGGACAGGGGAACATATCGATTATGCGTTATTTGGCGTCCTCCCAGCTGCGATAGAGCGTGATATCTTGATCGCCTGTGGACCTCGATCTCTTCCTGAGACGGATGCTCACAAGACCTCGACAGCAGGCAGTGTTGTCGCCGAAAATCTGAACTCGAAGTACACTCGACAGGTTTTCGCTCCGGCCGCCAAAAAGCCCGAAGAAGTCAGTGAAGCGCAAGCTCATGCAGAGGCATGGCACCTTGACATCAACACGAAGGAATTGAGATGGGAAAGCTACGTGAAGGCTGGATATTATGTGAGTTTGGATCGTGTTGTGGCTGTCGATGCTGATTCAAGCTCATATTCTAGGGTGTTTTGAATCACCATTTCTCCGGAGGGTCAGAATTACCGGTTCCTGTCGATCTTTTGGTCACTGGGTCCGTTCCCGCTGGTTCAGGCTTGTCATCGAGCGCTGCCATGGTGGTCGCGAGTACGTTATCATTCCTTGCCGTTAACGGCAAAGTAAGTCCTTGTTTCCGTCCACAACTGTACAGTTCCGACTGTGAGAGATAGCTGGGATCTGGAAGCGAAGTCGAAGTCGGCCGACCAGCTAATCTCAATAAAGGAGGCTTGGTTCAGTTGGCTGTGTTGAACGAAAAGAGAGTCGGTAAATATATATCTTATCACATAAGAAGGTTCAAATATTAATGAGAATACATCTTTAGGCGTAAACAGTGGAGGGTGAATCTCTTCTCATTCCCATGATAATCCACCTCATGATAAAGCTAGAATGGATCAAGCAGCATCGGTTATGTCAGACCCCTCGTCCGCGCTATACATATCCTTCTACCCGACATTGTCAGCTTCCGGGGTGCCACTGCCAACCCACGCCGTCTTCGTCTGCGCCAACTCACTCGTGGTCTCCGATAAGGCCCTCAGCGCCAAACGCGGCTACAACCTCCGTGTGGTAGAAACTCTCGTTGCAGCTCGCATCTTGGCCAATTCGCTCGGTGTCAAGATCGGAGAAACCGATAGAGTGACGTTGAGAGAAGTCGCCAGCAAATATGCCCAAGAGAAAGACGGTGACGACATGGGTCCTGAAGCCTTGGAGCAAACTCTAAAGAAGCTCGAAGATAAGCTGGACGTATTGAAGCCGAAAATATCATCCGACAGCGGTCAACTAGGGGTGACAATGGATAAGATGATTGAGATGAGCGGTCTGTCGAAGGAGGCCTTCTATCAGGTCTACCTTTCGTGGGTTGACAGTAAGTCGAAGACGTGTCATTCAAAGAGATAGACGATCTCCATCTGACGTACTGGTCGTTTCGGGTTACAGTCGAGGCGACTAATTTCCAACTCTACAAACGGGTGAAGCATGTCTTCTCCGAGGCCCGTAGGGTTCTCCTGTTCAGACGGACCTGTCTCGAGGCTGCTGGATCTTCTGATTCGAACGACAGTGTCTATCTTCAGAACTTGGGCAGCCTCATGAACGATTCACAAGACAGCTGCTCCAATCTTTACGAGTGCTCCTGCCCCGAGTTGGACCAATTGACACGCATCGCCAGGGATGCTGGAGCGCTAGGTAGCAGGCTCACAGGTATGACTTTCCCGCCACCCCTGGGGTCACTCGAGGCGAGAATTGATGATTCTCTTAATTACAGGCGCAGGGTGGGGTGGCTGCACTGTCTCATTGGTCCGGGAAGGCGAGGTCGAGAAATTCATCCAGAAGGTCAAAGAAGCATACACACCTTACAAAGGCCTCGAGGGCGATGCATTGAATGAAGTAATCTTCGCCACGAAACCGAGCCGTGGAGCGTGTGGTACGTAGGGTGGAAGAGCCTCTCCCGATTCTACAAGTGACAGGACGACATTGACCAATCCGTTTCAGTGCTCAAACTCTAGAACCTGTTGCAAGTATATCTCTCTGGCGCGGCCCATCGCGTCTTGGCCTCTCGTGCCTCATTCAACGTCGCTGAATTCTAGTTCATGTCTTGTCGTGTTGGGTCTTGCGAGGTCGTGTATGCCTCCCGCGATCGTTGTAATAATATTTCTTCCATCAGACATCCCCATCCCCTTCCTGCTGATCAATCCGGGCACAGCTTGATTATGCATCCACGCTCCATAATGGATAGGCCCCGATCGACGACCCATTTACACTCTTAAATTCCCATGATCCCAAGCAAGAAGCGAAGAGAAGGTTTTCTCCACTGTGATGCGCGTACGCGGGAGCAGAAAGAGATACTTAAGTCCAGGACTTTCTATAGGAATGTTTATTTGTCTTTCTTTCGAACATCGGACATAAGCAGTCGCTTCTGTTTTTTTTCGCGCCCAAGTGGTGGACATTATTACGGTGGCTGGGGGGCGTCTAGAAATTCCTTGAGCATTTAAAATCGCCAGTAGGAAACAAGCGCCCAAAACAAAGGAAAGCAGATCTCCGCAGAAGTACATCTGTCGAAAGTTCAAGAAAGGTTTCGAAGGCGTTCTGATAAGCTCGAGGTCCCTCCATTGTCTCCCAGGTACTTCTAGGCACTTTATGGACGTCTAGGAAGCATTCTGAGAACACCGAAAGAGCACGCAATTTGTCAATGAAGCACTCAATGCTGTGATATCATTGCCAGCTGTCGAACAGCCTCTAAACTGTGGCACCGTACGTTATGATACCTTGAAATCTTTTTCGAGAAGCCGGCGGAGAAGCAGAGCATGTAATTCGTAGTCAAGACTGTCGAGTCATGCCGTAAATACAGGAGAGAGCGCGATTGTTGAGGTGGATTGCTTGGGAAGACGAGATGACGATTGGATGTATGTCAGAGGAGGTAAAAGATATACAGACAACATCGACAATGTAGGGTACACAGAAACACACAACACGAAACCAGCAAGATCGAAAACAGACTACGAGACAGGAGAGATTGAGAAGACGAGGACGAGGAGCGATGCGACAGAAAAAGGGAAAGACAAAGAAGCAAAACCAGTACACGGCAGGAGTTGGGTTATGATGCAGATGCGGAGGTAGTAGTACAGTAAGAGAAGTGTGCATTTGGGGAAAAGGTGGGTGAGAGAAAGGCCATGTATGTTTGGTGACAGAAGCGCGAAAGACTAAAGATACTCGGTGCTGAGAAGCAGGATCTACGTCGGCCGAGGTTTTCAGCATTGCCGTGTGTGAGTGCATAACGCAGATTTAATGATGGATGTGATCATGGCGTGGAGGCCAAGTCGATGGAAGTACTTCGAAGCGTTGTGGGGGTGGTAGTGGGGTTCGTATAAGTGGGGCAGGGCAGGTTAGAAGGAGATCAGTGCAGGTATTTCTCGTTCAACGCATGAACTTCTTTTGCGAGGTACGGCCAAGTCAGCGTTCTCGAGAGCTCCTTCTTTAATTTGCGCTCGTCATCGTCGGCACGCTCCTTCGCGAGCTTGATCTCCCATCCACAAAGGTTGTAGAGCAGCCGCATGTTCGGCTGGATGAGCACGGACAGTCTTCGCGATCGGACGATGAGGTAGGCGTCGACAAGTGGCAGGCCAAGGTGTTTCATCACATACGCGATCTGTTCACAAGAAGTAAAAGTCAAGTCGAAGATTAGCTCGAGGAATGAAGAGATCGAAAACCGAGACGTACAGTGACGGTTGCACTCCTCGACACACCAACACGACAGTGCACGAGCACCTGTCCACCTTCCTGCCGCGCCTTGTCGATCCAATCGCAAATAGGCTCCAGCTGCGGCTCAAGGGTGTCGATGCCGTCGTCACAAACACCCTTGATGTCCAGGACCTTGATACGGCCTTCCCGTTCTTCGATCCACAGCGAGCCATGTCCACCAGGTCCCTTACCCGGCATAAACTGTGCTCCAGGACCAGGACGATGGCACACAGCCGCCGTTGCTCCGTAGTGCGGCCCCATATGATGTGGCGGAGGAAGAAGAGCACACTCGCCGACAGAGACGACGTGGGTGATGCCCAACGCATGTAGCATGTAGACATTCGAGGCATGGTTCCTGTAGACCAGAAAAACAGCGCATACACGCACGTTTAGCACCTTGTAAGCACAATGGAAAGCAAGAAAACACGCACAGATTACCAAGGTAGAGGAAGGGCAACACTCGACTCGGGAAGCTCCCATCAAACCTCGGGTCATTGAACCACGACTGGTGGTCGCCTCCGAACAAACTGGGCAACCACGGGCTTGTGCTCGCCCTCGGGCGGCCCTTGACCATACCCATACCGCCTGGCTGATGCTGTTGCTGCTGTTGTGCAGCGCCAAACGCGCTCCCAATGCCGTCAATGGGGTGCTGAATCTGCCCAGACGTTGAAAAACCCATACGATGCGGCATGGTGCCCTGCACGGGCAAGCTCCCCGTCGACGAAGAGGCGCTGAGCTCGCCCGGGTGTTGTCCGTGGTACAATGTAGTTGGGATGGGATGGACCTGCGACGAGGGCTGGACATTCGTAGGTACAGACTGCTGAGGATCAGGTCTCTGCTGGTACTGAGGCGGTGGTTGGGCAAACGACACCGACTTGGCAGCAGGCCTGCCCTTGAACGAGTTGTTATGCGCTGGCGGAGGAGGCCTCGAAACACCCGAAGCACCACCTCCACTGGCATTCGCCGAATGAGGAGGCGTCCCAGGCCAGTAACCCCCTCTCGTCGACGCAGACGGAGGCGTTGGCCCCGGCGCTGTCCTCTTCCCATTCGCATTGATCGTGCCCGCAATCCCATTAGCGATCGCCGACAAATACCCCGCCCCGATCCTCTCTCTCTCCCTCTCCCTCTCTCGCTCACGTTCTCTCTCCCTCTCCTCCCTCAACCTGGCCTCCACCCGCCTCAGGACACCCAAATCACCTTGGTAGACGAAGAACGAGCGTCTCTTCTCCACCTGCAGCTCGAGGTACGCCTCGGGAAGACCAAGGGCCTTGATCGCCATCAAGAGACACAAAGCAGGCACCGAAGACTCGGTGTACCCATCCGACGAATACAAGAGGACCTTCAGCGGCCGTGTACGTGCTTGAAGCGGCGTAGGCGGCTGCTGTCCATACCCAAAGTGGGGCTGCACGAAAGAGGGCGAAGGAGATGTGAACGAGCGTGTCCGCGAAGGATGAGGAGGAAGAGGGGCAGCAGGTGGAGGTGTAGGCGGTGGCGGGACGGCAGGCTCCTTGCTTCCACCACCGACACCAGGGAACGAAGGGAAGGACGGCATCAACGCGCTGACAGAGGACCACCTCCTCGACCCGCTCCCGCTCCCGCTCCCACTCGCACCCCCACCTGCATTACCACCCTGCCCACTGCCAGCAGCAGCAGCGGCTGCACCACTACCAGCACCCGCCATGTTCCTCTTCGGGTCCACATTCCCAATTGCCATCAGGTTCTTCAGCTCTGGCGGGGTCGCAGGCCTCGTCGGTGCCGGCGGGGGCGACTGTGCCTTTCTCTGCGGAGGTGCCAGCGTCGGCGGGGGTGGGTCGACCGGACGGACCCACTTCTCCAAGAACCGAATCACAGGCATGAGTGCGACCATCGTCGTCTGCGAGTTCGCCGGCGAGCTGGGGAACGGCAGGTGAATCACAGCGTTCGCGTGCGGTGGTGGCCGCGGCGGGGCAGGCGGGCACGGTCTCATGCCCGCGTTTCTCTCTTCCGCATCCGACGTCGAAGACAACCGCCTCTCCTCCCTCTTCACCCACGCCCGCTCCCACCTCTCTCTCCACATCACGTCCAGCATACCCAGGTGCTCCTCCGCCGCTCGGAGGTGCGCCGCAGACGGGAATGGCGCGAGGTCATGACACTCGACGCAGATGTCGTACCCGAACCCCCGTCCAGGATCGTTCGTCGCATGGTAGTTGAACGGGTCGTCGGGCGGAAGGTCTCGTGTCCTGTCTACACCTGCGTTGTCGTTATCCACTACGAAGTCCTCCGGCTCGAGTCCGTACGCCTCTAGCCCCTCCAACCCCCGCAGATGACCGATCATAGCTGCCCAGTCCCATCGTGCCGCCAACTCCTCGTCTACGTCCCTCGGTACACTCGCCGCGTGCCTAAAATGGCTTGGTATGTCCGGTGCCAGAGGAACGTCGCCCGAGTTGCCTAGATATACCTGGCCAACGCGAGGATCCCATTGGGGTGTGGCATCGCCGTCTAAATGTAGGCCGGATTTGTGTGTATAAGAAGAGGAGGAAGACGATGAAGCGTGTGTAGATATCGTAGAGGCAGAGTTGGGCACAGAAGGAGCAGGGGAAGTCGATGTTTCGGGTAACAGGCTGATAATTTCAGAAGCTTTGGTCAAGTCGCGCATCTCCTCCTTTTCTCGGAGGGCAAAGTCGACGGTGTTAGGTATGAGGTGGATGTTGTCTTGCTCGTCTTCCTCTTGCTCCAGCCCACCCGCAACTCCATCAACCTCCATCGCATCCCCACATCCAGCACCTCCATCAACCTCCGTATCCATATCCATATCGCCCACCATGTCCATGTCCATGCCCACATCCCTCCTCTGCCCCTGCCCCTGCCCCTGCCCCGGCCGTCCCTTCCGCAGCTGCTGCTGCCCAGCACCAAGCCGATCAACCTCCATCCTCGCCCTCTTCCTCCGATCCTCCGCCTCGACCAACCCCAGCTCGACCAAATGCCCGTCCGGACCATCCGTGTGCGCTGCGTTGACGCTCGTCGTCGCTGCTGCTGCCATCTTCGTCTGGGCACCGGGTGGAGCCTTCGCTTTGGTGGTGGTGGGTTTGGCTTTGGAGGAGGGAGAAGGGGAAGAGGAAGAAGAGGCAGCCTCCGCACCAGGCACGCCCTCTCCACACATCCGCATCATCAGATGGGGCACCTCGCGCCGGAGCTCGTCCTCCTTCGCGTCGAGCACGAACACGTTGTACTGCACAAAGTCCTCTTCCTTCGGCCCGCTCTCCATCATTTCTCCACCTCCTTCCCCTCCCTGTCCGACCCCAGCTCCCTCCTGCTTGACCCCACCCTCCCCCTCTTGGTGCTGTTCCAACTCACCACTCGCCTTAAGCTCCTCGGGCGTCAAAGCCTGCCTATGGCCATGGCCGTCTCCGTCTCTTTCTCCATCGACTTCGAACAGACCGGCGGCCCGCATCCGCTCGAGCCGCTTCGCCTTGATGGCCGCTCTGAACCGCCGGGCCAAGGCCAGCACTGCGGGCGTCGCTCCGTGTGGTGAGTAGACGACTACGTCGGAGAGGGTGGCGTAGATCGGCTGTTTGCGAGGAAAGGGGAAGAGGAGGGCGTTAGTAAGTGTTCGAAGGAAAGAGAGAGGTGAGAGAGAGAGGTGAAGCGGGAAATATGAGGGCAAGAAAAGGTGAAAAGTATAAAGATGGACTGCAGATCAAGAAAAAGCAGAGAAAAACCATCTTCATTTGACCCCAAAACAATGTAATACCCTTCCATCTTCGTTTAACTTTGGCCCCCAAACGACGCCTGGCACATATGCAACTGACACGGAACGAACTCGCCGGAGGCCTCATAGACCTGGAATCTACAACCGTCCAGAGTGTGCTCGTGTGTCCATATCAAGGCATGCGTGCAGGCGTCGTCGTAAAGATTGACGAAAGAGGAAGGGGAAACAAGTCATGGGTGAAGGATGAGAGGAAGGTATGGGAGAACGAGGGGAAGATCGCTCTGTGGTCTGCGATATCCAAGAAAACGAAAACGAAAAAGGAGTGACAGCAAATTTGAACGGGGTGTGTGCGCCGTCCAGCCCTGGTAGTGGGTGTGCTGTCAACGCAATGCAGTGCTCAAGCTCTATCTCAAGCAAAGCATGCGTATAGAAGCCAAAATACCCCGACAAGGACAAGGAGAGCCGAAAGAAAGTATCAAAAACACAAAAAAAGAAGGCAAGGGCAGGAGAATCTACTGTTGTCGTACAGCACACAGCGGCAGGACACCCAACACCACCGCTTTCGATCCACCATTCCACGAACTGTCCGAGCTCTCAACCCCGGCATCGGACAGGCGCATACACCCAAGAAAAATCGGGAAGGGTGATAAGAAACCAAGAAACCAAGAAACCAAGAAGGCTCCGATAGAGGCTCGAGGAGACTAGATCCACCCCATCGTCGCACAGACCGGCGGGTAGACCCCCGAAATGAAGAGCGCTGACGAGATGCCTCGCAATTGCGCAGTCGCAGTTGCATCGCAACGACCGATGGAAATGAAGAGACGGAGAATGCGAAGAACATGGAACGGAGACACGGAGAGAATATCATGTCCAGAGACGCCCAGATTCGGTTCGGTTACGGGAGAAAAGAACGTGCCTCCAAGAGGAACAGGAGGGGCAGGAAGAGAACGAAAATGCAAGGAAAAACGAAAAAAAGTAAGTAAAGGCGAAGAGCAAGAGCAAGAGGAAGGAAAAGGAAGGTCGAAGAGATGGAGGGGGTAGTGTCAGGCACTGAGAGAGCGAGAACGAGAGGAGAGCTGTGGGCCCAACAGGACGAAATTGCGAAATCGTAAAAGAGGGAAAAAAAAGGGGGGGAAGAGAAAGAAATGAGAAATGAGAAATGAGAAAGAAAAATGCGAAAAGGAAGGGAAGACCTGGATAGCGGAAGGAAAAAATTGAAAGAAAGAACTGCAAAAGAGAAAAGACGAAACCACAACGAAGTCGAAACCACAACGAAACCAACGAAAATCAAAAGCAAAACGAAAAGCAACTCACAACCTGGATCCCGAAATTCCTCAACGAAATCCCATCTGGCACGCGTGCGGGTACGAACTCCCAGCTCCCATCCTCTTCCTCTCCTTCCCCTGCCCCACCCCTCCCCTTGTCTCCTCCTATCCCATCTTTTACCCCATGCGTTGCTGATGCTGGTTGTCGGAGGGCCCTCCTCACCTGCTCTCTCTGTTTATTCGAGCTACCAGCCGTATCCTTCTTGACCCGTCTCAGCAACTCTTTGGGCCGGAAGGTCGACGTGAACAGGGGTGGGGCGGCGGGGTCGGTTGGGCGGGTGAGGGTTGGTTTGTGGAGCTCGTGCGTGTGCACTTGGAGTTTGAGTCCGTCCTTGTGCGTGTGGGGATGGAGTTGAGGCGTGTGCGTGTGGGGATGGAGTTTGGGCGTTCGGGATTTGGGTCTGTGCTTGGACCGTCCCACCCGTCCGTGCGCCACCTGCATCAGGTTTGAGCTCAGGTTCCCCATCGAGTGCGTACAGCGCCGAGGCCGTTGGGGATAGCGCGGGTGTGGTGACTGCTGTGGAGGGTGTGGCGGTGCTCATCGGCGAGTTGGGCGACATCGAAGAAGGAGAGGATTGGGAAGGAGAGGACGAATCGAATATATCAGAACCCACACTCCCACTCGCGCTCGCACTGCTCGCGCTGCTCATGCCTTCCTCCTCCGGCTCTGAGGGGAGGGCGAGGGGGATGCCGTTCGTCGTGATGCCCAGCCCGATACCATGTCCATTCCCGTGGTGTGCGCCAGAGGAGCGCCCATGCGTGTGGTTATGGGCATGTTGTGTAGAAGAAGGACGGGAGGCGCTGTTGTTGTGAATGGCGTTGGCGGATGGCGAGTTGGTAGTAGTGATAACAGAAACCGCCGGCCTATGCGACACAGGGTGCATATGCGCGCCGTCGTAGTGCATCTCGCCCTTCACGCCCTTCATGCCTCCTTCTCCTCCTAGTGGCGACATCGCATCGCCGTTGAGGTTGAGGTGGCCGTTTATCCCCTCGTTGTCCGTATCTGCGCCCACCGAGGAAGGGAGGACGACGGCGACGCGCACGTCGTCGACCTGCATCGGGACTGACATGGAGACTGATAGGGCGTGCGGGTGCGGGTGCGGGACGGGCGAGGCGAGGACGGAGTCGGTGTCGTCGTCTTCCTCTAGGACTACATCTTGATCGTGGTCTGCGTCGGTGTCCCTATGGCTGGGGAGGAGGACCTCGTCCTCGGACACCACCACCATATCCTCCTGCCCCTCTCCATCAACGTCCAAAAGATCCGACTCGTCGTCGTCGAACGAGGACGTCGAGCACGAGGAGGACGAGGGTGTGTGCATGCCCCTATCCATGGGGTCGTCGCCGTCGCCGTCGTGTTGAGGGGCGTCGAGGGCGTCGTGGTGGTTGAGGGCGTCAACAACATGAGGAGAGGAAAGGGGGGGTTTACGACGGAGTATGCGCAGCGACACGGTGTCCCGAGCAGCCTCGAGGTCGTCCTCGCACACGACCCAGACGAGGCCGCGGTATTTGGGGAGGCGGGGGGTGATCCTATGGGGATGGGGATGGGGGTGATGCGTGTGCCCATGCGGGTGTCTTGTGCCGGCGGGGTTATTGCTAGGGGAGTGAGAAGCGTTGGCAGAAGTGGGAGAAGGGGAAGGGGGAGAGTAGGCAGAGGACGCAAAGAACTGGTTCTGGGCGTGGTTGTCGCCCTCGAGGCCGTGGAGGAAGGGGAAGAGGACGTGGTCGGGCGGGTGGGCGAGGGTGTGGTCGAGGTGGAGCTTGGCGAACTGGGCGGCGGAGAGCGCGCGGATGGGGGGTGCGTGTGGTTTCTTTGGG